GGGAAGGGGGGGGGGAACCTAAATTTAGACGAGGATTAAGAGGCGAGAACGGTAATACGAATCTTTAATGGCTTAATGAAACGTAAAAGCTTCCGCGCTTCGCGCAAGAGGGGGAGGGGGGAGACTGAATTTAGACAAGGATTAAGAGTCGAGAACGGTACAACGAATCGTCTTCTTTCTCTAATGATTTAATGAATCGTAAAAGCTTCCACGCTTCACGAGGAAGGGGGAAAACTGAATTCAGACGAGGATTAAGAGTCGAGAACTCGACAACGAATCGTCTTCTCTCTCTAATAGTTTAATAAATCGTAAATTTTTTCCGCGCTCTGCGCGGGAGGGGAAAAATTAAATTCAGACGAGAATTATTTTCGAGAATGGTACAACGAATCGTCTTCTTTCTCTAATAATTTAATAAAACGTCAAAGCTTCCGCGTTTCGCGGAGGAGGGAGGGGGGAAATCGCCCCTCCCTGCACCGACCCCCCCCCCGCATTACGTCACTGTTGGTCACTATTACGTACCAATATTTGGCTCGCATAATTTCAAATTTGGGCCCCCCCCCCTAAGAAATCCTGGATCCGCGCCTGGTGAATGCTTTCCTCATAATGCTCATTAATGACTACCGAACACTACATTAGGATAAAAGTTGTTCTTATGATGTTCACCATGAGGAAGAGGATTTGTTGTATTACAGGTAAAAAAGACAGTAATACAAATAACAAGAATCTCCCGGGACATTTCCGGATTGGCAACGTAGCTGTCAAACTGTCAAAAAAATTGAGTATTGTCTAAAATGTTTATCCATGTTCTGTCCCGATACATCAACACTCCCTTGACATATTTACCCTTTCATTGTGGAATAGGAAAGTGCAAGAGAGGGTGAACCAATTCACATACCTTCTACAGCTTAAAGGGCATACTAATGAGAGCAAGGGGTGTGGGAATTGTGGTCATGGTTTTCAGTATAATATATCGAGAGAAACTGACTCAAAGTAGTTCATATTTGTTTATGAAACGATTTACAAAGTAATGAAGCTTGCTGGAAATTGTATTCACTGAAAATCACATATCCCATAATTGTTCAGACATGGGACCGCACGTGTCGTGTGTCGGGACATTTTCATTCATTTTCTTACTTTTCATTGTCCATTACTCAGTCATTATATTTTTTCTACTCAAATCGAAACCCTTCATTTATACTTGTGAATATTTAAAGTATGTTTAATTAGTTATTGTTTATTCATTTGTTTGTTATTTATAACCATAATGTAAGCTTAACTTTAAATAAAATTGAGAAGAGAACAACGTCTGTCAGTGTCTGTTGTAACCGCATGGAAAACATAGTTGTATGATGAAACCCCTTGTTATTAACGCCATTTGATATCAATGTAGTCTTGATTATGACTATGCACGTAATTTGGAAAGGCACCTAACCCTCAGCGTAAGGGTGTACAACATTTGAAATCGATTAAATTTTTAATGCGGTGATTAAATGATAATTCCCTTCTAAAAACGGAATGTTTCAATTAATTGTAATTAATTAAGAGCTGATGAACGTCATGCACCATTATCTAAATGAAAAGATAGTCGGTAACCCTTATGGAAATGAATAGAAGAACTGCCACAGACCGGAAAATAACATTAAAACTAAGGGCGCTGGCGCAGTTATGGGGGGCAAGGGGCACGTGCCCATCCTCACCCCTCTTTTAACTGGCAAGCAGAAGGCAAAGGCAAAACGAAAAGGAAGTGGAGGCAACTTAAAACGGAGACGATATAACCCCTCCCACACAAAGCCCCTGATCGACGACGTTGTTAATTCACCGTTTAATTCAAATAAAAGACTGCAGCCCCCCCCCCCCCCCCAGACGCCAGTGGCCCTCAATAGCTGAGCCTATACTCCAATGTCATTTTTAATACATCCTCAATTCACTGTTCGTTTCAATACCTTATTGACCGAGGCATATGCCCTATTTGCTTTGATATTAACATAAAACTGGCCATCTCCCCTACCAAAATATTTTCGAGAATGAATTAAACTGCAGCAGGACAATAGCATCTTTTAAAAGCATTCATTCTGTGACATCATTATCCAACGCCCTCTTCTTTCACTACTTTCACTTACTGCTTCCTCCGATCCCACGAATAACAAATTCGACTTGAACAGTTCATTCGTTTCGGAAACACTTCAGTTTCACTCCTGCTATGCCTCTGCATGTCAAAACAAAGTTTAGCTTGAGTGGTTTGACGGAAGGATACAGTTGGGGCGTAATTTTCCTTGAACAAGTCATAAAGCATTTATTAGCAACAAAGTGCTTGTAGGAGCTTATACACCGTGGCTCATGTGGCATATAATGCAAGATGAACTTGAAAATGAGTTGTTTGTTTACACTCTGTAAAACTGATACCTTTTTTCAGTAAGCTTTTACTTTTTCATGTTCTTCAAGAGTATTTTGCCTGGTCTGAAGAAGCGTCAAGCAGTTACAAATGAAAGCTTGCCGAAACAGGCTATTTCCCACTGATTATGAAGAAAAAACAATGTACCCGTTACATCACCGATCAAAATGAATCTCTTCAATTATGTAGTTGAAGATTAATCTATTTTTACGTTTAGACTTCATTAGTTGCATCATTTTCCGTAGCCATTTCGTCGGAATTTTGATTTCAATAATTTAAATTTGTATGGAATGAAAAAATTGATGCTCGGTGTTCCAGATAAAAAGTCTACGCCAGGTTTTTACCTAGTTCGCTTTTTTTGTACAACCACCAAAAGTGGCGCAGCAGTGGGGCTTGGGTTCAGCCACGGAGGGAATATCATAAGGGTGGGTGTGTGTGTGGGAGGGGGCACCTGTCTTACTAGGTAAATTAAATTCGAAATAACCTGGTCTTTGAGAGGGTCAAGGGGTGGAAAGGGTTTCAACCACACTTTTGACTTTGCTTACCCCACTACCCTCCCCCACTCCCCCTTCTCTCTCTCTCTCTGTCTCTCTCTGTCTCTCTGTCTCTCTCTCTCTCTCTCCTCTTTTTGGCGCCAATTATGACTGGGAGGGGTGGTATTGAGCACGTGTCTCCAATCAGTAGCTATGCAAATTAATGAACAGTTGCAGTGACAGCTTATATCCATGGTCTGATGAATGACATCACCTAATATGCTGTACGATTCGTCACTCTAATCTCCCAGATCTCTTAACTCTATCCAAGTCTCTTAACAACGTCACGATCACGCTCCTGTCTAATTGGCACACGCAGGAAAATTCAAATTACCATCCAATTTGTCCGAATGACATCACGGACAATATGAAGGACATCGCGCACCTTGCGTCCCAAATATGACTAAATATGAGTTTTAAAAATAAAAGGAATACAGATCATTAAAAACTGCTTTGATATTGTACATTGGCATTGAAAGAGTACGTAATGTAAATTTATTTGGTAACACTGTCTTTCCGTTTTGTCGGTTTAATTGTATAAATTTGTTACGTTTTCATGTAATATTGTTGAATGTGTATTTTTAAAAAAAGAGACTACGACAAACACCTGAAGAAAAAGAAATTTGAAAAAAGAAAGAAAAGTTTTTTTACAGTGATAAAGAAAGAAACTTGTGATCAGAGTGTGGACTCTTTAGAAGAAAAAAAAACTGTATCTGGCTGGGATCCTGATCATCCCGAAAGTATAGTAGCCTAATATCGAAATCGCAGCTCACACCTTCTTATCGGAGAGAGGGTCAGATCGGCTTCCAGTTGGAGACAGGTCGTGCGACATATACGCGATTCGCAGCCGATCGGAACTTTTCTTATGGAATGAAAGGGATCACATCCACCTGTCATTTCGAAATTACTATTCATCATCATGACGACTCGAGACCTCACAAAAAATTGCATTTAGAAGTTTCATATCTCATGCCTTTTCAGTTTATTTACAACTCCAGTCGTAGTCTCACTGGTCTGTTCTTAATTTCAGTAAACTGTGGGGTAATTTAGACAATCATTGATTCATTGAAATTGTCTCAATACGAATTTCCATTATTTATGTTCTTTGAGATGTTTGTGTGGATTTTTAGGGGATTTATTCAGTTTCTTCAAATAAAGCTGAGGTCCCTCACAGACGTTCATTTTAGCTCCCAATAGTTGACTATACAGTCATAGTAGAAAAATAATCAGAAATATATTCAGAACATGATGTGAAAATAAATATAATCAGTTGCAAAGAATAATACTGATAAAAATATAAAACATGCCAAGTTTTGCCAACAAAAAATACGTGCATAGGGCTATATTTTTTTTATGGTAATTCATTCAAATTCTGATATGCGTTAATCTAAATTCCAATATTATGAGTTTCACATCTCAACGCGCTCTATCAAAGACGGTAAACCGACTCCATTATTGGCCAGCATGGCCATGCATGCATTGCGGACAGAGAAAACAAATTATGAAATTTCAGAAGACGGAGGTTCGGGTATCCATGAAGCTTGTGATTACAATTTTCTCGAAAGATGCATCCTTTGATAGGAACTGGGAAGGAACGTCAATATCATAATTGAATTTATAAAAACATACAGCTTAGCGCGGAGCCATCGGTCGTTACCCCAGCTTATAACGGCGTATTACCAATATTTGACTGAAAATGTGCAAAGGGTCACTTTTTTACTGGGGAAGCAGGACCAACTCTCCCCCCCCCCCCCCCCCGGCCCGTCTCTTTCTCTCTCTCTCTCTCTCTTCTCTCTCTCTCCCAGTCTCCCTCTCTATAATATTCCCTCATGCAGTTTCCAACCACTCGGAATTGTAAAGGCCATATGTACGGTAGTGTATAATAATAAAAGATCGAGCACTCGTCGATCATTTTCACAATACCTTCATTATCATTTTAATAAACGGTCGACGTGGTTCAATGCGATTGGATGGGAAGCCGGCGCCTTATGAGACTCTGGAAAAAATTTGAGATTTGATCGAATGGCTTTGTTTTAATGTTCTATCTGTTTATTTTTCTTCCCGTATCCTTTCAGCGTCCTTTTCAGTTCTTGGTTGTCACGGCAGCCTATTCTTTCATCCTCTCTCTCGTCTACGTCACACTCATTTACAAACCTACCGGAGTATTGACCGAGCCCACCTCCAACGACCACCCGCGTACCATGCGACAAAAGCTGGAGTCGCGACGAACACATAGGAGCAACACTCCCGTATTGCAGACGGATTCGACGCCGAAATCAACACCGAAATCAACACCGAATTCAACACCGAATTCAAAACCACACCTGCCTACAGTCAAACCTGCTCCTCCAGTCGTTCGCAGGGTCCAACACGAGGGGTATATTGACATATTATCAGGGGAGGTAAGGATATAAACACTGGAAGAAGTAAAGTTAACACCCTATCAACCATCCAAATGACAGTATCCTTTCAAACTTCTCGCTTCCAAGACAAAAGAAAGAAAAAAATATAAAAACATAGAATATTGTATACCTAAGTCTAGTTGTCGAACCAATTTGAGAGCCAGACAGGTACTCTTAATTATCCATTTTATTTGATTAGGCACTTGCGAGTTAGGTTTGAAATGATTAATTAGATTTTATGTCAAACATTGAAAAGAAAATTCAAATTACACCATCTACGGGGATATTTAAAAAATGGATTTGTTATTTTGCTAATTTTTCATTCTAACAAAATTATAAAATTACTGATTTCTGCATTGATCCTCATTATACAATTATTGTAATGAAATCAGTATGATTAATGAGTTTTCCACAGTGATCTGCTTAATAACAATTTGTGCACCCCCCCCCCCCCCCCTCCTCCCTCTTCCACAGCCCCTCCGACTATTCTGCAGCTCATGCGCCGTGGTGTCCAGCTCAGGGCATCTGCTCAACACGAGCTCGGGGGCCGAGATCGACGCGACCGAGTGCGTCTTCCGAATGAACAACGCTCCCGTGAGGGTTTCAAAAACGACGTCGGCACGCGGACCACGCTGAGGTCGATCGCCCACGTCAACCTTGCGAGGTCGTTCGAGAAGACGGAAAAAGCGCGCAGGGAACTGCTCCAGGATGTGGACACGAGGAGTGAATATCTGCTGATAAATTGGATGAACAGGGTAGGTGTGCAGTAAATGGTTAATTTTTAATTCAGACTCCAACAAAGTAAGGCTTACTTAAAGCCTATTTGCACTCGTTTGGCCAGGAGGGGTTAGACCTCCCTGCATGGTCACTGGCAGGTGGTCATCTCATCAAATCAGCTCTCAATTAACACAAGAAAAAATGGACCATGGGGGACCAACGGGTAACGCTTAGATATTGTTGGCCATATAGAGGGCCCAAGTAGCTACAAGAAGCGCAGTCCCGCTTTAAAATGGATTTGTCTGCCCAATGGATTGTTCATGGTTTCTGTGCCTGCTGACATCTTTTTGAATATCCATCCCCAGTCCAGAGCTCCGTCAAATTAAGATGAAAATTCCAACTTATTAAGATTAAGAAGGAGAATTTCTAACAAATTCAAGTTTCAAATCAACGATCCTTTGTTGCTAGATTGGGGGTTGATGCTTCATTGCACATATAAGATTCGTTTTTCACAAGTACGTAAAAACTTTAGGTAAGACAAGCAACACCAAAATCACTAGAAAGTCGAAAGGACATTATTTTTTCATTGATTTGATATTCTATAATAACACTGAAGAGCAGTAAATAAAAGCCAGAGGTTTCAAGTGCAAATATGGAAAGATATATAAGAATCCTTAAGAAACTTGTAAAATCACACTGTTTATGAATTATTTGCCATTTTTACAGGTTAATGTTAGGAAACTACAAGACCGTGAGTACCGCTATGCAGTTCTTCTTGCGCACCTCTACCCGGGGGTGAAGTTCTATGCTTTCAACTCGGATCAGATGAGGTACGCGGAAAAGGTCTTCAGAGACGAGACGGGCCTCACAAGGTAACATCTTCTGGCAGACATTTGTTTTAATCTTTTCACCATTCGAATCCCATTGTATTAAAATAAGTTTGCGAATGAAAAGGGTTTGTGGTGCAGAATCGAAACCTTTGCATGTGAGCCTCTTTCTGTTGTGTATAAGTCAAAATCCATTTCCCCTTTCACTGTTGCCAAACAAATAATTTGTCGCTATTGTCGGATCACTGCCGATACAAATCACGTACCATGACGATGAATATGTGGGTTTAGGTGAAAGTTAAAGATGTTCAAAGAGATCAGACAAAGAATTATTGAACTAGAACTCTGAGATAAGTTGGAATGATCTAGCACCAGCATTGTCAACAAATGATTTATATCCCATCAAAATGATCATTGCTAGTGCTACGACGAAGAAGTATACTCGTCATAAAATTTACTATAGTAATTAACATATTCAAATGTATGGGTTTTTATTTTCCTGAGGCCCTTACAACAGTCAGCATACAATTCAAATATGTTAGTAAACTGGGCTGTTGACTTCGAGTTTTTTGCTTGTTTGTTTTTTCCTCTCATTTTGTTATATCATTCTGCTTCAATAGACAGGACAAACATATTCAAATGCATGGATGTTCTTTTGGGGGGAGCTAGTGACGAGTTATTCCATTAACCTGTTATTAATACATGAACTACAATACTAGGAATCCAGTCTGTATACATTACTTTTCGCTATGTCGGGCAAGCCTCGGCAAGCTTGCATGTTGTCAAGAACAAGCTTTGTTTAAAAAGTATGCATCAATTTGAATATGTTAGTAAACGGTTCTATTCAATGTATGTTCTTTCAGACAGCAAGCCAACACCTGGCTCAGTACTGGCTGGTTCACCATGCTTGCCGCTATGGATATCTGCAATGAAATCACAGTCTACGGAATGGCAAATGATGACTACTGTTCGTCTACCAGGTAGTAGAAGTAGTAACAAGAGTTTTAGGTAGCTAGGGGAGGTGTGAAGGCATAATGATTCGCCTATTATTTCAATATCAGCACGATCGGAAAGACTTTTGAGAACTCACCTTAAGGGCAATGTCAATACTGTATTGTATATCCCATGCAAATCATGTTCAGCTGAGATTACACAATACATCATTTTAAGTTGATATTTGAAAGTCTGTTTATCATGAATTGCATACATTATAAAAAGACATACGACTCTGTAAATCATTATTGAATATCAATATAATTATATCAATGTATGGATGGTCAAAGGACGTTTGTGACGTCGCAGAATTCGAAGAACTCCTCATGTCACACATAATCCATCTACTTATCCCCTTTACCACCACACCTCAACTATACTCCTTGTTTAACGTTTTTCTGTGATCATTTTTTGTTTTGTATTATGTTCTTGTATTTAGCAATGAATCCCGCAGAATACCATACCATTATTACGAACCGAATGGCATGAAAGAGTGCGCCTACTACAACATCAGTGAAACACGCCTAGATGGGGGTCATCTCTTCATCACGGAGAAAGCTGTGTTCAGACGTTGGGCCTCGAAACATCGAATCACTTTCAAGTAAATGATTATCAATTATCTTAGATGTATTTTGAAACGAAATACATCGGTTAATTCCCTATATCACAACCCTTGAAAATAATGTAGATCGGAACGTCTTCTAAAACTGGGATGGAATAAATGACCCTTTATGAATACAGTGTGGCGTGTGGAAACATTTTGGAAAAACTGAAAATTGTGTGGAAAAACTGTGAACGAAAACAGTGTGATGAATTACTACTACCGTTATACATGATGACCCTGTATTAAAATAGTTTATAAAAATCTGTGAATACAGCATGGGAAAATGTCCGATGGCAGTGTGAAAAAATAAATGAACACAGTGTTGAAAATTGGGAACAAAAGTATGAAAAGAGTGTGAACATATTGTGGGAGAGTGTGATCACAGTATGGAAAGAGTGTGAACATATTGTGGGAGAGTGTGATCACAGTATGGAAAGAGTGTGAACATATTGTGGGAGAGTGTGATCACAGTATGGAAAGAGTGTGAACATATTGTGGGAGAGTGTGATCACAGTATGGAAAGAGTGTGAACATATTGTGGGAGAGTGTGATCACAGTATGGAAAGAGTGTGAACATATTGTGGAAGAGAGTGATCACAGTATGGAAAGAGTGTGAACATATTGTGGAAGAAAGTGATCACAGTGTGGAAAGAGTGTGAACATATTGTGGAAGAGAGTGATCACAGTGTGGAAAGAGTGTGAACATATTGTGGAAGAGAGTGATCACAGTGTGGAAAGAGTGTGAACATATTGTGGAAGAGAGTGATCACAGTATGGAAAGAGTGTGAACATATTGTGGAAGAGAGTGATCACAGTATGGAAAGAGTGTGAACATATTGTGGAAGAGAGTGATCACAGTGTGGAAAGAGTGTGAACATATTGTGGAAGAGTGTGATCACAGTATGGAAAGAGTGTGAACATATTGTGGGAGAGTGTGATCACAGTATGGAAAGAGTGTGAACATATTGTGGAAGAGTGTGATCACAGTATGGAAAGAGTGTGAACATATTGTGGAAGAGAGTGATCACAGTGTGGAAAGAGTGTGAACATATTGTGGAAGAGAGCGGTCACAGTGTGGAAAGAGTGTGAACATATTGTGGAAGAGTGTGATCTCAGTTTGGAAAGAGTGTGAACATATTGTGGGAGAGTGTGATCACAGTATGGAAAGAGTGTGAACATATTGTGGAAGAGAGTGATCACAGTGTGGAAAGAGTGTGAACACAGTTTGGAAAAAGTGTGAACACGTTGTGGAAAGAGTGTGGAAGAGTGTGATCACAATGTGGAAGAAATGAACACAATGTGGAACACTGAAGACATTGTAGACAGAGTGTAAACACATTGTGGAAGGTTGTGAACAGATTGTAGAATGAGTGTGAACACTGTGTGGAAGAGTAAACACAATGCGAAAGAGTGTGAACACATTGTGGAAGATTTGCACATATGGTGGAATGGTGGAATAAGTGTGATCACAGTGTGGAAGAAGTGAACAGGAAGACTGTGAAGACATTGGGGAATGCGTGTGAACACTGTATGGAAGAGATGAAAGCAATGTGGAAGTCTGTTAAGATATTGTGGAAAGATTGTGAACACATTGTGGAATTAGTGTGAACACGGGAAGAAGTGAACACAATGTGAAAGAGTAATCACAGTTTGGAATAGTGCGAACACTTTGTGTAAAGAGTATAAACATTTGGTGGTATGTGTGTGAACATATTTATTGTGGAAGAGTGTGATCACAGTGTGGAAAGAAAGAGTGTGAACACAGTGTGGAAAGAGTGTGAACACATTGTGGACGACTGTGAACACATTGTGGAATGAGTGTAAATACTGTGGAAGAAGTGAAAACAATGTGGAAGACTGTGAAAATATTGTGGAAAGAGTGTGAGCGCAATGGGAAGAAGTGTGAATACAGTCATGTGTTGAAGGGTATGTTCACAGTATGGAAAGAGTGTGAAGACAATTTGGAAAGAATATTTCCAATCACTATTTCTTTTCCCCTTTTTCCCTTTTTTCCCAGGCATCCATCATGGGACATTGGACCGGAATCAGCCGAACCACTCGATTCTCCCTTTCTACGAAGATATCGTCAGTTGATGAACGAAACAAATTACGCCATCCGGAGCGTACGGGACTATGTCAGGTTAGAGCGGGAAGCTCGGCGTAGAGTCCAAGCCGAGGAACGCACGATCGAGCTGAAACACGGAAATGAAACCTTCATCATTGAAAAGAAACAGTTGATGCAGAAAGTCCTAGAACTTGTTCCCGGGGCCAGGCCCATCACAGGCAAAAAGCCCCAGCCAAGAGCGGGGGCGAAGACCCGGAAAGAAGAGGTCATAGTTCACAAGGGACGACCCAGAGATAAGAGAAATAACTCGAGGAAAAAACAGAAACAGAAACTGAAGACAAACCGAAAAGTACGGAACATTATGCGCAATAATAATGAAAAAGTAAAAAGATGATAGCAGGACAAGCTAATATCCTACGATTGATACCGTCCAACAGTTTATTATTCTATATTCTTATAGATATCTTTAATGCTCTCTCGCGAAATATTGGACATTCTTCAAAACATTTGCTGCAGAGATGAGAGACAACCGTGGTGTTGTGGTTCATTAAACTGACTTTTGATTGAGAGGTTGTAGGATCGACTTCCTATCCGATGTTGTATGTTGTTATACTGTATAATAAAATATTAGGGCAATGACCTAGAAAGTACTTTGAACATAATCGTTAAGACTTTCAAAAATCAGCTCATAGCAATTTGTAATAGATAAAAATGTTGCGTCATATTTTGTTGTTGAAATGTGCAAAGATGAAATCGAACATACTTTTTATATAGGCAATACCGATAGGCTATATAATAGCCGTTGAATTGATTCTTGAAAGTGTTTGTGATTGGGTTTTTGTGTGTGGAAAGTACAGAGAACATGATGGGCTGTTGAGCAGAAATATATTAATATTTTGAGCCAAGGCGCTTTTGTAAAAGAACATAACTACGACAAGCAAAATATTAATTTCAGCCATGCGCAAGTGCAAAGATATTTTAACCATGTTTTTGTTTTCTTCCATTTTTTTTACTGTGTGTTCCGAACTCAACTAAGATGTAATTAAATGCGTATAATTATCATGGAGACCAATTATTTCACGAATTCACATAGTTTCCTGGAAATTGTCTATTTTGTCAAACACAGTGGCGGATCCAGGGGGGCCCGGGCCCCCCCCCCTTGAGAAAAAAAATCATGTAAAATCACGTGATTTTTACCTTTTTGGGGGTTGGGCCCCCCCCCCCTGGCGCTCAAGTGGGGGGTGCAAATTGAATTTGTTTTGAGGATCAAAAAAAAAAAATGTGCTCACTACCCCCCCCCCCCCCCCCCCCCCCCCCCCCCCCCCCCCCCCCCCACTGAGCGAATTTTTGGCCGGCGCGATTTTCAAATTTTCGGGAGCAAAAAAAAGAAAAAAGTTGGGCCCCCTCCCCTAAGAAATCCTGGATCCGCGCCTGGTCAAACAAGTTTATGATTACGTCCTATCGCTGGCTCATTATAATGCATATTCAAAGGTTATCCATTAGATAGACTTTAACTTTTACCTACATGTTTGTAACTTGATATCGACAAAATAGAGTTACATTTTTTGTTATACTGTTAAGAATAATGAAATTATTAACAACATTAAATGCGATGACAATGTGCTATCAAATGTTCCTAGCAAGGTAAAGTAAGATTGGTTTCAAAGTTTTCGAATATGGGCTTATCATTTCAGATTAGTGATTACTTTCAGAATATCTTAATTCATAGTTCGGTCATGAGTGTTAATTCATGATCTATACAAGGGCATTTGAAATAATTGATTTTAGCTGCATTTTTAAAAACAATATTTGTTGGTGGCACGGAGTTTTTTCTTTGCAAATAATAGATTTTTTTTTTTAAATAAATATAATGCTTCCTGGGAGAAAAATCAATTTTTTAAACATATTTGTGGCTTACACACAGTAAATCAATCGATCTTATTTACTGGGTGTAAGCCACAAAATTATGTTTAGATAATAGATTTTTGAAGCATAATGCATGTATAAATTGCAGCTGGCGTACAGACGATATTCCTTACAATACAGCAATGTTTTTTAATGCACCTTTATTCAATAAAACACGATTACTGCTTGTAATTGACTGGTTCACATACACTTTAAAATGAATTTAAGATTTTTCATGAGCGAGATAGGCCCTTTTCTCTTAAAAGTGTTTTAACGTACTTGAAATGTTTTTTTTGTATATTACTGAAAACCTGACCCCAAAGAATAAGTGTACTGTGAATATAAAATGTATTCCTGCCCTTTGATGTACAAAATTCCTTTTTTTAAACGAAAGTGTACAGGAAATTGTGTGAACGGAAATATTCGTGGCATGATGTAATGCCTTTTAGCAAGACATGGGTGCATGCAACCATATTCTTGATAATGTGACATACCAGGCGAACTTGCACATGACTGTATCATGCACCAAGCTTTAGTTGGAAAGAATGTTAACTTAATTACAAAACATATACTTTTCATTGAGGGAAATCAGAGCTGAGAAGGATCAATTGTAATTTGTAAAATATGTATTACGGGAAATAATATTGTAATCATTTTTTTTTATAATACTGAAATATACATGAAGCAGTGGGTAAATCTATTTCATTCGTGCGAACCTTCATCCCAGAAGAGCGCCAACTTAATTTGTGTGCAATTTGCGTTCTGAAAATTGTAGTACAAAGAACAGTAGCAGGTGAATGAAATACTTCATCATACATTTACTTGATAACCGACTTCGCATTGTACGTCAGGTTATCAAGAATATGGCGACGCACATGTCGTGCTGAGAAACCATACATTAGGCTTGCTAATATAACTCTCTCATATACACTTTAGTGGGGAATCATGTATAATTGGCAATAAAGCTATTTCTTTGCGGAGGTTTCCTTTAAGGGCCTTTAAGCTGTCTGAGTTGTGCAAATTATACATTATCCTTTCTCATTAACATAGCATTGTAATCAGATCTCGTCAGAACTTAATTTGTCACTAATCAATCGCTCGTCTGTCCCTCAATTTTGTACATGAAGTGAAAATATATCAAGTTAATGTTAAATAATGTTTACACGGTGCGATCTTGCATTAAATTCCGCAGTTCGAATAGAAATTTGCTATATATCTTTCTTTTCTTTTTGTTTTCTTTATTTGTTGAGTTGTTTTGCTGTCTGGAATCAGGTTTGTGCTGAAAAAATCAGCTGGGCTTCGCCGCACTGACGAGAGATGGGGCTCTAATATGTAATCCGAAGTTTCTTTCAGCCGAAACGGAAATGAAATCTAATTTACCTAAAATTCAATAAGTTTGATTACATAAAAATTTATAATTCCTAAAATGAGATAATTGATGTTCCTTGTTTGACTTTTGGCAACGTGACAAAAACAGGGTTTTGAATTGATCTAGCGGCCAACCAACAACTCTCTGTCTCGCTCACAAACCAATTCTGAAATGTATGAAAGAACCCCGCCCAGGTTTGAAGTTTTGAGTCTTTCAATTGTATTGTATACAACTATTTTGTCAAAGAAAATTTGGTTCTATATAGAAACACTATCATGTCTAGAAAACTTGAAGATGGTTATTGCAAGCAAAAGTGTTCGCATAATTTCTCGTCATCTTTAACATTATACTACTTCATATTTTTATAATTAACATATTATGCGTACTACCTTCTCTTTATGTTTATATTTAAACGAAATCAAACTATCGACATACCACACTCTACAAACTATGTTTTGCTATTCTCTAAACACAATAAACATGTAAATAATGATAATTATTTTTTATGTTTTGATTATTATATTTCTCTTCATGTTCTTCCCAAAGTTACAAACTAATTACAACACAGTCATAATAATACAAAAGTGATATAATATATAGATCATCAACGTAAAATACTTAAATTGTTAAACTAAGTAAAACTAAGTTAAGCTTAAAGGCGTGGTAATCCTTTATATAACTTAATGATTCCTATATTCACAAATGTTGGGGATGGGATTAAAAAAGATGTATGAGGAGATGACAGGAGGAGATGGTAAATAGAGTGATAAGGTGATGGCTGTTATTTTCTTATTTATTTCATATTATAATTACTGTTCATAAATAATCAGTTGGGTACCGGTCATGCGATTACATTCAGAAACTGTCTGGAAGAAGTTGAGACAGGTTAATTATGTACAATTCTATATCATTGATGTTCATTTGTAGTTTAAAGATTTGAAACGATAAAAATGAAAAGAATTTGGCTCCGTCGATCGAATAACACATGGACTAATATACACTACTACATTGGACTACACACAAATATTGTTTGGTCCGAACTGTTCAGCCATTTCTCGTCATATTTCAAATAATATTAGGGCATTTGAAGAGCAATTCTTTTCAGGGGACATTTTTACTATGCTTTTTGCCAAATGGACGTACAAAGAATGAGAAAGCTTACGAATTAAACTTTTCTTCTGTACTAAGTCAACTTTCCTTTTAAGATTCGATGAAATACATGAGTATTTCTTTGGTCTTAGCTTGGGTCTTATCGCCATCGCTCTTGTCGGTTCGTACGTGTCTCTTTCTTCAAAATCTCCGCCGGATCTCCATTTAGGTACCATTTTTCATGTCCAGATGAAGTTTAAGTAGATTAAAGTCGTTAGTTTAAACGACTTCCACTTCATCTACTCCGGGCTAATTGTTCATGAGGGGGTAGGAGAGTGAGTGGATAGAAAACAGGTTGTGATTGTCATAGGGAGAGACATAAAGAGAGGAGACAGCATACAAGTGATTTTAAGAGAGAGATACATAGAGAGGGAGAAGAAAAGAGAGGGAGTGAGATGGTGCTAAAAGAGAAGGATAATAAGAAAGAGTTGGTGCACTCATATTAACGAAATGTTTCAAACATTATGCAATGAGTGAAAACGAAGGATGCACTTTATGGGTACGGAATATAAATTTAAAAGTAATAATATTTACCTACCCATTTTCAACTAAATATGCAACGACGGAAAACGGTGTTCGATTTATAGTTTTCTTGCAAAAGAAAAAAATATTTTGCAAAAGTTCCCTTTGGGAGGGCAAGTCAGTCATTGGAGTTTAGTGATTTAGAGCGAGCAACGCCCCTGCTCATACATTGTTAGATTTTGAAATTAAAAAAAATGTTTTATTGCATGACCATGTGACGCTTCTAGAAGGTTGACGTCAGTTTGAACCAGGGAGGTGAGACAAATATGACTTTTCCAGTTGCAAACGATAATAATCTTTGAGACTTCGGTTAAGCAACAAAAGAGAAGTTGACAGCGAAACCTTGTTGAGAGCTAGACATACAAAACTGTGGGATTCGAATATAGCTTTGGAGGGGCACTATTCGGTGAATGAAATTATACCACAGTTGGGACACTTTCTCATCGAAGAAGGGGCACTGTTCTTGATTTTAGGGGGAGATGGTAAAAAGCGGCCCCTTTCATCCTTTGACCCACCTACTTGTATTAGGGCTCCACAGGGCAGAGTAACTGATAGAGCATGCATACCTGGCAGGCATACTATAGTTTTTAAAGTAGTATTGGTATTTGTGATATCAAGGGGGTCAATATTTGCATACCTCAGGGTCGGATCTAGGATTTTGGAAGGGGAGGAAACCATCCTTTAAAAATATGCGACAAAGAAATAATATTTTCCCCTATTAATGGAAAAAGTTTCAGAGAGAAAGAGAAGGCACTGTAAATTGATTCATGATCTCACCACGTCTGAACCGGTATGGGTATCCGTTTATGATATAAAGAGCGATCGACCGGATATTCGAAATCCGAAATCCGAAATCCACACGGTTTTTGTAAAGCCCTTTCGGAGCAAAGGTACGTCCACGGAGTGGCAAGACTTTTCTGCTAAATTTCAGCAAGATCTGTCGACTGAACCATGGGGAAGAGAGATACAAGAGTTGTAAGATAATAATTTTTTCAATGATGTTCTTTTTATCCTTTTCAAATCATTACGAATTGTCTAACATGGCCACAGTGCGCATTCGTGGGCTTGCAACTGCAAGTTCCATTGGCATTTGCACTGCACTCGGCATTCTGCATGAATGTGCATTTAGGTCTAATGTTAATAAATTACTGGCGATGGCGCTGTGGCGTAGAACGCGTCCAAGGCAAGGACCAGTCCAAGCTGTGCACGTCCTGTCATGTTTGCTGATTGAATTTTAGTAATAATTTGTGAGTGTGAATAAGTCTAGCCCTGGGTTAAACAGTTGTATACACTATACTATCAGTACAGTAGGGGCGCTGGTCCGAGAATAAGGATCGTCTCCATAAACCAGGATGCCTCCTCAAATAGATAAGGTTTCATATTTTTTGATCGGTTCGTTGATGCATTTTTTATTGACTTTGTACAGAGACTTTCACATTATGAGCGATAATCCTCGGGGAGACGGACAACCCATAAAAGTTGACCGTGATGTAGGGTTATTTTCTTACGCGGAATCCATTTTTAGCATCGCCAGCGGGTGGTTAGGTAACCCGAGACCCGCAGAGCGCCGATGAAAAAAAAGTCTGCGAAAATGCAGGTGATCCTTATTTCTGAGGACGTATTTTTTCCGTGTGTACGAGGATATCCTCGTTTATGAGAACGATCATCATTCTTGGACCAGCGCCCCTACTGACTATAGTATAGGGCGCTAGACCTAGTTCAAGATCATATCCAGACTTTGACCCGTAACTCCGGCATGCATGGAGATACTAAAAGTAAAACATACCCAAAATCAACTAAATCTCCATCAATTGTTCAAATATAATCATGATCAATAGTCATGATTTGAAATTCATCATATTTCATACCTGTTTCGTGGTAATATTTTAATATTTTTGGAGTATTTTCCTAGAAACGAAGACATAATATTTCTACACTTTATCACAGATTTCATGACAAACCGCTGCACGATACAATTGCATACCGTACCGACGGTGGGGTGCGGGTGCGCATGCATGCAAAAAGTTAGCAACCGTAATGATGATCATGATCATCATAATGTGAATTAATTACATGAATTTAATAAGGATCTGAGATTTATCATGGTTAGTGCTATTTGATGCGTACTTTTTGTGAAAATCAAAGGCAAAAGAGAAGGCCTCATTTTTTTGTGAATGTCCGAACACACAACCCCCCATCTTACAATTTAGTGTTCTTGAAGGCTTGATGCATGGTACGTTTAGAGATCCATAAACTTGAGTTGTACATTTGAAGGACTAATCATTAATTTCTTTGATATATTTTTTCTTCCTATCAACAGGCGTTTGTAAACCCGATAGCTGCAGCCAGAGCATCAGGGCCTCGACCCCAAGCTGGTCCCTCAATCCAGGAATACTTGAGTCGCCCAAGACCAACCTGGTAAATTGTTTTCTTTCATAATTCATATCAAGTTTGTAGATTTAACCCAACATATGCAACTGCCTCATTTCCACAAGGCTTTCGAAGGCTATTTCTCCAAACCGTCAAAAGTCTAACTTCTCGGAGACCCCCTTGAAACTTGTGTTATAGAATTAACGCGCGTGTCTATGGGATGTCCACGCACTTAGACTTATGACAGTTTTAAGAACTGACCCAGTTCGTCACAGATATAGGTTGCAATAGGTTTGAAAGTTAGGTTATCCCTTGATGGTTTGGGTTAGATACAGTGTTTGGTCCAGGGTTGAAGTTAGGAATCCGAAGATGACCTTTTATTTGTAAGGATGGAGACTTGGATAAAGACACATGTTTTGTTTAGCATCAATAACGTGTCATTTTTGTTTTTATCTACAACAAAAAAATTCTCCCAACAATAATAATGATAATAATAAAAACGGTGCTTATAAAGCGCTTTCCACAGAAGTCTCTGAGCGCCAACTCATGATTGTTTTGAAAGAATTCATGTCTAAAGTGCCCCCTTATCACTCCGGACAAAATACTTCACATATGTACTCCTATTCAAATTATTTCAAATTAATAGCATTCATGTAATTTTGTGACTTGTGACTTTTCACTGTTCATCGATCATTACTTGAGCAAGAAATTAAAGTATGAGATTTATTTTGTTACCTTGAATTTTCTTCTTTCTTTTTGTTATTCAGGGAAGAATGGCAGGAGGAACAGAAGAGAAGAGAAGCAAAATCCAGCAGTTTGGCCTTTTGGGAAGACAAGATCAATATAGTAGGTTTATAATTATCTAGGAACCTATGAAACAATTTGCTTTACAACCAGTCAATTTTAAAACTTGCTTTAGTGATTTGTTAGTGGTCCACTTTTGCTGCAAGAAAGTTTAGCGTATCGCAAGATTTCAGTGTTGTGTTTCACTTTCAATCATTTTGCAGTATGAAACCATCATGAATCTGGTATATTCACAAAACTGATTCAGGATTTGCATTAATTGATAAGACAATTAAAGTTCCAGTTGTCTAAAACGTACTGTATAATTAATTATGTACATTTTTATCCTATATGTATTTATAATTTGTATGGCATTACTGGGTCAGAAATTTTAGTGTGTGCTAGTTTTAGAGATCTTGAAATAATGTCTCTTTCCTTGGCCCCAACCCATGAGAATGAACAATTGACATTGCTAATGTGTTTCTAATGTAACAGAAATTCAGAGAAGACTTGAGGAAGACTAGAGAGAAGCAGCTGGGATCATCAAGCAAAGATAAAAAGGTAAACAAAAATTAATAGTATTCCTTCAAGAAGCAGTACATGCATTACATTTATCCATGTGTTATTGTTTCCACAATATTTGGAGTACTCGTCGTTTTTGTTTTTTGTTGGGAGGGGGGTGGGGGGGGGGTTGTGATAAAATGTCATATGGAGTGTTCTACCAGTATGCACAATTTTATTTTAAATTTTTCATTAAAAAATAAATACTTTCTAAGCAATCTATTCAGTGAACAAATTTTTATGTAATAGTATCCACTTGTGTGTGCTAAGGAATTGTTACAAACTTAGACTGAAGAGTTTGAATTCTCGGGATAAAGTGACAAGTTGACTATTTTCAAATCATAATAATCCATGTTTCCTTGTTTCCTGCAGGAAAAGAAATCCTCAAAGAAGAAGAAAAAGAAACGAGAGAGGGTGAGTGAAGTTATCAAAGATATATGAGATTCTACTAAGAAGCACTTGGACATTATGGAACATATAGAACATGTCTCTGACAGAAGTTTAGAGTTAATAATACATAATAACTAAATGTTTATTGCCATACATGTATGTTCAGAAGATGCAACCTAGTGAAACATGCGTTTCCCAAACCAAAAAGTTCAAATTTGATTCTCGAACTGTAATCCTTCTGGCAGGTGAATATATAAAAAAAAAAACTATTTTCAAAAGACAGGGACTGAGATATTATAATCTTTTGAAAGAATAACATTGCCAGTCGTTGTGGAAATCTTGAAAAGTAAAAGATGTGAAGGGAAATGGAAATATAATGGTAATACCGGTACATTACTGTGACTAAAAGGAGACAAATATTGTCAGACCATTTAGGCTTATACTAAGGGTTATCCAGGATAATGCCATAAGATTTAAGATTCAAGATTTTATTGTCCATAATATAATACAGAAATTTGTTTTCCATTGGTGTAACATGTAATACATAAAACATAAGACAAAACATGGTGTCACAGAATAGAATTATTTGTTGTATTCTTTTTCCTTTGAATAGCATCAGTTGGCAATGTTGTCCACTAACTGACATAAATACTGTAGGGTTCGGTGATCCATTATGTGAAACTTTGAAATATTGTTCTCTTCAATATTTAGCATACTTTGTATTTCACCATTTTAAAATACATTTTTCTGTATTTTTCAGATAATAAATAATTTAAAGATTTTGATCTGCTCTGTGTGATGAAGAAAGTTGTTGCAAAAAAAAAAAATGAAATTCATATATCCTGAAAATCTGAACATCCCAGTAAACTGGAGCTCTCAGAAAAGTTGAAGGAAGGCCTGTGTGAGAATGACTGAGTCACTGACTAATTCCTCTCATTGGCTGTCGGTTTTCCAGAAGGCCCACGAATCGACATTGTCAGTCTCTTTTTCCATCCGTCTCATGTGCTGTAGTAGGAGAATTTTCATCATACATCACAACTCTCAACACACTGATTGTATGGAAAGCTGTCATGCACAAATTTCTTGCTACTTCAAGCATGACTACGGCTGCAAAAGTATAAAATTTCCGGGAATGACATTGCCTAATTAAAATATCCGTAGATTCAAAACACCTTACCAAATATTGATGATCTTGATGTTATTTCACTTGAAAAAGAATTTTCTACCTAGTAAACGAAAACCAATGACGATTTGTCAGTGATGTTGAGTTGAAATTGCAGGTCCCATATATTGCGTTTTGGGTTAAGTATGAATCCCCCCCCCCCCCCCTTTTTTGTGTGACACAATCTCAATGATGCTCATTTAGTTATATCTCACTCTTCCCCCTCATCTCAACTGCATCCTGTCAAACATCCTCTTCATGGTTCAAGTCTCCATCCTCATCCTCATCATCTTACCAATCTTCTGATGACAGTGATTCTGAGTCTGAAAGAGAACAGGTATGTCTAGCATCTTTTAACACTTTGGTTGCTTTCTTCGCCTCCCAGCACAGTCGGTCATTTGCCCCATGTGCAATTTCGCACAAAACAATAGGTACCGATTGGCCAAAGGAGTGCTTCCAGTCTTGATTTTAGCTCCATGAAAATATGCAGTTAAATAATCTTGAATCCTTTGGTATATTTGTCCCCTTATAAATATAATGGGGCACATGGATATAAATTGTGTGGCAAATAACGAGTTCTTCTATATTTCCTCCTTTTTTTCCTAATCAAATTGCTTGCAAAAGTTAGCAAAACTAGTCATTTAAAAAAAAAAAGTAAAATCTTTAAGACTCTTTCAGATATGACACAGTTACCCCCACAAAAAAACCCAGTTTTCTTACGTGTAACTGAAAGGTAACTGCAACAAAGAGCATACAAGTATTAGTATTCACAGAGCTCTTTGCTATAAGATGCAGATATGTTAAGCATGTAACACTTATGTCACTTAAGTGCCATGGTTTACCCCTTCATATCTCACCATAGATTTATGTGTAATTTACTATATATATATATATATATACCACAAAAAATACCTATCCCTGCATAGTGTAATTGTAATGATGTTTTCTTTGTTATCATGTGACTGTGGCATTCACTTCAATTTTTTCCCCTCTTTCTCCACACCTCCTATACATACACCACACACAAAATCACCCATCCGTCCTCGTCCTGGTTTCCATGACAACCAACAGAGGAAGAGACGAAAGAAGAACAAAAAGGAGAAGAAGAAGAGAAAGCGGAGACACAGCAGCGATGACAGCAGTGACGAAGACAGAAGACCGTCGGTGAGTCTGAAAGTTTGTGGATTTGTGTGCATTGTGTTAAAATAAACAGGATCAGGGGGTGTTTCACAAAGATCCTAAGTTGAACTTATCTTTAAGTCTGACTTCAAAATTATGGAAAGCCGTTAGCCTCTTTGAAAATATTTTGTAAAAGTTAATTTTTAAAGGTATAAAAACTGATTCAAATCATTCATAATTTCTATCATAAAGGAGATTTCATGTTCTTGATGTGGAATTGATAAAAGTCTAAAATACTTGAATTTTCACTTTTGAATATATTTTATTTTAAGGATACAAATGGCTCTCCAGAATTGTTAAGTCCAACTTAGAGTTAAGTTTGACTTAGGATCGTTGTAATTAAACTAAACCAACTTTTTTATAAAAAGTAAGAAATCACCTGCTCAAGTGCATGAGAAATTAATATTTTCCTGCATTAATAGAGGTATTTCAAGTCTGATTTTGCCTACCTGGTACCCTCTGGCTTGTAGTAATATGTAGATGCCTGAACGGAAAATAATATTCACAATATACATGTATTTAGATGAAGTAAATGTGTGGAGACGACATATATCCAGAGTTGGTGTCCGATTCTGTAACATGAATTACCCAAATTTGCCCATTCACCTTTTGGAATAGGGATCATCGTGTTCCAAGCATACTGTCTGGGGTAAATTAGTGCCAAATCATTGCAGTTAATAATAAAGCGACATATTCACTTATCACATTTTGTCTATAAATAAAGTGATCCAACATACCTCCAGTAAGATCATCTTTTTTTAGTTTGAAAAAATAATTTTAGAGCTACATTGGATCCTCATTATAAAGATCTCTGATATAACGAGACTATCTGTTACAACAAAGTGAATTTGCTGGTCCTGCTCTTTAGCTTCGTATAACAAGGTTCCTGATATAACAAGGTAATTTCCACGGTCTCAAGGATCTCCTCATAACGAAATTCCACCGTCTTTATCTAATGCCATCTTTTTATTTCCTTCTTCTCGTTACGCAGAAATCTAGAGAGGGGAAGAAGTCGAAGCACAAGAAGCATCGTAAATCAAAGAAAAGGAAAGAAAGAAGTGCCTCCCATTCAGATTGATTCTTAATTCATCTAGATGTATGATGCTGCCTTTCTTTGCTAAACAACATATTAATGTAAAATGGGCGATCCAACCTTTGTAAATGGATTATTTTTGTGAAAGCAGAAAAATGAGAGAAACAGAATGGCAAACGTTTGAAATAAATTAGGAAAAACAATAACAAAAGTTATGAATGAATGACATGTGAGGTCACTAAATGGGTCTTCCCTAAAGAAAATTTCCTCCTGAGCGATACATTTCGAAAGTTGAAGTTTTATGTATATTGATTACAACTTTCAAAAATTCATACCTTTCTCATTGTTTGTGTGATTTTTTTCTTATTTTCGCCAATCTGCTTCTCTGATTTTTCTGTTTTCTTTTAGATCAATTTGCTTTCATGGTTGGAATACAGTTCCAGTCCGATACTATGTTGTATTTTTTGTGAAATTATGTAAATATGGTTATCAATATAAGAAACATGTATGAATGAATAAGTTGTAAAAAGCAACTTCAATGTACATTTAAAAAGCACTATTTTCTCCGAAGAGTGGTATACTGCAATTGCTGCACACAGATTAAAGGTTGCTGTCAAGAGTATGACATGGTGTAATTGCTTTTCTTATTTCATCAAATTAATTTATCATATTGAGGTCACTCAGTTTGTTTCCTTTTTCTTTTTTGGTTATTTTGTGTAAAGCTTTCTTCTCTGCTAGTCTTGAGTTATGGATGTTTTAGTGCAGTTACATGCACTCTTTAACCTGTCTCGCAATAGTATTGCAACTGTGTACATAAATTCTAGCTTTTTTATTTTTTATTTTTTATGGGGCTGGTTCTCTTATAGATGTGATGTTGGAAAGAGGAATGTAATGTTATGGAATGTAATGGACTAAGAACTGCTTATTATCTTCAGAAATTTATGGACTGAGAGCTGCTCATTATCTTCAGAAAGTTATGGACTGAGAGCTGCTCATTATCTTCAGAAAATTATGAGGTGGAGGAGTGGGAATATTCGTCGCAAGTAGGCTTTTCAATTTCCCGTAATTGCTTTTCATCTACAAGTCTAATGAATTTATTTATTTTACAGCATGAATATCATGAAAAACAGAAGAATTGAGTTGCATCCTCATACATAAATCTTAAGGTACAGGGTTGAAGTTGTGCATTTATTAGCCAATGTCTCCAACAAAATTCAGTATTTTCTTTTCCAACCATGTGACAAGTTCTGACCTTGATCATTTTCATCAACATTATTTCGCATGATATGAGCCACCCTGAATACTAAAGGTCCTCGGACAATGTATTGTGAGTTGAAGACAATTTGCAAAATACAGCTGTATTAGTCAAAGATTAGAGAAGCCTTGAAAGGCAAATACTGCAAAGAAGTATTAACGGACATTAATTAAATTTCCTTATGCCATACGTCAGAGGACACTTGTGTAACTTTTGTGCTGTTATTGAATTTTTATGAATGTATATTTTAAACAGTGTATTGAGTTTTGAATTATTCCATTGAATTTAATGTAAATTGAAGTCTTTTTTTATTTATTCCCTTTAAGGTTTCACTTTCACTGTATTTCACATTGGTTTAAAATGATGAAATCATACATGTATTCTGTTAATGTCAGAGTCTGAGCTTGAATAATTCTTTTTTTTAATTAGCATTAACAACTAGTAGTTTGTACAAGCAATACGCATTGTGTTATTTAATTTCAAAGTTTGACATTTCATGGTAGTTTTCATAGTCCTGATAGATAGTTATTATTCTGTTGGTCAAAATGGTCAACAATTATTGATTTTACTTCATATTTTCTAGTGAGAGACTGATAAAGTGAATTTTGAATATTAATGAGCTCGGTCAGTTGCCTTCTTGAAGTAAAACAAAATGTAAATATAAAAGAAAAAGAAATATAAAAAATATACTGGGCAGTATGATTTTGTACTATTTTACTCAGTCTAGACAAATGGATCTTAAGTGTAATGCATTCGGGCTTTGTAAGAGAACGAACTGATATGTTTTAAAATGATTCATTTGATAATTGATTTTGTTAATATATTTTCTCTTCCTTTCTAGAGTGGTATTCTTTCTTTTGCAATCATGTATAAAATGATGGATATTTGCTTGTACTCAATACATGGATATTATTATGTTGTTGCATGATATGAATATGCGATTTTGTAAATAAAGTGAATTGCTAAATGGATTTGGAATATTGGAAATTAACAGTGAATTTTGTTATTTTGTTTGCCTGACGAATTTGTTGTAATAAGATATGTGGGCTGAAGAATTATTTTCAAATGATTAGAGGATAACAACAACAACAATTTTGACTCTCTTAATGTAATAAACACTGAGCAGCATTTATTTCATAATCAAAGTAGACAGTGGTACAAATAGATCATAGGTATACAGAGTTATGGGATATTGCCAAAGCAGGGCATAACACATAGAACATAAAACGTACAGTTGTACAGATACGATACATGCATGTAGTTCAATGAGATAAACTATATGAGGTAATTAACATTTCAGAAATATTGATCAAATGGAAATAATTTGCATTTAAGTGTAGTTTTTATCATGAGAATGATGTGGTGAGTAACTTGGGAGTATTACATTACATGCATTACAATGAATTGACCGAGTGCGATAAACTACAGAGTGAGTCAACAAAAAATTTACACCTATTATTTTTAAAATCATCTATGGACAGTAAATTAGTACCGGGTATACATCTTATGAAAGAGTGTTTTATCCCAAATCATTTGGTATCATTTGTGTGTGGTATGTAGAGTATAGGGTAGAGTCGGTGAGAGAGAGGCGACATATGCTTTCGATAGGTACGAAAGTTCTGGAAGAAAGTAAAGAGGAAAGATGGGGAAAGCAAAAGAAGAGACAAATATATATATATATATATATATATATATATATATATATATATATATATATATATATTAGATAGCTTAGACAGATACCGAGATGTGATTGGTCCAGAGCTCGTCACGTGATATCAATTGCGAGGATCCAATTTGTTATATTTTCCTGGTTGGTTATATTTTCCTGGATGGTTATATTTTACCGGCTGGTGAAAATTTTTTTTCATGAATTTTTTTTTCCCTTGAAATTATATTTCCACATTTTATTTTTTTCCCCAAAAATGCTTTTTTGGGTAATTTTTTTTTGTTTTGAATTTATTTTTCTCCAAAAAAAATGTTTTTGGGGGGTAAGAATTTTTTTTTTCTCAAAATTTTTTGTTAATAATTTTTTTTGTAAGGTTTTTTTTTGTTCTTGAACTATCTCGATTATTTTCCCGTAATTTTGATTGTTCCCCCCCCCCCCCCCCCCCCACGAAAAAACCCAAGGCTATCTAATATAACAGTTATTGACTGGCAGGAACATTCTTTGGACCTGAAGGGAGTTATATTTTCCCTCGTGACCATATTTTCCCTCAGCGCTGCGCGCTTCGGGAAAATATAACCACTTGGGAAATATAACTCCCTTAAGCGGTCCAAAAAATGTTATATTACACCCCTAGCTGCCAGTCAATAACTGTATAATATAGGCGTGAAGAAAATGGTCTAGGAACGTGAGACTTATATATATATATATATATATATATATATATACATATATATGTATATATCGATGGTTTGTTAGGATAAAAAAAAACACAATACTGTCATGTATTGTTGAAAACATTCCGACAAACTAAATTATAGTGATGCCAGCGATTTTGCTTTGATCCAAAAAAAAAATCATCCAATACCCGAGTCAAACCAAGGAATCCGACAACAGACCGAATACACGATACCACATCACCCTCAATGACCAAGAATACTGTATGTCGGTTCGGAATCGGTTTGGAGGTGTGACTTGGGTATGGTATCAATACATGAGTGGTCATGTACCAAAGTGAGACAAACTTTAGAAATACACTCGGGTAAATACTTTTTTGATAATGATAATTAGGTCTTTTAACACTTATAGTCAGGTGGAAACTCCCAACAATTTCCAATTCTAAACGAATTTCTAACTTCAACATTTGATCCAACACTATATACAAAACGCTTTCACTCAATCAAACCTAAATCCCTAACCCTAACCCTAAAATTAATTACCACATACAAACAAAACATTTGAGAATAGAATGGCAATGTTAGAAGTATCTGCTCAAAAAGAAACACGATCGGGTAGACTCTCGAAAATTAATTTAAAGGCAAGTTCAATATCTTTGTCCATCATCTACATGTACGAACATTACAATGGCGTAGAGCACAATCCGACCATGATTTCTATTGGATGTGCAGTAGGGTCTCAAAATTGCCCTTGTGTTGGTTTCTCGAAAGTCTGTGCCACCATGATACACGCCTTTTGATGAATCTTTCGTTCTATTGATGCGTTTCTTTGGTTTCGACAGGTGGTTCTGCAGCATGACTATTGGCGTTGATGTCTTGCAGGCTTATTTTCGAGTAGACATCCCGTAGCTCATTTGGCGACTGTTGTACAACGATGACTTTGTCCCCATCATCGACATCCTGAGAAAAAGAGAGAATGGGGGAGTGATAGAGGGAGAGAGGGAGGGTGGGGGTTATGAGAGGGAGAGAGGGAGGGTGGGGGTTATGAGAGGGAGGGCAGAACGAGAGAGAGAGGGGAAAAGGAAAGAAATAAGAGGAGATCGAGAGGGAGATAGAGGAAAGAGAGATGGGAAGGGAAAAATTAGAGCAGGGGAAAAAGAATGGGAAAGAGAGCGAATTATGGAGAGAAAGGGGAAAGAAGGGAAGAGAGTCAGGGAGAGAGAGGGGGGGGGGCAAAGGAAAAAAGAATGAAATAAAGAAATACATGCAGATTTCTAGAAGGAAATAAGTCTTGATGCTAATAGTTTTACAATTTAGTCGCACAGTTTTAATTATTAACCACATTGGTATGTTGACCAGAGTAAACGTGGCCTGATAATTGCCTATAGCCGTATGTATACATATTGACAGATATATTGTCATAATAATAATAATAATAATATAATAATAGCCTAATAGTCCACTCCAAATTTTATTAAACCGAAACGGAAATTCTTTTTGCCCAATTGATCGTGAGCCCGGCAGCCACTGAGCAGCGCCAGATCGACGTTGCTCTATCCCTTATTGTTTAACGCCAAACAAGGTAGCAACAACTCCCATCTTTTAACGTCTTTTGGTATGACGCGGCCGGGGTTCGAACCTACGACCTCCCGGTTGTGTGGCGCTCTACTGACTGAGCCAACACTCCGGTGTATGTCATCGACATAATACCGTCTATATTAATTGATGGAATTGACTGATTCTTTTTCAAGAGAATAATTGTGTCTTCTTACATCTTGGTAGTTTATTTTTTCTACACCACAGCGTATCCATTTCTTAAGGGATTCAGGCAAACAACAGAAGACGGCGTCTGTGATGTTATACTTCAATCGAGCATCAACCGAATCGGGATCAGTGAAACCTAAGGATAGGAGAACAAAACGCAAAGAGAGGGATTTTTGAAATTTACATCCAAATTTCAAAAAGGGATACTTATAATGGTAATTATATTAATAATAATAATATTTATATTATTATTAATAATAATAATAATAAGAAGAATGATATTCATATTAATAATGATAATGATAATAAAAATACTGAACAATAATAATAACAAGAAGAAGACGAAGAATAAAAATGATTAGTTTGATATCCTTTTCCAGTCAAAATTATTATTTTCTGAAATGAATCGTGCGCTGATAACGCTGGAAGGAATAGGTAGGGGGAATAATTTCGGAAATTGAAGTTTAGTTTGATATTCAAAGTCGCATGGGTACTGGGAGTATACTACAATGCATTGCAAAATCATAATACATTTATAAACAAACAAATAGATAATTAAGACGTATCGAACTGCCTGAAAATTTGAACATAAAATAAATAAACATGATTAACATAAAGACAAAGAGTAACATTAATCTGGATATCTAACGGGGCAAAAAAAATATACGTCATATTAATATGCGAAGTGCGCTTTGCAAAAACTGACTATTATCGTTAATAATTAATACAAATCATTCTTATTTAGTTATTTAACAAATATATGAAAACAAATTTACCAGTTATTCGACTAACAATCATCCCAACCGTAACACAGACCAAGGCGCCGATGGGTGTGTAGTACAGAAAGGAGATTGCATACAGGTTAGTTATCGGCGGTCTGCAAAATAAAAAAGGGGAATTCCAAGACTACATTTTTCAGAAATTGAATATACAGAGAACAAAGCAAACACTCTATTTATTCCATGTAAGGTCATGTGGATTGGAAAAGAAGACTTTCGGGTAATAGTTATTTAATTTTTGTTCTTCTTTTGATTACAAACAGAAGAAAAGTTAAGAAAAATACAGTTGTAAAAAAATGTCAATATTCAATTTAATTTACTTTCCACTTTGGAATATAAACACAGACAATGAGATAAAAGAGGTACATGTACACGATAAGGAAAACAGACAATAGAATTAAGGACAATGTGACTCATGACCTATCGAAAATATAGAACTGTTAGCAAGCTTTCGATATAAAGTACATCTTATTGTAAACAAAAATGGATATTAAATCTAAATCTACTTCATCGAAAATAATCTAACAAATATGGCGAAAAGTCGGGAAAAGACATTTCAAACGTTCCGGAAATATTAGTTGTTTTTGTGTTTTTTTTCTTAAAAAGATGAGAGTAAATATTGAGGGAAATTGAAAGACTAATGAAAAGACGAGAACTGAAATGTATCCGTCTTATTCAGTGGCGAAGCTACGAGGTTCGTGAGCGCACTTGCAATGCCCCCCCCCCCCCACCACCACCACCTCTTATTGAATGGCCATTAAAAGGGAAGGCACCGTCAGAAGAGGTGTCGTGGAATAGTGGTTATTTAACTTGACTCTCAACTCAATTGTTTGGGGTTCGAATCCCAGCCCGGCACCGATGTCCATTAGCAAGCCATTTATGCACATTTTATCATAATTATAAATAATGTTGACGTTAGTACCTTCTAACAGCTGGACACTTGCTACGCCACTAAGCCTTAATATTATAATTACTTGGATTTTTACATCTATAACTTATATTTGTTGTTATCCTCATAAAAATTATCATCCATGTTTGTATTTGAATTATTGAATTTGAATTTGTATTTGAATTTAAACAGTAACTGACAACATTACCTGTGCGGAGGGTCTACCCCCATCGCTGTTGGCGTAACTAATGAATAGCCAGGATCAGCCGTTGCGTCAGTATACATTGACGCATCAGTCGTTGCGTCAGTGTACATTGAATTCGTTGAGTTAAAACTCTCACATCCCTCCACCGAGAGGGGATATTGACCTCTGGTAGAGGGGTAAAGAATGGCGCCGACCTTTAACCAAATGTTAAAGAGGATACTGCATACCAACCCAGCGATAGCCCCCTGGAATAACGGTGACAAGAGATATATAATGGTAGAAGCTATGCCAATAACGAAATGTAGACTTGATTAATTGTAACAAGTGATTTTTTTTTTGAAAAATTAAGAAAAGGGAAAATAACATAAGAAAATTGTGAGTTAGACTTTCGGCTGTGACTGTTACACTTACAAGTGATTAGCTGGAAGTTACTTTAGAGACACACTCATCACCATCATCATCACGAAAACGAACATCAGCTTTATCATCATCACCATCATCATCATCACCAGGGATGGCGATCCCGGGGTGGGGGCGGATCTCCCCCCCCCCCCTCAATTTTTTTAGGGGGATCGTTTCTCCCGGAAAATTTGGAAAAATGCAACAAAAAATGTATAGCAAATACTGACTCGAGAGCGCAACACACTTTTAGGCTCTAGAGGGCCCAAGAGTGCAGCGTTTAGACTAATAAAATGTAACAAAAAAAATTTCTCTCGGTCGCTACACTCCCTTGCATATTAATGTCCTTCACTATGCCCCTTGTCCCTCGTATTTCGTCCCTCCCGGTCATGAAAAAAATCGCCGTCCCTGATCATCACCATCTTCATCACCACCACCACCATCATCATCATCATCACCACCATCATCATCACCACCATCATCACCATCATCACTACCACCATCATCATCATCATCATCACCATCATCATCATCATCACCATCATCACCATCACCATCACAATTTCGTTTACTTGTCATTTTGTCTAATGAACATTTAGGCAACCATCCATATGGTATTATAATAATTTGATCATTGATTGTAATAATCATCAAATGATTATTATACCATATGGGTGGTAGACGAAATGGGCATTAAACAAACTCGCACCACATAGCCTACCTTGTAATTGCAGCGATGCATGAAAATACCTAGGATGAAAACACCCATAGTGCATCCAGTGAAAACTCCGTCAATACTCAGTACGAGCTATAAGAAAGGAAATAAAAAAATACAAATGAAGATTAATCAAAAACTCAAAACTTAGCACTACATTTGTTTCCATCCGAACCCATAATATCCCCCTCCCCTCTTTTCTCTCTCTCTCTCTCTCTCTCCCTGTGTCCTATTTTAAATATTAATCTTTCCGCTTGGCCTTTTTTTATTCTCAAAGTTTCATACTGCTCCCTCTTCATTCACTGTAGCAGATATTATTGCAGTAAAAAGGTCAGGTAATCTTACAAATAGAGGGGGAAAAGATAATTAATATCATGGTAACGCTATCTAAAACGTAGCCGCTGAAAACAGGTTAACATTTTATTTAACTGCCTGTATTTCTTTAAAGTGGTTGCCTCATGTCCAACACAATTTAGAGGACACTTTTGTCTCACAATTTGTGTTGCTTACCTGCAAGATTCCTTGCCCGAGTACGCTTGCTAGAAATGCGAATCCAATGGCTAGAATACCGTATCCCAGAGCTGGAGAGTAAATCACATTTACCAAAGTTCTTATTCTCTGTGTTTCACAAATCCTACCTTTTTATTTTATTAACATCGTTTATTTAATCTTGCTGCTTATTAATCAAAGATTCTGAGACAAATCTTTGAGAAGGAAACCGAGAGACGACAGCGCTAAATCAACTTTCTTATGCGTTCATCATAATAAGATACCATTTCGGGACAGTACATAGTATATAGGCCTACTTACACTACAAAAAGAAGAGAAAATAAAACAAGACTATTTAACATCATGGCCATACAAAATACTTTTCAAGCGATTATCCATGAATATAATGTCCCTAATAGTTCAGGAATCGAAGTACGAGCAACCAAAAGGACCTCATTTTATAAATAGAGACAATCATACACTCTCCTCATTGTGTTAGATTACTTCGATTCATTTGTATTTGAAATGATAAGCCCTAATTATTGCACCGAAAGCATTTTCCTATAGATAGGGCTGAATAACAGCAGAATCCACATTTAATGTTAAATAATGCAAACCTTAAAGCATATCTGTACTAGTTTAAAGGAGGGATTAGACCACCCTGCAAGGTCACTTGACAGTTGGTTATCTCATCAACTCAGCTCTCAATTAACATAAGAAAAAGAGGATCATGGTTGACCAATGGTCACCGATTAGGCATTCTTTTATATATAGAGGGAGCAAGTAGCTAAAGGTAGATCGTCAGTGTAAGCAGGTTATAACTAATTACCTACCCAACATCTTAGTTATCTTGACGTAGGTTTGGGGTCGCATGTTTGGCCACATGGCTTTCACGCCGTCTTCAGCTGCCACGGCGGCTAGAGAATTGATGCCTGATGAAAGAGTGCTGCGAGAAAGAAAAAAAATGTATTCATTTATGATGACATTATGATAATACATAACATTTGATAAATTTATGAAAGACACACAGAAATATAATATTTCAATTTGTTTAAAGTAGATGAATAAACCGTTATTTGTTATTTACAAAACAATATTGCACATCCAAAACGCATTGGCGTAATATTACGGGGGGCACTAGGGTATCTGGCCCCCAAGAAAAAAAAATAGATAGGGGAATGGAAGAAATTTAAGAGGAGCAAGGCCTGCCCGCCCCCCCCCCCCCCCCCACCGATGCTAGTGGCCTTTTAATATCTTGGCCCACACTACGCCATTGTCGAAGGATTCTATAAAGTAGTTTTATCCAAATCAAAAGTGATACCCCAAATGCATGAATGTTTTTTTTTATTGGAAGTTTATGATACTGTATCCATAGCACAGTTGACATCCATTATCCATATGACGTATAGGTTCCATAAATATTCTAATCATTTCACGATTTAGTCATCAACTAAATTGTTATTTGAAAACTTAGCCGAATATACTTATGATGGGCCCTGACCTCTGGCCAATGATGAAACAAAATATGCTCTACCCACCAAAGTCTACCAATAATGATAAACAATAGTTCTGAACACGTACTCGGTTTAAAGAATTATGTAGAACTTTGCAGGAATTGTGAATATGACATGTATTTATATGTCCTATGTGTGAAATTTAAACGTTAGCAGTGTCCTAGTATTCAAATTGTGCAAGGAAACCCGTTTATTTTCTAGACCTCCCTTTCAGACACTATTGAGTGACTGACTGACGTCTTTTTTTTTCTTTGGTAATAACATACATAAAATGAGCTGTAACAGCATGAGCATTTGTCTATATCAATAACCCACTTCTTGTAATGGCCAAAATAAAACTGATTGATTCTATGTGCAGCACAAAACATACTACCATTCGGTACAAGGGTCTGAAAATTAGACTATTACCTAGGCGATTGCAATCACTTATGTCGATTTGACAACTATTGGTCGTTATTTTCCCACGAAAAGCCATTGTCAAACCCTTTCGTTTTGAGGGAAGTTCTAAATGAGTATTGTCAAATGCCGTTGAAATTATAACCTTTTTATTTTATTGACCTGCAAATGGGACATAGTACCTTTAAAGCTTATATGTACTAGTTTATAGGAGGGCTAAGACCACCCTGCAAGGTCACTGGACAGGTGGTTTTCTCATCAACTCAGCTCTCAAATAACATAAGAAAAAGAGGATCATGGGGGACGAATGGTCACCGATTAGGCATTGTTTTCTATATAGAGGGAGCAAGTAGCTTCAAGTAGGTCAGTGTGGCTTTAAGGTAGCGGTTAGATTGGTCTTACCTAAGTGAAGCGCTAACCACTGCAGAGAGAAAGAGGCCTGGTAAGCCGGGCATTTCAGCGAACAACTCCATCACCATCAGTGGCATAATCTTAGTAAAATTAAATGAATAAGAGATGATAACGAACAGAAAGAGAGAAAGAGGGTGTGGGAATGGAGGTTATGCACTAGTAAAATGACTTTCTACAGTAACAAGACAGTAATGATTTAATGTTGTGGAGTATTGTGATTCAATTAAATATCTTTCAATAACGATAAAAATATAATGAAAGATCAGAATGTTCTCATAAAGTGAAATATTTCAATGTATGATCGTAAAATTTTAATATACACAATGTATTATCGAGAATCAGAAAGCCCTAGATGTCAATACGTCCTAAATTCCTTCCATTTCGGAAACTGGGAACAAATCAATATACATAACGGAACAAAAACAAAGAGCAAGTCGATTAATAGCTTCTCATTACCGATGAGGAAACTTGTAAATATATATATATATATATATATATATTTTTTTTTTTTTTTTTTTTTTTTTTATTTTATTTTTTTTTGGGGGGGGGGCTCTAACAGCTGGAGCCCTTTTGAAAACAATTTGGCATACGTTTTGTTCACAAGTCCAAGAATGCCACCCTTCCCCCTCCCTCATGACATTTTTGACATATTCCTTATGACTTCGTTTTAGCTTGTCAGCACATATTTTAGAATATTGTGTCCCCTCATTTTACAAAATCCTGGATCCGCCCCTCCATTCAAATCTAATATCTACTTGATCCTTGTTTGTTACTACGCCATGCGTTAAGGGGTCACAGTTCACGTAGTAGGCGTACATCACCACGCCAGAGAAAATGCAGATAAATATGACGAAAACTTTGGTGATGGTTGCCAAGATGATAGCACTGAAATAATAATTTATGAAAGAAAAGAAGAAAAAAATCTCTGTTTCACATTTTCGCATCCACCATTATCATCGTAATTATGAACGGTAAATTGGATGAAAGGCATATTGTGTGTGATCGGACAATATTCTAAAGTTATTAATACTGAGTTAAGATTCCAACGTTTGATAATTGAGATTTGGGGTAAAATTAAATATAGTTTGTATTGCACGAAAATGAAATGAACCGAGGTGGCAAACATGAATTACAGACATTGTTTTACGTACAAAATAACAAAGGGTATAATCGGCGCCCTGAGGGACACCGAAATGAATCTGTGGCCGTCGTAAAGTGTTTAAACGATTAAACTTTCAATATTTTGCTTTTAATTACTGAAGATTTTACTTTTGGGGTTGTAGAAACAGGGGACCAGCCTAGATAGGCCAATGACCTTTTCTGGTCCCTCACATCCCTACTCCACCCATTAATCATTTTTAGTGTTACTGTTGTTGTTGTATTTGTTCTTATTATATTTGATATATATATTGCATTTTGTATAATTGTATTTTGAAATATATATATATATATATATATGTATACTTGAAACTGAGCTTGAACTTGAAACTTACTGCGTTGCCTTTTTCAGTGATCCACAAGTCAGCATCCTCTGAACGACTACTTGCCCCGCACCAGTAGCGAGATTCCATGAGGTATAACCGACCAACATACTCCAGACGCTATAGAGAACCCTGGGATCAGCACTTATCCTGTCAAATAGAATATGAACATTGCATTCAACTGATATCTATTTAGTCCATTATTATTATTATTATTATTATTATTATTAATCTTTTTTCTCCATGACTCAATCAAAACATGGACAAATGCTTACATAAAGTTAATATCAAATAACATTTACATAACAATATAACATATAAAATGTAACTTATTTGGAATTATACAATATTAAATTCCGATTAGTAATCAAAACATTTTTGGATGAGCACAATAATATCATAAATTACGTCAAATTGAAAAATCCTCTAAAAAGTAGAGCTTTTATTTGTGTGGATTAATCAAAAAAGGAAAAGAATGGAAGAAATAAAGAAAGAAAAAGAAAGAGGAAAATTATCACATGCCAGTCTTTAGAGTAGGCTAGTAGGCCTATAATTTTATGGAAATGAGTATTTGGTTGATAACTTCTCAGAAAGTAAATTGTTGCGATGACTATTGAAGTTCCTGGCTTTTAATACGTCTTAGTCCCACAGTTCTGATCCTAATATATGATACTTTACTTTTATACCGTTGGACTAACAATAAAATATTGGAAATGTCCCATTGTAAGTCATATGAGTTCAATTAAAAGCCAAAACGCTTAGGGAACGGATTAACAAACTAACATTTATTACTAGAGAGCCCCCGCTTCTGTTTTTCTTTTTTCTCTTCTTGTTTGTGGTGGGGGTGTTTGTCATTTGTTGTTGTTAATTTTGATAGTTTTGGATTGGACAGATTTTACCCTTACGGATTGATGCTTATGAATTTAAATAAAATAAAATCTTAACTGACTGATCACATTTACTCCATGAAAAATTGTATTTCTAAAGTCCATTAACACATATTTATCAACAATACTATCCTTTTAGTCACTCATTACAAAAAAATCAACAAACTTAACGATACGACTTAAAGTAGCCATACGAAGAATCAAAAGTGTTTTGAATTGATGCAGAACTCATATCATTGCGAAGGGGAAGCCTTTCTGATCAAATACAACAACTCTTTTCTTCAGAATATGTTTGGGGCCCGCAGTAATCAACTCTCAAAAATTTTAGTTTTGAGATCCAGATTTTCTGCCCTTAATCAGCGGTCCTTTATAGAGCGTCAATATTTGTGACGTCACAAACGGGACACGGCTGGCTAGCTGCAGACTGCTACACGGCACTGAGCTGTTTGTCCAGTGTTTGACGTCACTATTCAGAGCTCGCTACGCTCGTGTGTTTGGCTTACGTTCAGGGGCGTTTAGGGGTCTAAGAAGGGTCTTGAAAAATTGCATTTTACGCCTTTCCATGATATCTATATGATTTCTCAGCAAATTATTCGTGTTTTTCGAGAGAAAATCGTTCCATCCATATGTAATTTGTTCTAATTATCAGTTGTTAGTGAATTTTCTTTGTGTAGCTCCTTTAACATTAAATTCTATATTTGTTGTATTTGCTTTGATACAGCCTATCCCTTGTTCCGATGACACAATAATGTTCGAAAACTCTATAGCCGCGGAAAGGGGGGAAAAGTCGAATTTAATATTAAGTCTTTTCGTTAAATTTGTTGATTTTTTCTTTAGAAACGGGTTAGATGGGTTTAAAAAAAAGTTTAAGAAATGGAATCTTACTCGCGAAAGTGGACTCGGTTCCCCTCCTTTGTGATTTCCCAGACTTTCTCGAGACCGCCGACTTCCATGGTTCCTTTGATGATGAAGGCAATGATGCCGATCATGATGACTACCGCCTGCAGTGTATCTGTCCATAGAACTGCCTTTATACCGCCCTAGGTAAATAGCAGAGATAAACAACAGTACGTTAATTAGATGCTGCGTGTAAGTGTCGGCTTAGTACGTTAATGTTACCAATATTTATGATTTGATTTGATTTATTCATTTCTGTATGATTTTCTTTTTCTTTTGCATTTTTACAAATATATAACAAACAAATATTGCAAATTTACACATGACAAAAGAATATATGTAGAATAAAGTAAGGCTGGGTGTAACTAAACGAGAACATCAAACAGGAGGGTTGACAAAATAAGCAAAGCTTGATAGTATGACTACCCTCAAATAATACATAATAATACAAACATGGAGGAACAAAATATTGGTAAAAGGGGGAAAAGACAGAAAAAAGAAGAGAAAAGAAAGAGGGGATGCATATTAATAGCTGGTTACAACAATAACAACAACAACAATAATAATAATAGCAATTATAATAGAATTGCCGAAAAATGATTAAACATACATGTTCACATTTCATCCTGTTGGGCATTTTGATTAACATTCTGTTAACAGGTCCTTTTTTAATCAAAATCGAAGATAATAATTAAATGACATGTAAAAAATCATTTGAAGATAACAGGGTCGACGTAGAGAGATAAACTGATCATAACATTTATCATAGCTCTCTCTTCCTCTTCCTCTTTCTCTTTCTCTTTCTCTTTCCCTTTCCCTTTCTCTTTCTCTTTCTCTTTTCTCTTTCTCTTTCTCTTTCTCTTTCTCTTTCTCTTTCTCTTTCTCTTTCTCTTTCTCTTTCTCTTTCTCTTTCTCTTCCTCTTCCTCTTCCTCTTCCTCTTCCTCTTCCTCTTCCTCTTTCTCTTTCTCTTTCTCTTTCTCTTTCTCTTTCTCTTTCTTTTTTCTTTCTTTTTCTTCTTTGTATTTCTCTATCTTTTTCTCTTTCTCTTCTCTTACCACTGTAGTATAGAAGATGCAGACGACTCCAGTAGACAGGACACAGGCCCAAAGACTAAAGCCCGTTACTATAGCAATAAAAAGATGAGAACAAAAGCAATTTTAGTGGAAACATTACAACTATAGACCAAAAGATTGACAATCTCAACAACGATGTAGATGTAATAAAATGATGTTTAACAAAATATATAATACTTCTAATTTAATATTTGAAATACTGAATCACATTAAGTTCAACATTATGAAATCCAGAGACGGCTATCGAGGATACTTGGTCAATTTTCCCCAAAGAATTGTCAAACAAGCCCCCCCCCCCCTAAAAACAAAACAAAACAACAACACCAACTAAGATTTAAACCCCGCATAGCCCCTTCAAACATACTCCAGACTGGCACCCAGTCTAGTCGTCTTAAAGCGTATCTGCCATAGTTTACAGGACGGATTAGACTGCCCTGCAAGGTCACTGGACAGGTGGTTATCTCATCAACTCAGCTCTCAGTTAACATAAGAAAAAGAGGATTATGGGGGACGAATGGTCACCGATTAGGCATGGCTTGTTATATAGAGGGCGCAAGTAGCTACAAGTAGTGTAGTGGGCCTTTAATAGTCTCTTCCTTTCCCTCTCCTTCTCTGCATATGTTAACAGTATTTCACCAACTACAGGCTCTTTCTTCATCAGCAATTCAGTCTGCTCGGGTCTGCAAAGTCTGGCAATGATGGTATAACCATTATTTGATTTCATGATTGTGATATTCATTACAAATGTGATTTCAACTTTGAAACATTTGGAAGAAGGAGGAGAAGCAGAAGAAGGAAGTGATGAAGAAGGAGACGATGTAGAAGAAGAATTTAGATCGAAAGAAAAGAGAAAGAAACAAAGAAAGATAAAAAGAAAGAAACAAAGAAAGATAAAAAGAAAGAAACAAAGAAAGATAAAAAGAAAGAAATAAGTAAAGGAGAGTTACTGACCTGCGTTCAAAGTAAGTGCCGGTGCATACATTACAATCCCCATATAAAGCACCTATGCAAGATAAGAAGCACGATGGATTTATTTGATAATGTGTACGAGAACATTATTATAATTATATTGACATAATTGCGAATCCTACCAAGAGACCTTATAAATTCCAATGGAAGTACATGTAGTATTTTCCATTTCCAATTTTAAAATTGCAAGGTCAGTTGAATGTCAAGACATTGAATATTTGCTCTTTGTTTGCTTAACAATAAAAATGATATCTAGACGACATAAATGGGAGACTTAGGACTTTTGTCAAATGTTTATAAAGATGTTTTATGTCCTTACTGCAGCTAACACGATGAAGATATTGAACAGAATAATGATGAATGAAGCAGCAGTGTTAAAAATAAATAGGGTTTTTTTTTTTTTTTTTTTTTTTTTGGGGGGGGGGGGTAAATTATTTACATCACTGGTTTCATCATCATGGGTTAAATTCTTTGTCATTATCATTAGCTTATAATTGTTATTATTATATTCATGAAGATAAATAGTACGATATTGATTATAATCGTGAAGATCATGATCAAGGCACATTATTACTGACCGTCTGAACGGAGAAAATGAGAGTCACACACCGCCTTAATTCTCGATTAAAACGCAGCTCCAAATACTATAGAGAATAAATAAAAAAAAACATTATTAGTTCAGTAGGAGGAGGAGGAGAAAGCGAGAGAGAAGGAACGGGAGTAGTATAAGAATAGATGTAGTAGTAGTAGTAGTAGTAGTAGTAGTAGTAATATAACAATAGACGTAGTAGTAGTAGACGTAGTAGAAGTAGTAATAGAGTAGATATAGTAGTAGCAGTAATAGTCAGGGACGGATGTAGCCGGCGGCTAGGGGGGGGGGGACAATTCGTGAGAGAAAATTATTAGTCAGAGGCGCGGGCAGGGGGTGGGAGTCTGAGGGGGTGAGGGAGTAATTGTCCTAGGGGATAGTTGTCCTAGGGGTAGTTGACTGGGGGTAGTTGTCCGGGAGGTAGTTGCCCCGGGAGGTATAGTCGTCCTAGAGGGTGGTTGCCTTAGGGGGTAGTTGTCCCAGGGGGTAGTTATCCTAGTGGGTAGTTGACTGGGGGTGGTTGTCCGGGGGTTTTTGTCTTAGGGGGTAGTTGCTCTAGGTGGTAGTTATATGGGGGGTAGTTGTCCGGGGGGTAGCTGGCCGATATTTCGCTAAGTGGGGGGAGGGGAGGGGGGGGGGGGGTAGTGAGCACTAGTGAGACACAATCTTAAAGGATGTTTTCCTGTAGGTTAGGACCCTTAGCTATCAGAATGTGGTTATTTGCCTTAAAATTGGCTGTGGATGGGGATTCCATGACATTTGCTCCGGCGACAATTGCTCCGCTGTAAATTTCATACACTAATCGAATGGCTAACTTCAACCCTGGATTCAACACTATACCCTACCCTAAACCTAACCCTAAACCTAACATAAAACCCTATTGAAACCCTAACCCTAACCCTACATCTTAGACGAAATAAAGCCCGGAGCAATTGTCGCAGGAGCAAATGTCGTGTCACCTGGATGGGACCACTATGGCTATTACCATGGTAACGGGTTCAGAACATTAGAATTTAAAAAAAAATGTATTTATAATTCAGAAAGTGAAAAACGCTTTGTAAGAAATGTTAGTATGATGTATTTATAAAAGCTTCTCACTTGATTAACACTGAATTGCGAGTTGTTATATGTGTCGGTCATGTTTGAAAATGACCAAGCACATCTCGAACCAGATGCAAATAAGGGTAAACTTAAAGACGATAGTTTATGACATATTGTCTATTGTCATGATTTTGTACTCTACTTATTCCTGCCTTATATTTTAATTGATTTAAAAATATGTATTCTAATGTTTCTTCTTTTCTCTATATGATATTTCACCAACGAATTGATAGTTTGGGTACACATCTTAGATGTAGTATAGCAAAACATCCCGGGCACATGACGTATTGCGATAATCAGGATAATAAGAATCAAAATGATACAACTACTACTAGGCCTACTACTACATGTACTACACTACTGTCATTGATGCTGATGATAATAATGATATATTAATAATGATAATGATTATAATAATAAAAATAATTACAATCGTCATCTTCATCATACAAATCTTTGTCCGATTCCCATTAGTCATACCATGATATACGGACCGGCACACTATTTGTATCCAGGGCCGTAGCCAGAGTTTGATGTTTGGGGAGGGGGGGGGGGGCACATACATGTAATTGATCGACGTCCTGGGGAGGGGTCTAAAAAGTTCAACCGAACTTGGATTTTTTTTTGGGAGGCACGTGCCCCCCCCCCCCCCCCCCCCTCGTGGATACAGGCTTGTTTATATCATGTCACAGTATCGTAGGTGAATAAGATATTACATGCGGCAGGGCTTGTAACAATTTGAAAGGAATATTCTAAAAGGAAATGCTTGATTGAAATCACGTGGTGTAATGATGTTCACGCTGGTAGGTTTTATATAAAAAAATCATTGCATGATCAGTGATAGGAACCTGAGGAGCGTACGTGCTTTGAAGCTCAAAACAAATGTTTGTCAAATAGATTCTTTAGAATAAAATTACAATGGAAAGCTGTTTTAAGTGTAAGCTTGTCCAAATTTGGGTATTACTCCGTTCCGCCATGATACAGTTTGCAACTAGAAGACCATGGAATGGACGTGAAAAATGCAGTTATTTTTCCATTTTCATGGGTTACCTCCTGTTACCACACAAATGCACTATAGGTAAGAGCGATCATCGGCATTTTGTTTTAATCAGATAGGCCTAAAACACGAATTAGGGCTAGTTCTGATATGAACACGACCCACATCTCGGAGCATGGCTAGCTGAACCGCGGGGCCTTGGCCTATAAGTGAGTGCCCTGGGTCCACTTCTAACTCGTGTTTTATCCTTTCTTTCTACCCTTTTCCTTTCCTTTCCTTTCCTTTTGTAAAGGGGGGGGGGCGGGCCCGTCGCCCCCCCCCCCATGTATCCGCGCCTGTTAATAGTCGCGGTTGTTGCAGCAATAATGCTTACAAACATATGATTTAAATAATCAGTTACGAGGAATTTTGTGATTTGAAACTGGTCCGATTTTAGTGCCTTTGATGGACACGTGAACGAAAAGATTGGTAAGAGTAGTAGTACATTTGCAATAAATTTGGAGAGCATTTATACATCCTTAATCCTGGACCAATTCGAAAATATTCAGTGCTGGAATAAGAGGCTTGGTCGTTCACAATTCCACCCCCTTAAGTAATCCTGTCGCATTTCCTGTATAACCTTCACACCATTGTCCCTTATTTCGATTAACGAACAAAATTAGTACCGAACTGCACTTTTTGGGGGTATTCGAAATAACTGAAAAAAATTGCAATCATAAAGAAGATTTTTGAGTAATTGCTATGAGGCGCGCCGGAAGCAGTTTGGGATTGAGGGGGGGGGCAAACGTTCCAGGGGGCTCACCTTCAAGGGGCAGTGGCGTAATGAGCAAACATTTCTGCATTTCTTTTTTTTTTTTGGAGGGGGGGCGGTTTTTTTTTTTTTTTGGGGGGGGGGGCAAAAATGCGTTTTGCCCCCCACTTTTTTGATTGGGGGCAACTGCCCCCCTGCCCCCCACTTCCGGCGCCTATGATTGCTATTTATTTTTAAAGAAACAGCGAGAATAAACAACCTTATGACCCGTAAGAAATAATAAAGATTATATCAATATTTGGGTAATTTTTTTTCTTCTATTTATCCTCTTTCGAGGGACTTTATTAGTTCATATCATAAAATAACAGCTATTTACAACAGTGTTTAAAAACAGAATTCATGCAGTTGTAACATATCATACATATAGTACAGAACATAAAACTAATGTGACATAATCACTAACTAAAATAATGAAAAAATTTGTGTAACTTTTGTAACTTCGTTTGTATCGAATTTCTTTTGATTACATTTCATATTGCGAATTTCCACCTTTAATTCTTTTATCCAATATACAGCATGTTTCCTATGCTTTTCACTTCCAAAACATTCTCTAATATAGTTTCTATAGATAATAAACTGAGCGAAGTTTAAAATAAGATTGACAAGATTCATTTCTCTTCTCTCTATTTAATGACCTATTAAAAGAACTTCTTCGTCTAAAAGGATTTTAAAATTAAACAAAGTATCAATTAATTTGGATACAATCTTCCAAAAAAGCGAAACCTTCTTGAAAGCCAGGAGAAGGTGGTTAATTGTGTCTGGAATCTTACATATATCACATAGATTATCATTTTTAATCTTCCATTTACATAAATTGTCTTTACTGGGCAATATTCTATGAAGATATTTAAAATTAAACTGCTTAATTCTGTTGGCATTTATAAAGTAAAATTTATAATGGAGCACCGTTTTCCAGTTAAACTCATTGGGTAAATCAAAATAAGCGTTCCAAAAATAAATGCACGGCAGATCCTGTCAATTTTTTCTAACATCAAATTATAATAGTGTTTGGCTTTCATGACCGCTACATCAATGGAGTCACCTGTTACTATTTCTATTGTACTGGATTCCACTGCAGACGGTGGACTATTTACATATTGTAACCTATTACGTAACTTCTGCAACCAAAAATTCGGAAATGCACTTTTTAACTTTGCCAATTTGAAGGCGGAAAGTAATTCATTTTCTTGAACATTAATACAAATAGAATCAACTTCTTTCCAGATACCGTTTACTAAGACTTGTTTCACTTTAAAAATATTGTTTCTCATCCAGTTTGGAAAATACAATAACTCATTCATATCTTTAATATTGCTATTATACCAAATCATTACATTTTCAATATCTGTTACTTTAAACATATCAATATATTTTAATTCAGCCCAAGAACAAAACATGTCAACATAAAAGTTAGGCAACTGTTTTTTTCTACAAATACGATACATATCGCTCATTTTGCAATTAAAATGCAAACAAAGTGGCAAATCCCCAATTTTCTTGATCCAATATTTAAACAAAATTTGCCAAGCACTTTGTTCATCTCTTAAATATTTATGAATCCATGAAAGACGGAGTGACCGGCAGTTTGACTCTAAGTCAATCATTCCCAACCCCCCCCCCCCTTCTACTTCAGGATTGTGACAGATGTTTCGTTTCACCTTTTCTGTTTAAGAATTCCATAAAAATGTGTAAGCCTTTTTATTTATACGTTTAATTATTTTAGAAGGGATCGGAACTGCCGTGGGAGTATGTACTATCTGAGACATAACTAAATGTTTAATCACAACAACTTTTCCGTACAATGTAAGTTTTCTCATTTTCCACAAATCCAAGGTATTCTTTATTTTCTCTACTTTACTTTCCCAGTTTAAATATTGAACGTCAAAAGAATTTTTACCTACATAAATACCAAGACATTTTATAGGGTCTTCGGTGAAATGTAAATCTTTAACTTCATCATCATTTATATTTAGTTTCATAAGATTTGATTTGGTCCCGTTAATTTTTGGTCCCGCATGTGCTCCAAACAGTTCTACTTCTTTCATTATTTCTTTAACAAATTTAACAGATTTAGTAATAATCGTCGTATCGTCTGCATATTGAACGATACGTATATCTTTAAAATCAGCTTGATCTTCATTGAAGTCTGGGACTTGCATGATTCCCTCTATTTTGGCGTTTTGTTTAATTCTATTCCCTAAAACCTCTGCAATTATTATAAATAAAAGTGGAGAAAGTGGGCAACCTTGCCTAACGCCTCTGTCTATTGCAAATTTGTCGGATATCCAATCAAAATTTAAGACACGACCATGAGCACCGTTATATAACGTTTCAATCCATCTTAAAAACGAATCTTTAAATTTAAGTTCCCGTAACAAGGACAATAAAAAAACATGACCAATGGTATCGAAAGCCTTTTTGAACTCCAAGAACATCATAACAACTGGTTTGTTTGCAAAAAGACAATAATCAATAGTATCCTGAATTAGTCTGGTACATTCAGATGCAGAGCGGTTTTTTTAAAAAACCAGCCTGATCCTGTGATACAAGTTTATATATAACTTTCTGTTATCGTATTGAAAGAATGCGAGCTGCAATTTTATAATCAATGTTTAACAGCGAAATAGGTCGCCAATTATCTAAAACATTTTTGTTACCTTTCTTATATAATAGAGTAAGGATAGCTTGACTTTGTGTGCACGACAATTGTTTTTTGTCGTAACCCTCATTCAGACTGTCAATTACCGTATGTTTGATATCCCCCCCAGAAGCATTTATAAAATTCAACACTGGGTCCATCGCTTCCAGGTGATTTGTTCAATATTTGGGTAATAGATCTGAACGTACCGTCATCATAAACCTTCTGATAGATAAAAGGCTATAAAAGATTCTATTCTCCCTGTTGCAACTGAAATCTATAGTCTTCGTTTTATGGTGGTGTGTACGCTTTTAAATAGTTGATCTGGAATTTATGAAACAATAAATGAAGATCATCATTATTTGATATTTTCTTGCGTTAAACCATTGTGATATAGAAGTAAACGAGTTACATTGATCATTTATGAGAAGTTATAGTATGTACTCCAAAGTCTGTGTTTATGTTACTTTGCATTTTTGATATGTCTGGACATATATGTTTTTTTAATTTTTTATGAACTACATGTGTAAAATAACCAAAATAGAACTTGTAATTAATATTATGCACTTCGCATTCTGACTATCGAGATATATTTATTCGTAACAGGTGAATGAAATAATTCAGAACGAGGCGCTTCACAAAGGCAAATACGTACAGGCGCGCACGCAGGGGGATGGGGTTGGGGGTCGATCCCCCCTCAATTTTATTTTAAATTTTTAGAAATAAAAAATATATAAAAAAATTGTGCTAATGGGTGACCCAAAACAGATGCTCTTAGAGAGAGAGAAAGTAAAAGATAGAGGGGTAGAGGTTTTAAATGAAATCTCACCCACCCATTCCTCAAATCTTAATAATTTTGTATTCATGTATTTTATACTATGTCATTAAAGCAGGAGTTCAAACTTCTTCCTTTCACCAGAGAAATGCAACAACCCTGACTTTGATCAAAAATGTTCCCGCAGAAATTGCCCCTAGGTTTTATTTCGTCAAAGATAAAGCTTAGACGGGTTATGATTAATGTTGGGGGGTTGGAGTTAGGCCAAGGGTTAGGACTGAGGTTAGGCAATCATAATTATAGTTAGATTTAGGGCTGCCGATAGGAATTCGGCTGATGTGACGAATTACAGCGGAGCAGTAGACCTGTTTATTTATTTATTCAAGTATTTGGAATCAAGTCTGCATACATTACTCGTAGCTATGTCGGACAAGTGTCGGGCAAGTATCGCAAAACTGAATCAACCTATACCAAGCACTTTCATTGCGCTTTTGGCTTGTGCATGACCTAAAGAAATAAAACCAGTTTACTAACATATTCAAATTTACGGATGTTTCCTGCCTGGGACCTAGTGACGAACGATTTCATTAACGTGTTATTAATGATTGAACTACTATACTTGGAATTCAGTCTGCATACATTACTTTTTGCTATGTCGGGCAAGTCTCGAGTAAGCTTTCAGGTTGTCGAGAACAAACTTTATTATTTTAAAAAAAAATATGCACACAATTTGAATATGTAAGTAAATCGCTCTATTCGGCAAACATGTCATAGCCATAGTTCGAACATGACTTCCATTGGCAAGACGATAGGGTATTAAGAAGACCCATAAGCTGGTTTTTGTTTACATCTTTCTTCACGGTTGTGTTTGTCTTTGGATGATCTTGTGATGACACTTCATCACATCATAAACATCATATCACGTCTAATTGAGAACACAGCTCACCTTATAAACACTAATGATGCGAATTCTGAAGTAGATGGGTAGGAAAAGCCGACAGAGAAGGATATTTGCCAACACATACGTCACCAAAACCCATGTAAACATGGTCCCGTAGATGTAGATCTCGGCGGGTGTCCCGATGACGGATACGGCCGAGATATAGCTCACGGTGATGGACATGGCGACGGGGATGATGCTCATCTTCCGATCACCGACCAGGAACTCTTCCGCAGTCCGTTGTCGACCTCCGGAAAACGCCGAGAAGATGCCGATGAGAGCCGACACGAGGAGCATGACGCCGAACACGACATAGTCCCATACTCCGAAATGGCGAGCCACCGAAGATCCTCCAGTTTGATCCATTTTGAAACGATGTAGAGATGCCTAAAAAGCACACTTTTCTTTGCTTTTAGTTGAATCCGCGAAGAAATTGAGCAACTTTCTGGCCGCGAGAAGCTACTCCTTGTTCTGACTTAGTGAGCTGTTACTACAGTCTGTAGTTGACAACAGACGCGTTCGAGTGTGAACACATTATCATGCATGGACTGTTTCCGTGTCGCGCGCCCAATCAGATGAGAAAATAGGGACTTTTAGATTGAGTGGACGAGAACACGACGAACGCCGACGGATCATGCGTGTCAACGTACTCAACTGCCCATGTTGACTACAATTAGAAATCTTAGATTGCACTCGACGATAGACATGCATGCAGGAAGTAACACTCACTATGAACATGACTGGAAAAAAAAATGTGTAGAACAGGTGTCACATGCATATTCACCTTTTTACATAATAGCAGTGAAGGGATGTTCCTTTGTCTACCTGAGGAACTGTATATTTTGTCCGCTTTCTTTGTCTGTCATATTCATAGTACTATGAACATGACGGGCAAAAGAACATCCCTTCACTGCTATTATGTAAAAATGTGTAGAACAGGTAAATATGCATGTGACACCTGTTCTACACATTTTTACATAATAGCAGGGAAGGGATCGATGTTCCGTTGTCTACCTGAGGTCGATTTTTGCACTCTCGCAAACAATGCCTCATGATCATCCAAGTGTACACACATACCACACAAAAATGGTACCAAATGATTTGGGATAAAACACTCTTTCATAAGATGTATAATAATTTACTGTTTATAGATGACTTTTAAAATAATTAGCAATTTTCTAGGTGTAAACTTTTTTTTGGACTCACACTGTATAGAGGGCGCAAGTAGCTACAAGTAGTGCAGTCCCGCTTAAAGAGAAGAATATGTTTTGGTTAGGATGAAAACTAATTTGTGAGCTTTCTCTTATGCATTTTTATCTCATTTCATTTTTCATAGTACAAATTCCCATTGGAAGGATTGCTCTTCAAAATGACTAAAAATAGCCAAGAGGTTTTGGCCAAACATTCGTGTTTAGTGCCATATATCAATTTCTGGGTGCCTTGCATGCGATTTTCGAAAGACTTTGTAGTTTACTCTTCACTTTGATCATTCCAAAGCCAAAACTTCTAACCTGTATTTATTCATTATTATGTGCTACATAATCTTCCTTTCCCAGTTGCTTCCAGACATTTTCTGAATTTAATCGTATAACCGGTACTCAACTCAATATTTACGAACAACTTTTAAGAAATATATATTTAGCTCATTTATAGAATACTTACTCGCATGTTTATTGTATTTGAAGAATAACAAAGCATTGTCTGTAGTATGTGATATTACTATACTTTAATCTTCATAAACGTAGAAATATAATGTGGACTTCAAAAGCAAAAACGGTTTTAAAACATCAAAGAGAATAAACTACACATATTATTCAAAATATATACAGAATATTGGGATAGTATTACATGCCTGTAGGCTCCCGGGACGTGACATCAGGATGTAACGTCCCCGAGAGCCAGTATAGAAACAGTCATGATGACATGGATCTTAATAAAATGAAAGATAATCTTATTAAAAAAAATAACACACACGTCATTTTGTTCGGGCATTAGTAATTCTTACCCTTAAGGTACCTTGTGGTGGTAATTCTTACTAATGCCCTCACAGCTACTAAGCATTCTCACCTAATATCCTTTTCTTGAGTAAAGACTGGTAACAAAATAACAGAAAATCTGAGACACTGCCTGTAAGTCTTCGCTGGAAAGTTGCTTGAATGTTTCGATCATTCGGGAATCGCATACAAAAAGCATTGTGGTAACTGCGCTGACCAGGCATTTTCTGTACCTAACACGTGATTTTGATAATGACCGGTCATTGTCAAATTTTGTACACGTAAACCAATTGGGATCTCAGCAAAATGTATTATGCGACCCGTTACTCGGGGAAACGGGCACCTTTCATAAAAACTATTGACCGGTAGGCGGGCGGGCATCTTTTAAAAAAAACTATTGACCGGTGGGCGGGCATGGCTAAAATCCCGACTCAAATTTCGACCAAACAGATAAGTAGATTTATTCAGCATACTAAAGAGAGGTATATAATAACATTTACATTTTCAAAATAAATTTACAGTTTGCATCGTATTTGTGTGTCTGTTTTGGCCTTTAATTCTTATAGTTTTATCATATTAATTTGGTGCGATATAACAAGTGATATCTACTTCAAGTATTTTGCGTAAGGTGAAATTTTGTCACTGTGTCGATGCCTCATGGTCTGTGTCGTACCTTCTTTTTTTGTTTTGCCGTAATTTGTCCGCTATCCATGTAACGCAGCCCCTGTATTTTTATAGTAAATTCATTAAATTCATTAAAGATGATTATGGTAATTGTAGTTAGGCGCCACACATTAATGCAATCAAAATATGTACAAAATGAAAATATCATCAGGGAGAGGCAATATCTCTCCGATATTTCTCCAAGTGGAAGGCTTTTAATACCCCCTAAATTTCAATTTTACATTTCGCATGATTATTCAGGACCTACATCTGGATTCATTAAAAAATTATCATTGCTTTATCTCATTTAAATTCGGTTACTTCCAAACTCTAGCAAAAGTCGAATATGTAGTTGTGCGGGGGCCTCCAAGGACAAAATGCATGTAGCCATGTTTATTTATGTTGTAAACATTTAATTCAGTACAAATGATATACCTTCTGCATTATTAAATTAAACTGTTCTTACACGACCCTCTGCGGTCTAGCAAATGCCCAACTCGCTCTCCTAATTTCGCACTACCCAGTAGTTGCCATGACGACGACCTGGGCCGCCTTGGCGGGAATAGCATAAATTCCATCACTTTGCCTTTCTCATCGGATCGAATCTGCTCTTCCCTGCACTGTTGGTTAACGATATCCCGAAAGAATGTGATGCCATCGACAGAGCTTCCATCCTTGTCATCGTCGTCGTTGTCGTAGCCCGTGTTATCGTGGTCGCTGACCAGGCCCGATGGGTCGAATACGGAAATGGTAGGAACAGGACGTAGTGATGTCGCATCGAGAACCGGTTCTGGTAGGCGGGGCTTCTTTTTAGTTGAGCTAATGACGTGGCGGAAGAGTTTAAACGAAGAACTGATGTCCCTCAAATCTTGTTGTATTCGTTTATGTTCCCTCTTCATGCCTTCCTGGTAAATGAATAAATAAATAACGAATTGATAATATATATTGATGGTAGTAGTTATCTTTTAAAAACACATGTCGGATTAAAAAGTCAGGGGGTTCTAAGAAACAAGATGATAGTGATGGTGGATGGCTTTCCCCTCCTTACTTAGAGAGAAAAGGGGCAAGCATTTTTCGGGGAACCCCCGTCTCCCCCACCCCCCCCCCCCTGAGATGGCATGTCAGAAAAAGATCCGCCCCTATGCGCTTTGGATAACCTTTAATCCGCCTACACTGCAACAAAATCAATGTATAAATATAAAAACTTGTTTGTTTGGTGTATTCACCAATAGAAATCCAACAAAATTGACCATTGCAGTCTACAAAGATTACATAATTACATTGCGCAGGCCATGGCGACGTCTTATAAAGAGTTTCGATTAGTCGGAATCAATCGCAAGTCCTCTAATCAATCGCAAGATTGCAGTCCACTATCTCTTGTGTACATAGTTGCGATTGATATCAATCGCAACAGCTTAAAAGACGGGTCCCAGTGCATGTACTTTGGCTCTCAATATCTTATTGATTACGTTGTCTACTTTGTCAAAGAAAACCTCACTCTTAATAGACAGCTTGTAAAGTATTTAAATTCTGTGTTGGACCATGGACCAGTCAATTTAATGTTTCATCGGACGAAGTGGCGGAATTGGGGGAGGGGGGGGGGGAGCGGGGGGGGGCAATCAGCCGATGCCTTTTTTTTAATCGAGCTTAAGGTGGTATACATTATGTGCACTAAAGAAAAATGTGCCTGAATTCCCACACCCTTTATCAAAATTTAGAAATTTCGACACAAACAGGAACCTGGACAAAAAATGTAACCCTTTTCTTTTCTTTTTGTGTGAATCACCTCATGTAGATCTTTTTTTTTAATTTTTTTTTTTTTTTTTTTGCCCTTCAGAATTTTTTTCGGAATTGTGCCCTCCCTCCCCATTAAAAAAAATACCTGGATCCGCCCCTGATAGTGAGAATCAAACACAGACGCTTTCACTCACGAGATCCGAACGTAGGTTGTCTATCAATGCCAAATCATTCGCAACACAAGGACTGAGATGGAGTCTTCTGCCGGCCATCATCAGCAGGATTAGAACTTTATAGGAGGTCTCAAACACTGTTGGAAAATAGAGTACACAAATAGTACAATTTTCTTGACCATATTCGCAGAAAGCAATGTTACAGAAATAACGAAACTGAAAGTAGAATTGGAAATCATTGCATGAAAATAAAAAAATTTCAAACATGATTAATTTCAGAGCAAAAATATTAATATGCCTTAGAGCAAGTACTGAAAATGGAGTAAATTTAAGCGATATAAAAATATGTTGGATACGTACAGAATAATGTAAATGTGATGTCTGGCAATGTACATGGGTCATTGGTATTACTTTTCTAAATTTCCAATTATGATAATTAAACTTTATTTTGTCCAAACCTGTCTCAATTAAACGTGATCTTAAAACTGACTACCGCTGATACAACTTAAACATAATTGATAATCTAAACTAATTTCCACTCATTTATAGCATCGATGGTTACGATTATACTTCCAAACAATTAAGAAGGAAAATACCACTAGATCTCTTACATCATATCGAGTAATACATGCTGTAAACATGTTAGATACGGCTTAAAATACACGAGCGCAACTACAGTACTTTCGAAAGACTAATTCGAGGGCGATTTCAATACCCTATTGTATATCCTATATGAATCATGTTCGGATTACATTATAAAATACGGATTAAAGGTTAAAACTTGTAAACAAAATATTAAACAGTTTAAAATGTTCTTACCATATATGCAAAATACGCAGTTTATCTTACATTTATTTTCATGTATTTTCAAAAGACTAATCCATAACCGAAAGTATTGTAAAACAAAAAAGCTATGCATTTTTTAAAACAATGTTATTCAAGAAAATGAAACATGTTTTATTTGAATTATGTAAGGATGCTACGATGTTATTTCAATTGATTGTGTATGATTGTTTGATTTGTTCAAAAACATATGTTTATCAATAAATTACTTTTACCAACAAAAAAGTGTTCAGATTACGTAATACATCATTGTGATGTCCGCGCATTTATAACAAATAACATTACCTTTCGTTTATTTCTCGAAAGTAATTTTAATATAGAACTTACGAACTTAGTATAAACACCAATAATATGATCATAATGGACCAGGTAAAATTTGTTAGAGTGATACGGGAGGAAAATATTGACACTTACCCGACCGCCAATCCTTTGATTCGATATGAAATTCCAATTAATCCTGATTTTCTATATCGGGATCCGTTTTTTCCGAGAAAAAAAAAATCAAAAAACAGGCATGTATATTGATGAACGTTGTGGGTTGTGAACTTAACAGACGTCAATAGTGGGTTGAGAGTTCAATGATCCATGTTTGCATGCGGCGGGAAGAAATGACAGTGTTCATGCAAATAATTTCAAGTTTAACGCGATACAGTCTGCAGCAAATGTAGGAAAAAAATTATCAAATGTAGAATTCCGTAATATGAGATCTCGGTGTTTTTTTCAAACTGGATTAAACGCTCTATTCTGGAAGACTTGTTGTTATGAGCAAGACACGTAGAACGTGAAGAAGATCTGATTGACATTACAATGTGACTCATCTCCACCTCCAGTCTTTATTCCTCAAGGAGTATTTTGGAGGACTGTCTCCCACCTACCAGTCATTAGCTTTCAGACTGTCTTCAGACGTCTGAGGTGCTCCGAAGCGAAGCATCTTCATATAATCATGTCTTCTCGTGTAATAATAACCCCTCCCCGCCTCCATCCCGCCTAACCGCAGATCACTTTAATTACCCAATGCTTTGTATAGATCGTGTCGTTATACATCGACTCTAAAGCTTTGACAAGAATCAACCACACCTTCACGGGTAATATATCGCCCCCCTGTGTACCATAATTACACCCTCTGCGGCGCCAATCAGAGGCATTTTCGGAATCAAAATGGTACCCTACTTCAGATCCTATTATTTCATTTGGACGTTATCTACTTAACTCGTGCTAAACAAGAGTCTAGTTCTGTTATTTATATCCTTTTATCTCAAAAAATAGGAATTTGTCTTCTTACATCCCATTCGAGCACGTTGAGTAAAGGAAGACTTCGCCGATTACAGTCTAGACTGAGCGGTTCCTTATTAGTGTTGTTTGGTAAATAAAGCTATGTTTGTACTATTTTGTAGATGACAAAGTATTTTTGATTCGTAATTTTCATACTTTCCATTTGCCTCAAAATTTCAGCTACATTACTTCATCATGAACGTTTAACAAGACATGATCATCTCGAGTCACAAGGCTATTATACGAAACTATATAAAAAAAAATGTAAGTAAACGTGATTAATGCCCCAATGACAGTGTCAGGATATGAATGAATATTTGTCTGGAGTACCCCTGATTGTACGTCTTAAACAGTCACCTATGTCAACATTTTTATTTTTTTAGGGTAGAGTGAAATAAAAGAAGTTAATAGTTACTAAATTCAAATATGTAATAACATATTCATGGCTACCTAATCTATATAACTACCATGTTGATTTTAAAAAAAAAAGGGGGGGGGGGGGGTAAGAGGACATTTTTTTTGTGTGTGTCCCAAAATTAGAAAATTTGACCGATCGATATTTCGTTTCGTTGAGGGGGGGGGGGGGGGGTAAGGTCAGCTTTGTTGGGTCATCCATTACCACAATTTTTTTGTTTTATTGTTATTATTTTTTATAATTAAAACAAAAAAACAAAGGGGCGGGGGGTTCCTCCAAAACACACACATAAAACAGTTAAAGGGGGGTTCAACCCCCAACCAACCCCCCCCCCCCCCCCCCCCCCTGCGTACGCGCCTGCATACAGGCTAACATAAGATAATTTTCACGTTGGCAAGGATGGACTGCGTAAATTAGGCCTATCAAACTGGCGTTGACTATACAAATACAACGAATCCAAACAATGAAGAAATTACTGTTATTTCATGTCAACGCTTCAATCCTTCTTTAGATTGGCGTTAATTGGATATCGGTCATCATGACTCGCATGTATATATATAAATCCTTGTATAGGCAAAGGCCCATGAAATCCGTCTGACATCTCTATATTTCTTTCTTACGATGTACATGCATGTATCAAAGCATATCAGTATAGTAGCAGGTAAACGAATTCATGGGGTGGAACTGCAGGGTTTAATAGCATATGAGAGTCGTAAAAAGGAAAAATGATGACCCACTAATTATACATTGACGTAAAATCGATTTAATGAACAGTTATAGGATTAAAGTTATACGTTCTCGTTATATCAGCATTACAGACCATATGCATGATGGTAGGATAAATTTGATTGCATATCGATTGAACATCTCTCTCTGTATGCCAACAATGGCGATTGATTCATCCACTTTCAGGATCCGAATCATTGTTACCCTTTTATCACTTTTATTTTTCTAGTGTTATCATGGTTGTTACCTCTTTTGATCTCTAGCGGCGTATCTGAAGGTGAGGGGGGGGGGGTGGGGAGAGGGCATATGGGCAGTTGTCTCAATCAGACGCCAAAGGAGAGAAGAAGAGAAAATGAAGGCGAAGAGGGAAAAGGAAAGTGAACCGCCTCCCGCCCCCCCCCCCATCCCCACTTACAAAGCATCCATCAAGTCAGTTCGATTGAAAATAATTACAATACTGATTAAGATTTAACCTTCATTTACCAGTATATCATCAAAAAACAGTTTTACCATGCACCTCTGGAGGAGAAGAAGAGGAAGAAGATGAACAAGAACAAGAAGAAGAAGAAGACGACCGAAGAAGAAGAATATTAAGAAGAAGAAGGAAGAGGAAAATGATTAGAAAAAGAAAAAAGGGAGTAGAACAAGAAGAAGAAGAAGAAAAGGAAAAAGATTATGCTCTAGCAAATTAGGAACCAAACTACCATTTAACTTTGCAGTCATTTCAATGTATCCATAATATAAACCTACAGTTCATGCAATTCAATGAGGCCTATACCTAAAATTATCTTTAACTCTAGAATTTGTTTACTTTTGTTACGTAGGCGATGTATAAAGTAAATATGTCTATCCAGTTCAACTCATGCGTGGATCGTCACACGTACAAAAGAATGTGTATTTTGCGAAAACGTTCAAGAATGGGGAACTTTGTTTTCGTAAGGAAGGCGGAAGTGGTATACTGCATTTTCATTTCACAAAGTTATGATTTTTGTTCTGTTCAGTCAACTACAAAAAACCACCTTAAATATTTGAAGCAATTAAAACAGCGCTAAACGAGAAAGAAAATATGTACACATAGGGGAATGAATTATTTTTTGATTTTTTAGATTGAACTTTGGAGCTAATTACTTTGCCAGTTATAGTCTTGTGAAACTCCGCTTATCGAAATAACGCATTGTAGCGAACATCATCAACATGTATCCTGATTTGATGTTTCTACTGTTCAGCAACCTGGAAATACAGATATCTTTTAAAGAGACGGAACACAGGTAAGTTATGATACCGCGTTTGAGTATAAACGTAACCCACCTTTCCTTATATGTGTCTCTTATTCCACCACAACAGCTAAATAGATTCTTTAATTTGTAATCGAATATTTTGAGGGGGGGGGGGGAATGAAATTCTGCATGTATTCTCCATTTGATATGATCATAGCATGATACATGTATCTCATCCGAAGAGGGTTATTCTAAATGTACAAATCCTTGAAATAAATAAGTACGTATTACAGAGCTTCGAACTATTCTGATCGATGGTAAACTGTATCACAATCTTTATTTTTTTGAATGAAATTCTAAAGTTCATTGGAAATAGGTAACGGATGTTTGCTGTGCTATAGATAAAGACTATATCAGTTTTATAAGTGTACAACGTTACTATTTATACCGTATCCAGACACCTACCCCCTGGACATCCACCCCCCCCCCTCCCCCGCGATAACCAACCCCGGTCAAGTACCCCCTAGGACAACTACCCCATAGGACAACCACCCCCTGGACAACTATCCCCTAGGACAACTACCCCGGACAACTACCAGACAACTACCCCCTAGGATAGTTGTCCAGGGGGTAGTTGTCCTAGAGCATGGTTGTTGTAGGTCTGGGGGGGGGGGTAGTTTCTCCGGGGGTAGTCGTCCTAGAGGGTGGTTGCCCTAGAGGGAGTTATCCTATGGGGTAGTTGTCCTAGGTGGTAGTTGACTTGGGGTGGTTGTCTGGGGTAGGATGTCCAGGGGGTAGGCATCCTAGAACCCATTTGTACATGTAATAAAACAGAATTTGATAATAAACAAATGTATATTCTGCTTCATAATTTCAGTTTTTATTGAAGCGACTGACTTCGGATCAAGCTCTTCAAGAGGCGACTTTGACTCTCTTAAGCATTTCATCCGCATTCACTTACTATGGCATCGGGTGGTTGGGAACCATGTTTCCAGTGCGAGAACTGCGACTGTGCAATTACTTCTGCTCAAAGCTGGTCTACGCTGCAAAGGAAAATAGTATGCCAGGATTGTCTGAGCCATGTTCCATCTGATGCGGGTGTAGATCCGGTGAGTCCAACTGAAACTTGGCGATGTCCGAGACATCCCCAAAAGCCAGTTGAGTTCTTCTGCAGTTCCTGTGGCGCAGCCATCTGCCAGATTTGTGCTATCACACACCACAGGAATCAAGATCATCATGTAGAGGACATCGAGGATGTGGCGCAAAGGCATCGTTTGTCTTGCAGGGATCACCTGCAACAGGTCACAGCTAAAATGGACGCGATGCAGCTAGTCGAGAAGACGGTTGAAGAACAGGCAACAAACCTTGGGGAACATTTTAGAGAGGTCGAGAGGGATATCAGAGCTGCAACGGCCGAGGAAATACGAATATCCAGTCAGGAGAGAGCAAGAAAACAACAGGAAATACAGAGCAGATTTGATAAAGAACTGAAGCGATTCAGGGATGAAATTGCTCAAGTTGATCAAGAAGCAGATAAGATTAAAGGAGAGATTAATATGAGAAGCCAAATCATGCTAACCGAGTTATCTGATGTCAATGACAGATTTTATGCAGCTATGCAAACTAATCAGACATATGTAAAAGATAATATGTCAGATCTAAGGAGCATGCACAAACAGCTAAACGAGCTTCTGAGCTCAGGCCAAAAGCATATTGTAGAGTGTAGCAATGCATTAAAGCAACAAGTCACAGGTGGAAAGACAGATGGAAAGACAGATGAAGCCGATTCTGCAACCTATCTTGCCCAACTAACAAGAAAGGTTCGATTTGTGAGGAGACATGAAAATCGTCTGATTGGTCAGTTGATTGGATTGAACAGATCTTGGGAGCTGAAGCAGAGAATCAAAATCCCAGAATACGTTAAAGATCCACTCTTTGTCACTGCCATTGATGATGACCTAATGGCACTTCTCGACAATGAATCCTCACAACTCTATGTGGCAAGCCTGGCAACACAAAAGACACGTCTGTTCATATCATCCAAAGGTTCTGATGCAAAAGTATGGGACTGTGCCCCACTCAAAAGTGACACTGTTGTCTGTGGTCACTACAACAGCAATTGCGTAAGCCTCTACAGCACCGATGGCATATTCACCAACATGATACCTGTGCCAGCAGGATTCCACAGATTCGTTGCTGTGACCAAGGATGGTCTGATTCTTTCGTCGACCAATGATGGCAGTCCAACTATCTACTTCATTGATCCTGGAAACCGAATACTTCTTGGAAAGATGACATTTCCAGGAAAAACCATCAGTGGCATTCAGACAACACCCTCAGGGCACATCGTCGTACGGACTGGAAATGCAGAGTTTACGGTTGTTGACAGCACAGGCAGCATACAGAGGACAGTGGATGATCCAGACTGGGCTGGGGCACAGTGTGGTGTTGATCAGATTGGGAACAGGCTCTTTGTGGTGTACTACAAGAAGGGGAAAACTTCAATTAACGTCACCATTACATCCCTGGATGGGCAAGTGGAGGAGAAGGACATTGTGTCCTTTGAGGTGTCCTCTAGATCAAACTACTTGTCCAGGTGTGCCATGACTTCCATGGGCAGTCTGGTGGTGTGCGATGGCGACTATCTTCTGGAATACCGCCGGGTGGTAGACTTCAAACATCTGGAGAAGACCTTGACACAAGGTGTTCCCAAGTCCACAAAGTCATCGCAATGAACATGCAATCTGTACAATAGGCGGTAATAAGCATTGGCAAGGTGTCATTTACAGTTTACGTTGTCTGTTTGGGGCCAGAAGGGCATTAACTCATGTACTCTAACACAGATTTCACAACCTTCTGGCTCTAAACATGAAATCTGAATCAGGGGCTACTCAATCTCTGAATTCTAATCTCTGATATTTTTGAGCCAGGATCTTCATTATAATAATGTTCCTAGGATTACCAGAGCATACCACTTTTAACTTTGATATTTTTAAAGCGTATCTGCCATAGTTTACAGGAGGGATTAGACTGCCCTGCAAGGTCACTGGACAGGTGGTTATCTCATCAACTCAGCTCTCAGTTAACATAAGAAAAAGAGGATCATGGGGGACCAATGGTCACCGATTAGGCATGGTTTGTTATATAGAGGGCGCAAGTAGCTACAAGTAGTGCAGTGGGCCTTTAAAACTGTTCAACTAAAAAGCGACTACCCTAAAGCAGCCTACAAAATTCCAATCAAGCACACAAACAGTTCATCGTTCATGGTTCCTCCTTACATTCGTGCTGATCAGACATTTGCCCCTGCAGCAATTGCTCTGGGCTCTACTTCATCAAAGGTATAGGATTAGGATTCGGGTAAGGGTTGCAATTGGGTTCTAGGTTAGGGGTAAGGAATCCACGTAGGTTTAGTGTTGGGTCTAGGATTGCAGTTATAAGCATTCTATTTGTATAGGAAATCAGGGGAAATCGGCACAGAGCAATGTTTGCAGGAGCAAGCGCTGTACAACCTACATCCATACCGTACAGTCCAGGTGAGTTGACAAGAAGTGAACAAAGAGATTTAAAGTTAGGATAATGTCAAATTTATTTCAATTATATCTCTGTATTTCCATATATGCCATGTCATCAATTTAAAAGGCAGGATAAAAGAGAGTAAACCTGAAGCAGACATGAAGCTAGGATTAATGTTATTCTGCCAGTATGGACATCCTTGTACCTTCACTGTACAGGTTCTTAAATACACTTTTCAAACATCTGACATATCTGTGCCATTGTCTTTGGCTAGTGCATTGTGGCAAATACTAGATGCAGATTAACATTCATTTCATCAAGTCATCATACTTTCTGTTGCAAGCCAGAAAATCGTTAGGTCTGTGTACAATTAGCCAAGGAGTTAATGCCTTTTCTGGCTCTCAATGCATGATATTCTCATCCATCAAAATTGTAAAATAGAACCAAGCAATTGTTTGACCTTTGACCGATATAGTTTGACCACTCATAACACCAGAATATACACCAACCCTGTGTTCATGTTAAAAGGACGGAAATGCATTTGATTTGAAGCCAAATCACCAATAAATATACTTGAGGTTTCATATGACACACTTTTATCAACATACACAAACATCTACGAGCATGACTATAGTATAACGCATGCTAATCTATATAAACTATATTTTCACACCACGTTTTGTATTTATCTTATTTTGTCCATGTGAAAGATTATCATCAAATTTCTAGTTCAATTTGAACATCGATTCATATTGCACATTGATTTCAATTACAATTTACACACTTCAAATTACAAGTAGGTGTGCATATAGGTTTTTTAAGATTTCAATGAGATTTGACATTTAAAAAAGTCTCTTTCTGATATACCAATTTTCCTATATACAGGGACGGATCCTTTGCATATACTATCATTCAATCAAACTGTTCTTAGTATAATAAGAGAACAAAGCAGAGTACAAACTACTATGTCGTAATATTATTGTAGCATTATGACATTTCCATGAAATCATGAAAGCACTAGGATATATTTCTTTAATTACCTCATGTTCATGTACATTACATCCAAAAATATATATAGTTCAATATATAACTTCTACATGAACATGCATATGTGTGTAATTATGAATAGATATGTTTCTGCATAGATTCTAAATACCAAACTGCATAGAAGGAAAATATTTGAATTCATACATGTAGCTATCTACAAAATTCATGTACAAACAAATGATACAATTTACGAATTCCGTTTAATGTTGAAACATTTGACTTAATGTTGTATTCATACTTTTGTCTATCAAGGTATGTACATGTAGACTATGATTTGAACTAAAATGAAAATGTCTCCATAAATGTATTGTTCATTCACATGTAACTGAGCACAAATGTTATTATGAACTAAAGGACTAAAAACGATACAATGTAGTTTCTTTTGTTATTATATCGTTTCGTATATCAACATTATGTATTAAAAACTGATGATTTTTTAAACATAATGGCTAATACCAGTTTCTTGTGTCGATAAGTCTAATAAGATATGCATTCACTCCACTGCAAATGTTCAGTTCATATTGAGTTAAAATTGACAATTATTTACATCAATTTCATTTTCCTACATCAAGGGTTGGTGACACAAAGAGGTAACTCCATACTTTGCCAAAATGAGTATTTCATATCAAAATGTTCAGAAAGATGTGGGCTTTCTAGGAACCACAAAGACTTAACTCCACCCAACACCCCATTGAAGTCAATAACTAGTGTAACATAGACTTAACTCCTTAAGGCCCAAGTTGCTCAGTGACACATAAACCACTTTTTAATTTGTAACAGCACCTTATAATTGATCACTTGCTGCGATGATGTGGATACATTGGTGAAAATTCCTTTAACGAGTTCTAACAGAGAGAATTCCGACAACATTTCGCCTTGTTAAAGAAAAATAGCATGGACATGGAAAATATCTCCCCTAAAATATTTGTTCATTAAAAAGTAGTTCCAAATGTGCTAAAAGTCTTGAACAAAAAGAAATCAACGACAACAAAACATAAATTAAGTTGTTTCTTGCAAATTTGTTGAGGCATAAATGGAATGCTTGAAATGTCTGAAATGTTTGAACAGACATTTTGAAATTTGTGTGCCTTGAAGGTATTTACATGTTTAACCTTTGGTCACAAAATTGATGATATACTTTGTGTTCATTGATATAACTATCACATTTACAAACACAGGCAAATGAAATTTAATAAACTGCAATTATCAGAGTCCCCTGTTCAAGCAGAAAATGAAAGTAATCCCTTCAAAATCAATAAATAAAATATGTGTTGATAAATTGCATTTTTGACTTAAATCAGACACATAAAATGGTGAAAGTGTAAAACGGACCAATAGTCAGAGAGTTATGAATGTTCGAAAAATGAGATCAATAAAGCTATGCAAATCTCAAAATTGGCAATTTTGTCAGTGGATTGTGACGTATGCATGGAAAACCCTCCCATTTGTTGTGTACAAGACTATATCACTGCTTTCCGTTTTTCTGATTTGTTCAAACTTTCATCAGAGCTTTTCTGATATTTCTGCTTACTATTAGATTACTATGCCATTAAGATTGGATTTCTGTTTTATGCAATCTAAATGGAAACCCTGCATGAATTATCATTTGAAAGAGTTCTACTAGACGGTCGACCGTTCTTTAGCCATCTCCTTTACTCTCTGCAATCTCCTTGTAATGATCCTTCAGTGAATCAGGGATATCTATCCCCAGATGCTCCAGGAGCTCAAAGTAAGACCAGGTGAACGCCCTCGTCATGTCCTGAGAGTGAGTGAAGACGTTTGCTTCCGAGTGCAGTTCCTTGTTGAACGCTAGCCTCGCCTCCACCTCCTTCTGCTGCTTCGCGAGCTCGATCGCCAGCAGTCGCGCCTTCTCCTCCGCGATCTTGTCTTCGATCTCGCGCTTGATGCGTTCTTCCTCCGCGATCCTGGCCGCCTCAAGTTCTTCGGCTTTTCGACGCTTCTCGAACTCGATACGCTCGGCTTCCTCCATTGCTGCTAGCATCTCAGCCTCGATGCGCATTCGCTCTGCCTCTTCTTTCTTTCGTTGTTCGTCTTCAGCTAAAATAAAAAAGACATTCCGAAGAAGAAAATGTTTAAAAACATGCTTGAAAGGATACAAGTAGAATTGTCCGAAATATACCAAAAAGGATCTTCCACGACAAACATTATGTATTCTTTGTACATGAATGACATCACTCAAATATAGATTCCACATAACAGTTTTCCACATCCTTAAATGGGTCATCTACTATTACATATCATCATAAAATTTAATGCAAAACAAAACATTGAAAGTAGAGGATAAATTGACAGAGTTATTTAAGTCAATAAGATGCACTGTATGTCTTACTGCATGTATGTACAGGTTTTCAGGTTGTGATATATAAAGTGACATATATGTATATAAAGTCACATATATGTTTATCAAGTCACATATACGCATATAAAGTCACATATAAAGTGACATATATGTATACAAAGTATTTATTTTCCTCAGTCAGGATTTAAAATGTCATGTATCTTGTAAAAACAAATATCAGAGAGATGTTTTTGATTTGATATAAAATCTACACGTACCTTTTCTTTTCATATCTTCTTCACGCTTCTTGCGAGCCATCTCCTCCATCTTGCGTTTGTACTCGGCCTGTTGTCTGCGTTCCCTCTCTGCTGCCAGAGCGGCTTGTCTCTTGCGTTCCTCCTCTTGATTGGCCAGCTTCTCTCGTTCCTCTACTGCCCTTGCTGCCCTCTCCCTAGACAGTCGGGCAAAAAATAATAAGCGTTTGATTGTGAAATGGGGAAAGAATACATTTCTCATTCCAGAAATATAATCATAAAATGTCCCTCCATGTGAGTTAATTCAAATCTCAATAGGATTGATGCAAAAGAATAAAATCTCATAAAATAGACTTGAATACGAATCATCAATTTGGTGGTTCTTTGAGTGTTTCAGACTGGAATGCAAAATAATTGGAAGTCCGAGTGATCAAAACAAAAGATCAAGTGATTTAGCTCCTACAGTATGTGTCTTGTAATGATACTTGCCCATTTTCATGAAGTAACATTATACAGCTTCTGAAAGTCTATCATGCTCCCAAGTGTAGAGGCTTTTCTATTTTAAATGAATCTGTTTTTGCAAGAAAGTTTAAATCAGATGGACTAATCCCACTAATTCCTGTCTTTATGGACTAATCGCATTGAAAGCAACAACAATTATTTTGTATGTGAGGCAGGCAAAAGCTTTATAGAGCTTATTACATGTACATTGCCTTTTTTATCACATAAGTGTGAAGTAGCATTTTGTGGTAGACTTTTACTCTACTCCAACATTTCTTACAGTGCTTCTGCCTCCTTCCTCTTCTTCTCATCTTCGTACTCCTGCTTGATCCTCTCCGCTCTCTCAGCTTCCCCTTGGGCTCTCTTCTTTGCCTCGTCCCGGTCTCTTCTCTTCTTCTCCACCGCTGCTTTCCTCTTCTCAGCCTCCGCGGCTCTCTTGAAAGCTTTGGCTTGGGAACGAGAGATGCTGTTTGGTCCTTCGTTTGTTGAATCCTTCAAGATACGAGATGTGAGAGGACAAAGATATGATGTTAGCTAGTAGACATGTTTCATGAACATCGACCAATCATCGGTTAGAAAGCAAGTCATGTACCGTCAAACCTGCTTCAGTGACCACCCGTCTACAATGACCACATTTTTTGTTTCCCTTGAAAATGGTTTCTTAACATTGAAACATGTACTAAAGGAACCTGTCTAAAAAGACCACTTTTTGTGTTTCCCTTGGGTGGTCGGTATAGACAGGTTTGACTTTACTTTGTATTTGTCTTTAAAAAAGTATACATGCAAAGACATCAACCCTTCTCCCCTTTAAACAAATACATTGTACTCCCATCCTACCTAGCTAGCAGGATTATTACTTAGGCAACTGGGCACCTGGACCATCAGTGGACCACTACCCCTTGAAAGGAATACAAGCCATATTACAGGTATATTAAACCTTTAATATGTCTTGAAGAGATGTCCTAGGGGGTAGTTGTCTTGTTGGGGTGGGAGGGGGGGGCATTATCCAAGAGGAGGGGGTCTGAAGTTGTATATATTAAAGACATGGTTTTTCTAGATCATTTCTCATTCCCGCTTCCCGGCACTTACCTCTGTGAAGTCTGTTATCTCGGAGTAATCCTCGCTGGGTGCAGCCGAGACCGATGGCTCCAGCTTGATTTCATCAACAGGGAGTTCAGGAGGCAACGAAGGAGGCTGCATGTGTATAAAGATCAACATGTCAATGAATCAGAAGGATCATCGCTTTCATTTACCGGTAGTGGCAAATGGATACAAGCTGTTTAGTACAGGGAAGGGGAGGTACTCATGTATATTGTAACTATGTATGGATCAAGGACATTTTGTTCAGAAATGTATGTGTACTTTGGAATGTGGAATGTGATTGTGAAATTGTGAAATTTTCAAATGAAATGGTAAATACTACACGACGTGAAATACAGTGTTCAATTAATGGTTAGGAGGGAGGCATATTTGTACGTAACTTCTTAGCTGATGATGCAGGGGAAAGAAGCTGTAGAATTTAAGAGAAGAGAGTTGCAAGTGTCCTTCAATAATGTTATTTGCATGTTACTTTATTCAATGTGAAATGAATTGATTAATTGAGGCTGTATCAGCACATCTACTGCATACAAAAATGGGGGGTAGTGGGTCTGCTTGGAAAAATTGCATCTAGCTGGAATGCTGTCAAGTCGAGTGGAGAGCGTGCACTCAAAGTGCTGTGTTCAAGTTGAATCCATTGGGAAAGTGCTTGGAGCGGTTACTTGAAGATGGAATCGATCTTTACTTCAAAGTCTGTTATTGCGATTGAATGAATTAAAGTGAAAGTAGAAATGCATTTATGATGATGATCACTATTTGCATGTATATTACAAAAATGTATGTAACATTTATAAACTTTACAAGCTGTAAATAATACATATGAATGAAGCAAATTTATTAATTTCATCCTTTTATTCTTTTCTCTGCTATCAAAATACTATAACTTATATTGCACAAGTAATTACCCTGGTATTTTGTTGGTGGGTGGGGGCTATTTAATCTATATTTGTTTTTTATAATTTTGCGGTATTTCCTAGAAAACTAGACTATTTTTCTGTTATTTTTTTGTGGAAAATTCACAAATTTTTTTAGGCTAAGAAAGATGGAAAATATATTCAGAGTTAAAAAAAAAAAAAAAAAACATAATATCTGTGCTGTTTTTTCACTATTTGTCGACTACTTATATACTATTTTATGTTAACTAGAGTAGAGGGGAAAATCATCATTTCACCAAGGTTTCACCTTGACTTGTTCAACAAACTTCCTATTGGAGATAGCTTTGAAGATAATGCCTGACTAAAGACATAATGCACAAAATGACAGAACTCTAGCACAATTCTAGATTACAGGCAGATACAACTGGGAACCTTCTCTTATTATACACTAATTTTCAACTCACCCAAGTAATTATGCAAATTTTTTATCCAATGAAATGAATGCAGCGAAATGTCAGAGATAAGATGACAAAGATGATATGATTTGTTATTTGTGTTTTTTTAAGTTAAAAACGTGCAAATGCTTTCAAACAAACGTGAAGTTTTCAAGTATGACATCGAATACTGAACCATGCCAACATTATTGCAATGATGCACATGAAACACGTGCCACTGATAAACACTAATGTGTAAATTGATTATGATTATGGTGTAAAACATGTGACAAACACTGATGATAATGTGAATGTTAGATGAAGTGCAGAAAAGTTTCAAAAATGACTATTGCATGATGGGTTTAAGACAGGGCTGTCAACTTTGGGGAACTGCTTTGAGGGAGGTCGTATGCACATTTTTGTTTTGCTGAATGGTAGTAGCATATGCAAGATTTTTTCAAGGGGGTACAAATTTGAAAAATCACGCTGAAAATTTCGTAACGACTCACCCAGCCGCTGAGCGGGGGGGGGGGTAATAACACATTTTTTTTTTCTCCCGGCTTTGGCTTTGGAGGTTTTTTCATGAACCGGGAGATTCTACATCGAAGCAGGAAAGCGGGAGTATGAGCTATTGGGACGGCAGGAGAATGAGCGTGGTGGCGTGAGACTCCCTCCAAATGCGGAAGGGTTGACAGCCCTGGTTAAGATACTGATATGTAACATCTACTGTGTGGTGAGGTGGAAAATGGCAAGAATGGCTATGGAAAACACAAGTTTAAAACTACAATAAAAAGAAACTTGGGTCATACAATGTATGCATGAGTGCCAGAGGAGTGCTGTACAGAGCTAAATTTACCTAGTACGTTTATCTATTTCTAAGACAATTTTTGACTGGATACCATACCTTTTCACAACAAAAACTCAGGATTATATACATGTACACTTGATTTATACAACTTCAAACTTGAATAAACAAAACTACTTGAGTTTGACAAGACTAACATCACAATGAAAACACTACATAGTGAGTTGCTACCATCACGTTATGAACATCTACATTTTGTATTATAATTATATCTATATTATTTTGTTTAATTACAATACAAATACACATCTAACTATATTTATGTATCAAAACACAACAAAATAAAATTACAGAATTTCTTTCTTGTTTCCAAAGATTAGAATTTTAAAGTAAGTATTCAATCAAAATACAACCCTAACAAAACAGCATATCAAATGTGCACCCAAGACAGTACACAAGGTGAAATTTGCAAGAATTTTATCATTTTATATTCTACCTGTCAAATTGTTAAAACATCTTACAGATTTAAAATTGAAAGTTAACAAAATTTATAAACGACTGTTTTTCAGTAACATAGCATTATTTCCCTTTCTTCTTTAAAAATCTCCTCATTCTAAGGTAATACACCAAATGAAAACAAAATATATATATTTGGAATTTTCGTAATTCGCGATTAAAGTAGAAATGCATGCATTTCAATGATGGTAAAATTAAATTTATGCAGGATTAATATTAAAACAAAAAACATACATTATACAAAACATAATACCAAATATCTTTTAAAGCATGCAACATATACACTAAATGATTAGAAATTATTTTGGAATTGACTTGCTTTGTGATACATTATCAAAATAAATATTCTCAGTCTCATTAAATGTAAATCATGATATTATCTTTTTTATAAATATACAATAAATCTACAACATAATATATAAATTACACCTCCTAAATCTTTTTTGTTTTAAATATGGTAAGCAAATGTAAACGTATAGCACTGTATTTGCCATTTTACCTACAGGAGATTTAAATTGTCTTGTTACTGATTGTAATTCCTATAATAATTAGGAGCTACATAGGAGCTTGTTGTCATTGTAAATAGTATAGGTCCCCAAGTAGAAAACAAAACAAATGAAAAACCCCTTTAACCATAGACTCTGCCATTGCCCAGCCAGCCCCCTCCCCCCCCCCCCAAAAAAAAAGTACTGTAACTCTACCATATACTGCTGTCTGTCCAGCCAAATTCTTTTAGCAGCTTCTTCTATCATTTTCTTGTTTTTCATCACATCGCAGTAGATGCTATTTTGTATAGTAGCTGCGAAATGCAAATTTGTCTGATTATTTTTTTGTAATATAAAATAAAAATAATTTTTGAATACAGTATGAATTCTCCTGCTAATGGCTTTCTACCATCAAAATGAAAATATTTTCAAGATTGCCGGCTGATACATGTATTATTGATATGGAAAAGCGAGTTGGTATACATACCTGTTCCTCTTCATCAGAATCGGAGAATTCCTGTATGAATGCAAAGTGAGTGGGTGTGGAAAGGAATGGCAAATGCATCAGTGCAAATGGAATGATTGTAAAACATGAAAATGAAATTGACATGATCATATGCATTCATACCGTTGCATGACCATGTATGGAATTACAATGTTAATTAATTATTCTCCAGATGGCCCAATACCTCAACCCTCCATTCCCTGTCTCTGTTTCTCTGTCTCTTTCTCTCAGTTTCGACTCTCCCTGCCTCTGTCTTCTTTTCTTCTTTTTTTCTTTCTCTCTCTCTCCCCCCCCCCCCCCCCCCCTCTCTCCTCTCTCTCTCTCTCTCTCTCTCTCTCTCTCTCTCTCTCTCTCTCTCTCTTCTCTCTCAACTCTATGTAACAAATTGATGTGCAACATGTGATCATTAGACTGAGTGAAACTTGAACATGTGTATGCAGTACATTATACAATCCATAAATATATGTAAAATCAAAAATGTTTGCTACTTGCAACTTCCAAACACCCATGTTTTCAAAAGATTATAAGTATAATTCAACACTAAAGAAAAATATTTCCAGTTCATGATAGTTTGTTGATTGGATTATCCATGATGTTCAACAAAAGTTATACAAAATGGGCATATTAGAATATCACATTAGACTCCACAAATGACCTTATACAGTATAACATATATAATCCTTTTGTGCTAGAATAAAAAATATGCAATGAACCATAAACAAAGGATGATGAGCTTGGCATGATATATAACACTCAATACAGAAACAATGTATGAGACAAAACATAGATGCTGGAGTATAAGTAACTTTAAGTTATAAAATACAGAAAGACATACAACACATACCGGGTACACATATTCACCCTATCCATGTAGAATAAATTAAAGGGAAAAAGTACAAGACATACAGAAATTATCAACTTTAAGTACATCATGAGAAATGAAAATACATGACTGTGTACATATCTTAACTCAAAACGGCGATGATTTGACATATCCAACGTACAACGCAACGGAATATAAACCAAAAGAAAATTAAGAATCAGAATGGAATCGTCTGTAACGAAGAGAGAAAAGCAAGATAACGAAGAGAGGAAAGCAAGGAGGGACAAAAAGAACAGAAACGGAAAGAGTGAACAACTTACGTCTTGAACAATGATGAACTCTGGAGATTCCGGCGAGGCCCTCCCCTCATCCTCTTCCTCCTCGTCTTCCTCTCCTTCCCTCTCTGCAGCCTCCTTAGCAGCCTTCTCCTCCTCTTCCTTCTTCTTCCTCTCCTCTTCTTCCTGCTTCTCCTTCTCTGCTTTCAATTTGGCCTCCTCCTCCTCGACTTGCTTGTTGTCTTTGGGACTCTCCGATGGTTCTTTGGGCGGCTTCTTGGTTTTCTTGGGCTTCTCTTGTTTCGGAGCCGGTTTCTTGGTCTTCTTCTGGATCGGCTTTTTCTTCTCCTTTGGTGGAGCTATAATGATTGGAAACATTTAAATACAATTTTTTTGTTTGCAAAGACAATTTTCTAAGCTTTTTCTTCAAATCTTTGATGTTAGGATAATGAAAATTGTAAGTAAGCAACCAGGCGGCCGACGGCTTTAGGTCCTCTCCGAGGGACCTGGTAATGAGGATTAATGCTTTACCAAAGGGCACTAGCGCATTGCCTTGGTTTCGAACCCGGGTCACCGGATTACGAGACCACTGCTCTACCCACTGAGCTATCGCGCCTCCTCGCAAGACTCGAGGAGATAATCCTTTAAAAAATAAAAAAAAATTATATTCAAGTTCCAATCCAATGCATAAACCTTACTGTATTACATTCACTGAATTTTCTTTGAACAGATATTAATACGTTTTTGTATAACAGCAATGACCACTCACGCTTTGGTTCCTCTTTCGGAGGTTCTGGAGTCATAGGCTTGTAGAGAAGGATGTCTGCTTTACTGTCTTTGGGCAAACCTGCATAAAACAAACAGATAAAACAATTCAAGAAATCTAATCAGAGAAAACAATCTAGGTGAAACCCATGTACTAAATACCTCATAAAAAATGATCTGTACTCTACTAATCAAACTAGTAAAAGCCTACAGTTGGTCTAAAATCACATTTTACAAAAGGAAAACTTGGACCTCAGACTGACTTCCTTTGTTAAACTTGATTTCGAACAGAAGTCCAATGTCAGATTTAAAGTCTAGTAGAATACAGGCTCATTTGATTTGGCATATTGTTGTACATAAGCTCCCCTGAAAGTACAGATATTTGTATGTTGCCTCATTGGAAATGCACACGTTGGCAGGAATTAATTCCTTGAATGAATTCCTGTAATGGCAGCCATGCTAACATTGGATTAATAATAAATGAGCACCAGAGGTGGCAATGTGCCAGATATGAGTGCTATACAATACCAGAACCATCTGTCCTTATCGTTCATTATTACGATCATTATTCTTATTGTTAGTACCATAAATCTCTGTGTATAAGGCGCACTTTTATGCCGCCGAAAAAAATTGAAAGTCAGGGGGTGCATCTTATACACAGGTAAAAAAAAAATTGATAATAATTTAGTTTCGATTTATGGCGCTATGCCTGGCAATGTCTCCCAGCTCAGTACCAGGTAATCGGTGTGTTGACTCACCACTCTAATAGATCTCAATATGTAGTTTATAATAATAATTCCTCCAATTTTGCTTCGGCGTACCACAAGGTTTTATCCTAGGTACTCTACGGTTTTTAACTTACATTAATGATCTTACACATTCTTCTAAAAACGACATTGTTACTTTTATTTGTGACAAGTTCACAAGCACAAATCGGCGCCTTCAACTGCACCTCGATGTTAAATGAAAGTCCTTCCCCACACGTGTTTTTTCGTTTTGGAAACAACAACAACAACAAACAAAAACAAAACAATTTTTTTTTTCCCCCTTCAAAATAGGGGTGCGCCTTATACACATGTGAGCCTTATACACAGAGAGTTACGGTAATGTTATCAGAAAGAGAAACATTCCTACCAGCCTTCGATGCAGAGGCAAACGAGAGAGAGAGAGATAGAGAGGGTAAAATGTGCTACTTTTTCTATCCAAGCCTAGTGGATCCTATGAAACGGCATAAATATTCATAAATGAATGATACACGCCAATAAAAACAAAAACAACAACAACTTACTGACAATAAAGGCATCCTTGTCTTCCTCGTCCTCCCCATCCTTCCCCTTCTTGCTCTTGGAACTCTTGGAGCTCTTGTTACTCTTGGTACTGGTCTTGGTACTCATGCTGCCCTTCTTGGACTTGGATCCCCTCTTCTCCAGGAGTCCGGTCTCTGCAACTATCTTGGCGAGCTCGTCGTTGAGCTTGGCGTCGGCGTCATCGGCAGGTTTCTCTATGGGAAGAAAGAAAAAGATGAAGTTTGAGAGTTGCATGTTGGGTGAGAGAGAGGGAGGGAGGGAGGGAGGGAGGAAGAGAGAGAGAGAGAGAGAGAGAGAGAGAGAGAGAGAGAAAGTGGGAAAGGGAGAGGGAGAGGGTGAGAGAGAGAGGGGAGAGAGACAGGGAGAGAGAAAGAGAGAAATGTAAAGATGGAGAGAGACACAGAGAGATGGAGGGGAGAGCGAAAGAGAGAGACAGAGACAGAGAAAGAGAGAGAGAGAGAGAGATGGAGGGGAGAGCGAAAGAGAGAGACAGAGACAGAGAAAGACAGAGAGAGAGAGAGATAGATAGACAGAGAGAGAGAGGGGGAGGCTAAAGTAAATTGAAAAGAACATAGAGAATGAAAAAAAGAGAATCCACAGATTTGAAGTAAAAGATGGCAGGAGACATACATATGTACATGTAAAGTCGGAGATCACATTTAGGAGACAAAGACAGTCAGGGAAAGACATAAAATCATCTCAAACAAATTAAGAGAATCATCAATCATGATGATCAGGTATTCAGTAAAATTGAAAAAAAGTAGAGAGGTATTTGTCTTGGGGACCAGAGGATGCAATAGGAAAGGGGAAGATTTGGAGAAAAATGGAGAGAGGTTGGAGGAAACTTGTCATCAGTGACAATTAGTTTTTGTTACAAGCTACTGAAATCCTTGCTTCTGATTGGTTATCAGCAGATTTGTCACTGATTTTTTTTGTAATTTGTCATTGATAAAAGGCTTTGTGAAACACCCCCAGGAATGGAAGAGAAGAGGTTATATATCACTGGGTGCTTACCTGGTTCAGGGGGAGCTCTCACAATCAGAGTAGTCTTCTCCGCCTCTATCTTCTCCGCGACACCCAGATTGGTCATACTAAACCCGAGGGGGCCGCTATCTTTTGCACCATCTCCACCAGCATCTTCTTTCTTCCCCTCGGCTGATTTGGAACCTTATGATATAAAAATAATCGTCACATCATGGGTGAATTTGTAGAACTCACATTGTCTGTTAAGACCCAGAAGGCCTTTAAATCTGCATTTGATGTGAACACACTTTTTACATGCTCAGAGCAGACGACATATTGAAAAGATAACATATCGTTATACATTTAGGTGGTTCACTAGTGCAAGTTTAGTATATGTGTAGGATAACAGACCTTGAATAGGTTATATCAAAAGTTTGCTTCAGCAACAATTTCTCCGGACGTAACTGCATTCATGATATAGGGCTAGGGCCATTAAAACTTGGAATTTAATTCAGACTTGAGGTTGAGGGTATAGCTTTTGTGAAAGTAAATTTTGTGTATTGACCGCAGAGCATTTGACACCAGAGTGTAGGTGTGTTGTAGAACCTTAGAGTAGTCTCTTTCTAAGGGCTGTTCGATCTGCATGGCATCCATTAATGTGAAGTGTTGGTCAACATTGCATTAATTCTATTCTAATGTACTAAATTCCTGGATGAAATTGTAACGCTCTGATTAAATGTGTGCTATATGACCAAGAATAAATATATTGGTTCATTCAATAATACAATATGTAGCGATACGACAGAGAAATGGATGTGGATGTTAAAAGGAATGGCAAGCTCCTGATGTTCCTACAGGAAACAGAGATTGAAATTGGAAATGTTAATCTCAAAAGAAAATAGAATAAAGCTGGAAAAGGACAACATATTTTTTTTTTTTAATTCTGTAGAATTTACAGCACCAGCATCTGAAACAAAAGAGAGGAAGAATAATTCAGTGAGATTAGTTTTCAATGCTCAAACTTGCAGAAATATAATTTTCTATTCTTGTAATCTACTTGATGCTTATTCAACTGCACATGTTTAAAACTGTGTAGAAATATATGCATATATTTCATGGCTGAATTTAGCAGCAAATCATTGTATATCACAACTTTCACAGGAAAATTTTGTTTATCTACCATACTTCATACCTGTGCATCTCTGTAGTAAAGAATAATTTAAACATATATGAAGAAATCTGATATCTTAATGTAATAAGTGTGTTAATTCTCACAACATGACCTCAAAATCAACACAATCAAATCACTCAACCCGTCACCTTGCCGTCACCATACAAACATAATCACATACAAAACTATTGCCGTCATCCCTTTAGTCAACATTAATAGAGGAAAATTGGACATATGTGAACATAATTTTTCTATGTTGACAGAAGACCTTTCAGTAGGTTTAGTAAAAGGTCCAAATAACAAACTTGGGATGTCATTATCAGAGAGGAAGGTATTTGACAGACCATGTACTTCATCATCTAGCTCCAATTTTCTGTCGAAGTAAATGTCATCAACAGGCCTGTCAATCCATTACAAAAAAAAAACATTGTACTACTATGGTTTTCATGGTATTACCATGGTATTAACATGGTACAGTGCTACCAAGGTACTACCATGATACAGAGAGTACTACCATGGCTCTATATGTAGTGTGCTGTAATAATTGTAATGGTGCTACCATCACAGTGCCATGGTATATGTGACATGGCCAAAATACTATGTCCCATATGGTACCATGTTAATTAATCATAATTCGGATGACAGCCCTATTTCTCAATGTCACTGCATTTAACATCAACATTCATTGAATCGACAGTGCAGTGTAAACCATCAACACTCCACAAACTACAAGTACATTTACCATTTTCATTCTTTACTTACGTGTACAGCTCCTTAGATTTGATTACTGCTTTTATCTCTTTTTACTCCATTTCCCTATTTCAAAGAGTGACATATACTACATATTTGTCTTTGATTATATTATCATCATTATGTTAGCACTATATTTTGTAACAATAAACTACATCCTTTCCAGCTATCAGATATCCTATTATATATTACATTCTAAGTATAATTTAGACTTTGCACCAGCTGCCCTGCAGAGTTCCAGTCCATGCAATTTAAATGTCCTTCTTCTGCTTTTTATTCTATGTTTGTATTTCTACCATGACTTTCCTACCATAGTTTTTGCTCTCCTTTTCCCCTTAACTAGTGTGCAACAGGTAATGTCCATACATACATCAGGACTGGCTCTTAAATATTTGACTGAAGTGCTTACCCTCGATCTTCTTTTGACGGTGCATATAGTGCATCAAAAAGTGCACCATATCCCTTCAGAGCATCACTGCAATATGTACTGCACCCATACACACACACCAACAACTTACTTCTCTCTATACTCTCTTTCTCTTTCACAACCGGCACCTTCACCGGTTCGGCCCCTATACTCAATTCAACCTTCTGTGGCGCAGGTACAGGTGGTGGCGCAACTGGTGGTGCCCCTAGGCCCCTAGGAGGCCGTGCAGTTGGCGCTGCGATCACAGCGTTTACCTCACCTTTTGGAGGCTCCACTACTACTGATGGTGCTTTGGACGGTGCCTTAGACGGTGCCCCAGACGATACCCTAGATGGTGCCTTCGAAACTGCAGACGCAGGTGGCTTTGGGGTAAGCAACGCTCCATCTGGCTTATCACTTTCACCTTCGGAAGCCTCCTCCAGTACCGACGCCCGGCTCCTCACCGTAAACGCCCTCTCCGCCACCATCTTCGTCTCTTGTATCTCTTCTTCATCTTCTGTGTCGCCCCCGTACACGGTGCTTGATGCGAGGGACTCGACGATGAACTTCCTTTCGGTGATGTCCTCGACCACCACAATGTCGTGGTCATTGAGGTTGTCTTGATTCTCTATCATGTCGGAAACCTCAGCACCGATCTTCACATTGGTGTTTTCTTCCGCTACCCCTGTAACCAGTGTACATGTATTGTAATCATTCACTTTCTCAAGCTCTTGTGAATTTAATTGCAAATTCTAGTTGGTAGCATGAATTTCTAATCACACATCAGTTGTTGAGCTAAAGGTACAGACTAGAAATATATCCCCTTCAAGTAAAAGATCTTTCGGTTGTTCCTGTACTGCTAAATGTCATTCATCTATTTAAATACGTACATGATTCAAGTACATTGTAAATTTCAACACTGTTTTATTAATTCACTGGTCTATTCATAATACATGTAGTAAAGAGGAACAATTTAATGCAGCATGCGTACACCTAAATAGAGAAACTTTATTATTTGCATTGATGTAAAATTAAATTACTATTTTACCAATGAAATTTGTATTCCTTATTTATTCTTAATATTTACAATTAAAACAAGAAGTTGTATTCATTTATTCAATTTACAAATGGGCCCCCTTCACATACACAGATTTTTCTAACGAGCCCTTAAGGATTGCAAAAATTAACGGATCTTTCACAGATCCTTACGGTTTGGCCACTTTTAAGACTGATTTAAGAGTTGTTACGAGTTATTACCTGCTAATTACGATTATTACTGATTATTACAAGTTATTATGATGTATTTACGACAAAATTCCAAGATTTGTTACGAGTTGTCACAGGTAAACTTACGGTCATTTTACGACCTGTTTACGTGTTGTTACGAGTTAGTTACTGTAAGTATTTAGGAGTCCTTACGATTTTGCAGCTTTTATACTTTTCCCCAAATCGTAAACAGTAAGTAAGAATTTGTTAAGTATTTGTATCGATTTGTGTTATTACTCGTAACTACACGTAAAATGCTCGTAATAACACATGAAAAATCTGCAAAGCCATCGTAACACGACCCAAATGAAATCATAAACAACATGTAAGCACTAGTAATAATCCGCAAATAGTCTGTAAACAAATCGTAAACTAACCGTAACATATCGTTAAAAAGTAGTCATATAAGGTTTCTTGCGAGAAGTTTACGGAAATTTACATACTGTTGCGAGCGGTTTACGATACTTACGGATTATTATGAGTTATTTACGGAAAAATCAATCCATGGACAATCGGAAAAAGATATTTGACATGTCAAAAAAAATTGCCTCTCGTTTCACGGATCCTTAGGGGTATCTGCGAGTTCTTGCGAGTTGTGACGAGTATCTACGGATACCAACAAGTTATTTACGGATGCTTGCGATTGACTACGAGTTGGCGATCTGTAAGGACTAGTTAGAAATATCTGTGTACCTGAAGGGGGTATTATACAGTAAACTGGTAAGAAGGTTATTAATAGAGACAAAACACACGGTTAGAAGTACAAATTCAAAATGTAAACATTAACAAACAATTAACAAAAACATTAGTACTTCACTCCAAAACAAGAAAACATTAGCAATCCCGAAATTGAAAAACTACACATACACTTAACAATGTAAAATTTAAAACACATCTGCAAAAAAACAAACATACATAATACATATCACAAAGAGATTGAGTCAGGAGGACCATGTGGTTATACAGATATACATGTAGTTAGGAAAGAGAATGAGAGAGAATGGAAGAAGAAAATTGGTTCATACGACCATGAACAGTGAAGAAAGAAAAAAAAATCAAAATTAAAATAATCAAAGTAATGATAAAGAAAGACCTACACCTCAAAAAGACATAAACAGACCCATGATATTATTACACTGAAGGAAGGAATATCAGTATTAAAGTTATTTATACATTTAGTGTTAATACCCCAGTTACATCAATGAGACAGACACCAGGGGAATGTTTCACAAAACTTGTCATCAGTGGCAATTGACAGTTTTTGTTACAAGCTAGTGAAATCCTTGCTTCTGATTGGTTATCGGCATATTTGTCACTGATTTTTGTCATATGTCATTGGAAAAAGGCTTTGTGAAACATCTCCCCTACCAACACTAAATCAAACAAATATATCATTACCCTGAACGGCAACAAATTTGGTCGTTTTAAAATTGGTGTGGATTCGGTATACAGGTGTAACCGAGGTATTACTGCTGCTTAGATTAAATTCAAATTTACACAGCACAATGGAATATCCTTTCAATACTTTTCTATTCATTTGAGGTGGAGGCCAGTTACATTTGTAGACTTGTGTGAATAAAAGATTTATAAAGCATAATCAACTATTATTTCTCTTACATAAAAGTTGTTCCATGCATACAAATTTTCATTGTTAAAATTTTATAAAATTCAATATTTTTTTTCTTCTTTTCTTTTCTTTTCAATATCAAAAGCCTTGGTGGCATTTCACAGTCATAAGTACAAGTTAACTGGCAACTCAATGAATTCAAACTGAACACGTGTGTCGATCAATGGGATGTCGGTGAACTTGTACTTACGACGATTTCATGAAATACTGCCCTGGAATACATTGTTGGTTTGGTTTTCTCATTTGTTTGTTTGTTTTGTTTTGTTTGATATGTTAATATATATATTTCATGGGGACAGTTTCCGACTCCTTCAATCATACAAGAAGAATAGTCACTCTACCAGTCCCGTAGATGATTTGTTACCTATGACACAACTGAAAGAAGGAAAGATTAAGACCATCCACCAAATGATTGTTGAACATCTAAAGACAAAACAAGTCAGAGAGTAAAACCCAAGCACCAAGGGAAAAACAAAGACGGCACAAATTAGCTCAAAAATGTTATACCCACTGCACTCTACACAATCAAACTGTTATCCAATGTTACCCCTCAAAAAAAATTAATAGAATCAAATGAAATAAAGGAATAAATGCGATGAATTTTAGTATGAACATTTCGATGCAGAATTTTCTTTAGATTGAGGTTCTAAAAAGTCCTTAGGATATCAAAATGCTAATTTACTGGATACTGCAGGCCTTTCATTTAGAGAAAAGGCCCAGTCATCAGATCGAACACAAGACCTGTCCCCGATTTGAAGCCAATTTGGCGTTTTCTCTGATTGAAAGGCCTCCAATATCCAGTACTTTTGATGTTATCATTCTAATAAACATTAGGGATGTCAGTCGGGAAAACTGAATCTTTTAGGATGTTAGATCTAATGTTATTCCCATTTTTAAAAATATAAATTGAATTGCAGTTGGATCGTATAGTGTGTAGTGGGTGATTGAGAACACTGCATGAACACGGTAAACTGCAAGATACATACGGGATATAAGGCTTTCTAAATCAGCGCCAGACAGGGAGGCTAGGTCATCAGGTACAGAAGCTGTTTTGAAAATTAGCGGGAAAAAATAAAGCAAAGCATGAAAGAAATAAGATCTGCAACTATATAAAGCTAGTCAAGAAATATACAAGTGTTTTCAGCAAACTAGGCGGGGAGGACGATTACGTATAGTACTGCACACACCTGTAAATATGAATTAAGACCGCATAGTATTTTATTGATGTAGGCTCACACATGACAGAAAATGTGAAAATTTGGATATATGCATGTCAAGATATACAACAGATTTTAAAGTACACAATGTTTATATTGTCAGAAGACTAAAGGGGGGGGGGGAAGATTGCTTGCATTTCTTAGAAAGGAAGTCAGGTTATATATATGTCTTTCATAGAGATGGACTGATACATAGGAGAATGCAAGTATTTCATAGATACTGGCTCACAAGGAAAGAAGCCAGTCTGAGGTGAAAAATAAGGGGGACTATTCAGAGCTGGGCATATTTGTAAATTTAAATATACCGGTAATATATGATTGGCAGGGGGAAGAAGCAAAGCAGAATACATGTAGTATGATATTCATGAATGAAACTATGCATCTCACTCTCTGTGGACAATGGTTCATCTTAATAACTCACACAGTATTGCGGAAAATCTGCCTTCACAATTAATAAATCAAAAATAATTAAACGTGAATAAAATGCATACTTGTATATACCATGTGTTCAACATTCTATGTATTGTATTAATTATTCATTACATTGTAATAAAAAATGAATATTAAAAATTATATCTAAAAAAAAAGTAATTAAAAAACTGTCACCTGACAATCCCCATAGCTATTGTACTTATCATGAAAACATCAGTTATTCTTTAGCTATTTGAACATTATATGCCAATGGCAAGTTGATATGGACATTTGATCATCACAGTGTTGTATTGATACTTTCAAGTATCAGAAATGACTTCATTTTCCTTTTTAAAATGAGGTATTTATAATGAAAACAAAATGTATTAAACATCATTATAAGACACACCATAGATATAGAAGCCATAAGCTTGACAGATCATTTCACTTGATACATAATTCTTGACAGAAAGCAGACCCACTCTCGATCATCCAACATCCTATCACTTAATTCCTCTCTCTGCATCACCACCATAACCCCCCCCCCCCCTCCCCCTCCCACACACTATTGCACCCCACATAAAGAAGCAAAGAAGATCCTGAAAGGTTTATCCATTCTTCTACAATACATGCCACAATTCAAACATCACTGATATTATAATGTATGGTAACTAGACAATGCATGTAGTTCATCGATACTCAAGAGCCATAAGAACTGTAGATGACAGCTAGCCTACATTCTGAAATCATCAGATCTGTCAACTGTACTATTAATACTGGAAGGGAAAAATCAGTCGTTAATAAATAAATAAGAATTTGAAATAAGGTTGAAGCATTAGTTTCCGTCTCTCCTGAAAGAAAAGAAATTAATTGGAAATGTCTGCCAAGTCTGCTTTAAAATGCTTAATAAGTAAAAAGGATCAAGCGTATAATTGTACAGTTCATTACAGTATTCATTCATACAAGAATGATTTTGCCATTAGAAGCCACCTTTAAATAGATTGGAAAGAAGCAGAAGGGGTAGTGAAAAATAATATTTGCTTTCTGTCATATTTTCCATTCACAAGTCTCTAACATAACTAGAGACCATTGTGGGCACATCCGTGTTGGCAACCTTGGTGGCAAAGTGAGAAGAAATGTCAACATTTTTATTACTAGAAAAGAAATCAAATTGTTGATTCAGGAACACTATTTCCAAATTCAAGTTTCTTTCCTTGTTGGTTTTTGTTTGGTCAAGTATACCACCTGCTGTGGGCGAAAAGGGCATTAACTCTCGTCTTTAAACACAGATCGACTTTAAGTTGGACTTAACTATGGCAGGCCATTCATGCCATTGGTTGCTCTCACCATTATGATCTTTAGATACATTTTTTCCTTCAATAATGAATTATCAAAAATTGTAAATTCTGTAGATTTGTGACCATGATTTGTTCATCCCATAAGAGACGAATGCCAGTAAATGGTGAGAGCAAACAGTGGCAAGAACTGCCTGCCATATTTAAGTCCAATTTAAAGTTGATCTTAGTCTTTGTGAAACACTCCCCAGGCCCCTCCCACACTCCTTGACAATCCATGAAGCCTTCGACGATCACTGCAACTCGCATACCTTTGAGTAGATGCCGAAGCAAAGTGACGGCAGCCTCCGCCGAGTGTATCCGTCTACTCCTCTTGGTTCCCTTGCTGGACATGTCCGAGGTGACCGATTCTTCGTCCAGGGAGTTCTGCCGACGCCTGTATGGGGCTGACCGGACACGCTCAGGGTCATCGTTCTGGTCAAAGAGCTCTCCAAGCTTGGCTGACCAGATCTCCGCTGCCATCTAAAACACAAATAATAAATTGAGATGGTCATTTATAGGAACTTGACAGTTCTGGAGAGCTCTCCACTAAAAAAAAACAATGGTCCAAATTAACGAGGGGTGGAAACATGTAAATCATGTTCTAAATCATGGGTTAAAGCCCATCTGTACTAGTTTACAGGAGGGATTAGACCACCCTGCAAGGTCACTGACAGGTGGTTATCTCATCAAATCAGCTCTCAATTAACATAAGAAAAAGAGGGTCATGGGGGACCAATGGTCACCGATTATCCGTTGTTTGCTATATAGAGGGCGCAAGTAGCTATAAGTAGTGCAGTCGGGCTTTAAACATCATCTATGTGCAAAAATGAGTGCACATGCAGAGTTAGCATAGATACATTGCCCATTCATTGGAATGAGGACACGTGCATACTTCTGTTACAGAGATTGAAACCATGGTTGAAGATAAGCCCGCTCTCAAAAATTTTAGATTCAAATGAAAGGTAGCCAAGTATACCACCGTCATTTAATTTCAAAGAGTATTTTTCTTTTGAGCTCACCATAGCATCCTTGGCCAGATCACGTCCAGACTTTGGCCTCTGCATAATCTCATCAACAATCACAGACGCTGCCTCTACCAGCTGCTCAAGTTGAGCTTCAACGGAACCGGACCGCGACCTCACGCTCCCGGCGACAGACGCAGGAGGCTCCAGAAGAGAAGAGGTTCTTAAACCAGAATTGTTGTCTCCACCCTCCCCTGGTTCTCCCCCGTTTTCTTCGTTTCCGTCTCCAGCTGCTTCAACTTCGATTTCTACTTCGCTCTCCGAACCGGCCACGGAGCTTCGCCTCTTGGATGACATATCTGCCTGCTGTAATAGATGATATATTTAGCACATTTGATGAGACCATTACAAATTAAAAGAAGAAATTATATCAGAGCAAGCTTCATTTTCAAAGTTCACTTTGAACCACACAAGATTGTAATATGGACCCGGATGGCAAACTTTTCATAAAAATTTAACTTTGTTTGGACTTAAGACAGGCTACTTTTTGTATTCTTTAAACATAAATAGTAAACTGCATTGTGAAGTTTATCCCATGTAAGGCAAGTGATGCCCAATATAACAACCAAACAAACAATGAAAACTAAATGAAAGTTTGTTCAGAATTATCTTTCATAAATGAGGTGTCAAAAGAAGAGCTAGGTTAAGCTTAGTATAGTGAATGAGGCTTGAGACCTCGCCATGGCGACAGTCCCTCCCTCCACTTCTTCTTGTCTCAAGCATCCTCCTCATTTAGGCCAACCTTACTGCTTTCTTACTTCACTATAATACCTTTTCCATGAATTAAACCAAAGGTCTTCCTTTCCCTCATCCATTTCCAGATCCCCTGCTCTCTTCACAGGTTCATTGTCTTCCCATCTCAACACATAACCCATCCATCTCAATCCATTTCTCTTTACCACTTCAACAGATATTATTACCAAGGACATCGGATTCATTGACACACAATGCGCACCATCTCCACTCCCTGGGGAGTATTCCTACCATATAGTCACAGGGAATACGGCAATTACTATAATTCAACATAAATGCTTTCGTCATCCTACCAGCTAGTCCCCATTTCTCCCCAGGGTATGAAGTGGAAAATGTAGATTAATGCCTTTCCAAAGGACAACACACGGTTGTTGAGAATTTGCATAAGATTTGTTACATAACCACCATTTCATATCAAAGCTTTAATTAATTTTTCTCATCAGACTTATAAACTGATCAAAGCCTACATACCTGGTCATCATCCTGACCGGTCACGCTCCCAGTCTTTGACTGGTCAGCTTGACCCGGCCATTCCTCGTCCTTCTCCCCATCAGACAATTGACCGAGCTCATCATCATCTGAAACAAAACAAAAACAAACAAGGATGTCAGGGACTTGTAAGAAAAAAAGAGATGAGACAGTTGCAGATTTTGTTTTACTTGCCGTAGGAGTATGATTTCATCTTGGAGAGAAAAGCTATTATTTGCAATTAATTAACTTTTTCAGTAACTATCATGCACTTCTTGCATCAGGACTGTTTTGCCAAAGCAGAAAAATGGTCACTTATATCTAGATTCTAGTATCATCAAACTCACTTGATTTTCTAGTAAGTGAACCCTGCAGTAAATTTACATTAACACTTGCCAAATTCAATGATCTACTGGAGATGTGGAGTAAGCATTGCATTGATTTTTCATTGTTACACCTGAAAAATGTCTTTCTAAAACATTATTGATGAATATACATGTAAATACAAATCTGTCATTATGATACCAAAGTATTGCATAAACTATGTGCATTTTACATTGCAAAGTGAGATTTCATCTGTTTTCTAGATTCCAGAAAGGGTATATGTATTGCAGTTCAATATAAAGCATAATTAGTAAACCATCTTCAAAAATAGTCTTCAATATTAGTGTTAGGCAGATACATATTTTGCTGTAGATGCATGCACACACACACTTTCTTCAGTTGTAAACATTGCAGTTAAATATTGGAAAAGGAAAAAAAGCATGTACAAAAAGTAAGCATTGCATATTTACTGGCAAAACAAAAACAAAATGTTTAAAAAAAATTCCAATCTGGCAGCAATACAATAAAAAAGAGGCATACGATTCGAAAGTCTACATAATTTTTCATCAATCATAATTTTTCTAAAGTTGTTCATCTTCACAGCCTATCAAAATGGGGGCGGGGGGGGGGGGGGGGTTGTTTCCTCTTGAGGCAGTCAAACATAATAGAAATTAAATGTATAGAAGTATAACAAATGTGCATGACATTAGGACATTTAACAGAATTTACATAAGCTTTTAAAAACCAACTGTGATGAAAAAAATTTGGAGCCTCAACTTGAAATGAGAATTTGGGCTTTGATTTGAATAAGGAATACAAGTTGTCAAGTCATACACATGTACATGTACATTGTTGTATCTCTCTTCTGGATAGTTTATGCATGATAGTATCATGATACATGTAGCATCAAAGCTAGTAACTTAAATGAAGCAAGCAATTTATAAGAAGCAATTGAAGACAAAATGAATCTCCACTGAAGTTATGAACAACAAAATAAAAATATTCTTCAAGTTGCTACCATGAACTGGGACATTTAATAATCGTATTGGCTGAAAATCAGTGTCTTGTTAGGGAAATCAGATTTTCTTATAAAAATTCAGTAGAGCAACAGAGAATGTAGATATGTTTGAAGTATTACTCGTAAAGACCTTGGTACTATTCTCATGATTCCATACTTCTTCACAGTTCTGTATACTTGTTCAGACGGCTTATAAGTAATGACACTTGTTATGGAAAGCTTTGTTTGAAATCATTAAAGACAGACTTCTCTCAAACAAACTAGTAAAAACAGCATCATATGTATATAGCAATATAATTTGTAGAAAGAAAACGTGTACCAAGAAATCATGTGTACTATGAAATAATACACAGAGAGAGAAAGATTGCACAGATGCAATCAATCAGACTTAGCAATGCGTAATCCACATTTCAAAGTATATTTCAAAGGCAAACACAAGCACACATATAAAAGTGCAACCGGCATTTCACAAGCATCATGTAGTTTCAAATTATAAGCGAGCAAAAATTTTGTATGCAGTGATTTAGCATTTAGAATTTGGCATATTTGTTTTTTTCCAATAGCATTTTCTGCTACCTCTTGAAGTTTTGCTGGCCCTCCTGCTGTGTTTTCCCTTCCACTTATAGCTGAAATTTTGGAAGGACTGCATAACATCAAGATCACCTAAATCTTTACAAAGCAACGGGAATAGAAGACAAGGACATTGATTCAACATACAATGTCAAATTTCATAATACGGAAGACAAATACAAACATAGACCAAAGAGGAAAGTTTTTTTTATCCGATATAAATGGTAACAAGAGTACAACATTCACAGAAGTAATATAACACTTAAAACTGTTTCCCAGAGGCTATTTCTATCAGACATCTACACATTTGACATGTCGAATATATGCAACAACCAAGAGGATTACAGGTAGCAACAATATTTATACAAGTACATTATCTTTGGGAAAAAACCTTTCCATGTATGCTATGCCGATTACTTTAAACGAATCGTCTCTTGAGAATCAGAAGGGCATTATCTCTTCACATACGTGTAGAGTTCACGCCAAGGTTAACGCCCTTCTAGCTCTCAGTAGATGATATACACTCAAACCTGGTTTAGTGACCACCTGTCTACAACGACCACATTATTTGTCTCCCTTGAAAATGGTTTCTCATTGAAACATGTACTGAAGGAACCTGTCTAAAAAGACCCTTTTTTGCGTTTCCCTTGGGCGGTCGCTATGGACAGGTTTGACTGTACATGTATAATAGAAAATACAACAATTTAGAGAACAGCTAGGGTAGCGTTTCACAAAACCGTCATAATTACAAGTACAAGACATCCCATTGAGATGGTTGTATTGAAGTTTACATACACACATTTCAATGGAATGTCAGCAAACTAGAACTTACAACGGTTTCAGGTAACAATGCCTAGACACATAGAAATGTGAATATTTTGTTTAAAGTAGGAAGAAAACCAAAGAAAGAATAAATAACGACTGGGAAAGATTCAAAGCGGTAACACATTTTATAGACAGCTCACCTTTCCCAGATTGCAATGACTCTGCTTTGACAGAGCCTTGTGTGGAGGACTTTTTGGAGTAGCTAGGCAAGCTCCGTTTCTCGGACATCTTATCCCGGACGGACTCGGCAGGTTCGGACATTGTAAGGTCAATGACCCCTTGACCTAGTTTGACTGACCTTCCTGTCGTCTTGGTGTCGTCAGCCTCGGATAGAAACTCATCTGAAATGTGAATGATTGTAAAATGATTATTCCTGAAACAAAAGAAGCACTGTAAGGATGATCACTTAATTACAGATTGATATGCAATTATGATTTCACCCTAACTTCTCCAAAAGTACTGGTTATGTTATCAACTGGTTTTAAGGATTTTTATTTTGGGATGATTTTCTTTACTGGACAAATTTGGATAACTGGATAAAATTAATTTCAGTGATTCCATATGCAATATATATTTTTATACATATGATAAAATACTATTATTTTGCAATTTTGTTTGTATTTGTGTTCATTTACTCTTGTAATGTTTTTAAGGATTAGGTGGTAGAACACTAGATATTCTTGTGTAAATTTTAATGATTTATGTATTCTTTTATGAATATCTATCTTTGATGAATATTATACAACTGATTATATTCAAAGAAACTAACAACAAGTACAAATGATATGTGTACATAATATATATGGATGCACAAAAATAAAATATGGAAATGGAAAGAGTGTATGGTGTCTTTTATGAACAAAATTGAAATGACTTCTTTTATCTGTTTGTTTGTTGGTTCAGAAATCAGAATACATCTTTCCTATTGATCAGAAAAAGGTGTTTCCCCAGTATAATTAAAAAATCTTCTGTTAAGAGCTAGAATGGTGCTAATCCTGTGTTGAATGATTCAAGTTATAATGCCCTTCTGGCTCTCAACAGACTATGTAATGCATTAATTGGATGCAAATGTGATTACAAAACGATATCACATTATAGGCGGTGTCACACAGAGGATGAAAATCCGGATTTTAGTTATCCTCTTAATTGCTGTCTGTCATCAATTATCCCTTCAAAAATCCTTTAACGAAGCAAAACAAAATTTAAGGGATTTTTCTGTGTGACACCGCCTAATGATTAGCTCTCAATGACTATTTAAAATGGTAGAAACTTGTATGAATTCAAAATTAGTATGGAATGAGGTGCAAAAAAACATACAAGTACATTTTCAGTGTATGCATGGTATTCCTGGAACAATACATTGAATATAAATGGTTAGAGTGCTGTAATTTGTGATAAAAACAATGAATTGTCTTTCATCAATCTTTAGTTTCGACTGCATGCATGATGTTAGAGTGCACTCCAAACATGCAAGCAAGCGTAAGCGAATGCAAAATCAGCTGAAAAGGGAAAAACAAAAATGTGATTAAAAACATGTACACAAATTGGTGAAATGTGTGATCAATACGTAAATGCAGTATGTAGCATATACACTATGTACATGAACATATATGTGTACTGTGCAGATTAAGATTTATACATGTATATACAGTATATGTTAATGTAGTACATATAACAATGATGAATCCGACTTGCACATGAACGAAAATGAGGATATCCTGATGATGCTGAATGGTATGAAAAATTGGATGAAGAACTGAGGTATATGCAGACGAGAAGCTTGATGGCACTATGAACTAGATGGAACTTCGACTGCGCGCAGTCGAAATGATGCCTCCGTCATAGAGCAATTTTACAAACCAAAACAGAAGAAATTGTTCAAATTCAAGTTCAATTGTAATCCATTAACAGGTTCTCAGAATATCGTGATTACAAGCAATTTCTCATATACATATATGACCCTTTGATCTTTGACCACATGACCCTAACATCTACTCAGTTCATTGGCTCTGCAAGATGTCCCGAGTTAAATAGTAATCCATCTGTCAGTTCTAATGAGAATGCGTTCACAAGCTATTTTTGCATACATAATGAGCCCATGACCTTTGACCTTTGACCTCATGACCCAAGAATCTACTCAGTTCATTGGCTCTGCAAGATACATACATGATCTAAGTTTGGGAGGAATCCATCAATCTGTTCTAATGATAATGCGATCACAAGCTATTTTTGCATGCATAATGAGCCGCATGACCTTTGACCTTGACCTCATGACCCCAAAATTTAATCAGTTCATCGGCTCTGCAAGTAACATACATGACCTAAGTTTGGCAGGAATCCATCAATCGGTTCTTGAGATAACGCGATCACGAGCTGTTTTAGCATACATAATGAGCCCTGTGACCTTTGACCTTTGACCTCGTGACCCCAAAATCTATTCAGTTCATCGTCTCTGCAAGATACATACATGACCTAAGTTTGGCAGGAATCCATTAATCGGTTCTTGAGATAACGCGATCACGAGCTGTTTTTGCATACATAATGAGCCCTGTGACCTTTGACCTTTGACCTCGTGATCCCAAAATCTAATCAGTTCATCGGCTCTGCAAGATACATACATGACCAAAGTTTGGCAGGAATCCATCAATCGGTTCTTGAGATAACGCGATCACGAGCTGTTTTTGCATACATAATGAGCCCTGTGACCTTTGACCTTTGACCTCGTGACCCCAAAATCTAATCAGTTCATTGGCTCTGCAAGATACATACATGACCAAAGTTTGGCAGGAATCCATCAATCGGTTCTTCAGATAACGCGATCACGAGAACGGGACGTACGGACGGACGGACGTACGTACGTACGGACGTACGTACGGACGGACGGACAACCAGAAAACATAATGCCTCCGGCTACTTCGTAACGGAGGCATAAAAACCTATATAGAGAGAGTTTTTTTGTGTACTTTTTCTTCTCAGGTCAGTCGCACGCCGGGACCCTGTCTTTTCCTTGAGCGAGCGCTTCAATTTCCTCTTCCACTTCTCCACGTAGTCCAGGGGCTTCGGTTTCTTGTAGCTGAGAACCTTCATGGATAACCCTAAATCCAGACCACCCATTTTTGGATTGGCAACATTATTCTCAATATCAGATTCACTATCCTTGTCTTCTTCGCCAAAATCGGTCTCAATGATAAGGTCAAGGGCATCCTCAATGACAACGTCAATGACACGGTCAACGGCAGTGTCAATGATGTCACTGATGATGCTGTTGTAGGAGTCGTCAAAGACACTCTTAATGACATCATCAAGAAGTCTGTCAATGGCAGTGTCAATGGAAACAGGGACAAACGTGACCTGAACATCAATGGCAAAAGCCGGGTCATCCTCAACTGTTTCTCCATCATCCAATGGCTCTCTGCTGTTACTAGGTCGGTCAATGCTGTCCACATTCTCAATACTGTCATCACCTGTAACAGAGGCTCCTTTCTCATTTCCTTTATCCAAGTAATCATCATGTTTCTCTGCATAGTCATTTTCCCTGGTATCTTTATTATTTTCTAGGACCTGTACATCTCCTTCAGTTACAAGTACTTGGTATTTGCTTCCTTCTTTGGCCTCGGTCTCTGAATGGTTCCCTTCATTGTTTTGGTTTAGAATCAAAATTTCACTCCCTCCTGCCTCATTTAGACATTCACTTGCCTCTCCTGCTTTTCTAATATCTTCTCTCAAGTTGGGCACAGGGTCATTTCGATGAGCATCATCTTTGTTGCTATTATCATTGATTTTTATGGTCTTGTCTTCCTTCTGCTCATCGATCTTGACGATTTCCTGATAAGTATCCTTATCGAGGCTGCTAAAGGTAGGAGGAAATGCTCCAATAGTACCGGCCCAAATGCTTTCATCATCGGAATCAAAGTTTTCATTAGTAGCAACATCTTGAGTGGAGCAAAGAGAAGGCAGAGAGGCAGAAACTGAAACAGATAGGTTAAGATCATGCAGTTAGTAAAAGAATCAAGCAAGATTTGCAAAAATAATACCAAAGAAAGCATCAAAGTGGAGTTTAGAAGTATAATGCTCCTAAAGAAATATGGTTAATGAATTTAAGAACAGGGTGAAACATTGTGAATGAAACTGAAAGAGAGTGAGCAGGCTTAGTTAGGATAGAGAAAGACAAGATGCAGAAAGGAAATTGGATTACCGTTCCTTCCAATGAGAAGAGCGTTTCCATTTCAGATTAGTTTTAAAGGGATAAGACTAAAATATCCAAACATAGGTCCATCCAAAGTTGCTCCACAGTAATAGGAATAAATTATGGCTTCACCAAGCAGTTATGGTAGTCTCGAGTATGTTTGAAGTAGTTCTTTGGAGGAACTTTTTCATTAGAAATTGATTTTGGTTCCATGCATGGACTCCAGCAAGAATTATCTTACGGTAAGTTTAATATTCAACCATTTAAAGTGCTATAGCACATCTTAAAAGTGCATGGTCTTGAATGTTAATAAAACCGATTTGACACCAAATAAATTATGAGGGCACCGTGCATGTGCGCTTAGCATGCGTCCATATTCGTGCAATAAAACACCGTGCGGTTTGGATTAGTTTTGAATAAAAGAGAATCCACAGTTTGAAACCAATACCGGTTTTAACAGAATGTGCATCATCATCTTCAGGAGAGCCCGCCACATTATCAGTTGAGCCAATGTCCGCCTTTTCTTCAAAGATTTCTTCGGCATCTAGAGTGGATGCGTCGGGAACCTCCAAGGATTCAGATGATTCGATAGAAGGAAGTTCCTGGGATATAGAAGGAGGTTCCTGAGGCGTAGGGGCCTCAACAGGACTTGGAACTGCTTAGGTCAAAGATAGGGTTGAATCAATGAAGGAAGATAGAACAGAAAGACCGTATAAATTGAGAAATCCCCCCAAAAGGAAAAAGAACAGGGAGAAGAGAAAAGAGATAGTTGAATGAAGTTGATTTCGGGAAATAAAACTGATGTTGGATTGAAATTTCTCAAAGGATAAATGATAAGTCTTTCCGGCAAGTGAGAAGAGCAAAAGAGTTGTAGAAAAATATATATGATGGGGAATAATATCAAACATCGATTAAAGAATTGCTCTGTACGTTGGTAAAATACACAGAAAGATTGAAAGAGTTTGTATAAATGCAATAAACATTAAACGAAACAGCTATAAGTATAAATCAATCAACGTGACATGCATACAGTATTGTGATTATTTTGAATACCTTAATAGGTGATTCTTTTCACTTTGAATTGAAGATGTACATGTACAATGCTTTATATAAACAATTAGGACAAAATTTTAAAAAAAAGATGTTGGATTGCCCTTTAGGTGTCAAAACATGAATCGGTCATTCAGAAATCTTTTCTTTTTCTTTTTTTCTTTTTTTACTCCCTCTTTGGGCTGATATTTCTCAGTTTTGAATGCCTTAATACATTTTTTCTAAAAAAACAGTAAAAAAAAAAGGCCTTATCTGTACAAATACAAAATGTTCACATGAATGTATCATTCAAATCAAATTATATTGAACCCCTTAGACAAGTAAGTGAATGGATACAATGTATACAACATCCAAGGCATCACCCAGCCTGCAATACTTTGACTATACTTAAAGTATATTTCAAAAGATTTCAAAAGAGGGCAACATGATATGTACAGTATGTACAGACAAATCGGCTAAAAATGTAGAAAATACTTCAATCAAGTATAACTCATCAAGTACAAAAGGGTTCTTTGACTGTATGCGTCCCCTAAATGGCTTCAAGGTTCTGAAAATTGGTTAGGGAAAATTTCAAAGATTCTGAAAAAATAGACAAATGATGTTTTACCGTTGTCAGCCAGGGAGTCAACAGAAGGGGCGTAGCTGCTCCCCTGCTTTGAGCCGGTGATCAAGAAGTCTCCGCCCTGGTCCCCTAGCAACACGCACCCATGGCTACTCCCCCTGCCGCTCCCCTTGTTCGAGCGCATGCTCTCCCGGAGCCGCGCCGGTACGGAGCCTGCGGCCGGGAATCTGGGTTTCTGATCGCCCACGGGGCTGGCTAGGTTCTCCATGCTGTGGCTGAAGTGGCTATTGATGGAAAGAGCAATGATGCTTTCTCCAGATCCTGAGGAAGAGTGAAAATTTATAAAGAATGAAACATGATCTTAACCAATGAACTAGAAAGGAAAAAACAGTTATAAATGCCGTTGACCTGCTTGTAATTCCATGTATTGAGAGGGGTTGTGGTAAATGGATTGGTCACCAGACAACAGATCACAAGCTTCATGGTTCAAGTCCGAGCCACACTGCTGATATCATTTGGCAAGACATTAATCTACCTTTGCCACTCTCAACCATTGTGCAGTAAATGGGTAGCTGGTAAGAAATTAATCCTTGAAAGTGTTCAGTGTCGTAATGGCAGCTTGGCTAAAGCCAGGATAATGGTTGTATTTTGTAGGTTTCTTGAGCACCCCTGAAATAGATACTTGCATCATAATATTGTGGCTATTATTATGATTATAAATGTACATATAATATTGTTGACTTGCCTGTATCTGTACAGATTTACAAGCATGATACGATGTTCTTCACACTCATATTCAAATAGGATTGAACACAATAACACACTTCGTCCAGTAATAAGGTGCCAAATGTTTCTGGTCTGCAAAGAAGAATTGATCAGTTATCTATGTGTCTTTATCTTTCCTTATTATCAACGGTTGTAGAAGCATTACTTTTTAAAACATCCCTACAAAATTGTTCAATACCCGCTTTCACAAGATTGTTGAACATAAACACTATAGTCGGCACCCACAATTCTTACCTTTACTTGCTTTGCTTACTGCGCTGTCTTTAGACGATGCCTTCTTTGAGGAACCCTTTGTGGATGAACGAGGGCTCTTTATCCATACCTCCTGGTCAGAAGACGCCCTCTCGTGTTCAATGTCCTCCCTCTCGGCCTCCTGGAGGAGGTCATTCTCGTCGATGTCCGCTTTCCAGATGTTCGTTTCGGACGATGCTGGATTTTAAATTATAACAAATCTAAATTATGAAGTGCCCTTTATAATGATAATAACAGTTTGTTCTTATAAAGCGCATTTCAGGACCACAGACCCTCTCAAAGCACTTTACAGATATATATCATTACTCCAATCATCAGATTAAGGCTTCCCCGCACACAATGTATGCACATTCTCTACTCCCTGGGGAGCGTTCCAGCAAGGCGTCATTTTAACAAGCGCACACTTGCTCATCTATCCACATTAATTTTCGCATCGTACCATTTTAAATTATAATAACATTTTATCCAATACAAAGTTGTTCTCCAATTTTGTTATGACAATTATAAGATTTCTAATTATTAAAACAGCTTTTTTTAAAGAGAGAGGGGGAGTTTTCAGAATACCATCTCGGATTTGCATTTGCAACATATGGAGATTTTATAAAACTTTGTCATTTATATAAACATAAAAAGCCTCTTAGTCTGACTCCCTCTAACAAGTTTTATCCCAGAAACAATTGAGATACACACACATGTATATGCTTGTCTCAATTTCTATGTTTTTTGTAACTTTATGATGACAAATTACAGCTTGCAGTTGTGTTTTATTAAAAAGCCACTAAGTTCTTTACCACCATACCTTCTGATAATGAATCAAAAGCTTAAATCATTTCTTAATTTGAACCTTTTGTACATTAACCTAAAATTTATGTCCAGCTCCACAATGATAAAGTGGTTTTAATATACAATAAACTCAAATAGACTCACATTGGACGCTACTTTTTGAAAGCGTTTTGCTACGACTTGACCATCCCTGTGAAAATTTACTCTTCCCACTCAGTAACGGGTGCTGGGGTGTAGGCGGTTCCATTGTGATGACGGGGGGTCCGGTACCCTGCTTGGGCGGAGGGGTAGGCCACATGAAGTCTCCGCCACCACCCATGTTTCCTTCCAATGAGTTCTGGATGGGTGGGAGGGGCTGGATGCCAGAGAAGTTGGCCGGGTAGGTGTGGTACATGTTGTTCTTGACCCTCCCGCGCTTAGAACCTTTAAAAAAAAACAAGACCACACAATGATAAAATAAATATAAATGGACTGAAAAAAAGAAATCAATGTCGCAGATAGTTTTGGGGATACGTAATTTCAAGCCAATTAGTAAGTAAAGTAAAGGGAGGGATTCCGAGAGATGCTGGTTCCATCCTACGCCAATCTTCAGTTTTCAGTGGGACCTGTTCATTGGTTTGTTAGAAAGGGCAACTATGCACAGAGGGTTGGCGGGGGAGCCCCCGTTTACATGGCTGCTGTCCTAGAGTACCTGACTGCTGAAATCTTGGAACTCACTGACATCGCTGTCCACGACAACAAGAAATCTAGGATATCATCATCTTTTGCATACTTTACATTCACTGTGTCTAGGATGACCTTACAGAGGGAGTACCAATGCTATATTATGAAACCTCATAGAGTACAAGATTGAGAAGGAGGGCCATATCAGGCTCTGGGCGTTTTGGAGTTGACCTTGTACATGTTTGGGGTTATGGACTAGGGGAGTGGTTGCATACCCAGAGGCCACTGGGAGGGGGAAGTTGCAGGACAGGGGTGTTACTGTTTCCTGGAGTTGCCTTTCATTGTTTTTTTGTTGAGCATCAAAGCTGGTCAGGGGCAATTACTTTGACACCATTGTCACAATAATGAGGAAGATGAAGTCAGGTTTGATTAAAGGGGGTGTCGCATGGCAAATACTGGTTAGCGTCATCTATGACTTCTTTTGGACAACTGCAGGTAAACGAATAGACTTGATTAACAGTCAGCGCGCTAGCATTCACGAAACAGACCGAAGTTCTCCTCACGATTTGGTTTCGTGTTTGTTGCACGCACGAAAGAAAGACACATCATGCTACACCCCCTTTAACTCATACGTAATGGTCTAGATGACAAAGGGGGATAGTTACCCTGAGGCCATTGAGAGGGTGATGTTGAGGGTGGGGGTGCTGGTGGTTTCTTGGTCTTGCCTTTCATCGCACTGTACATGTCTAGAATGGTCTGATCGGTGAATGCCGTTGAGCCACCAAGAATGTTGGTTGAGTTGCTTGTGATGAGATTCTGCAAGGTCGATCATCAAAAGACAATAGGGCAAAATGACATTTTTTTCTTGAAAACTTGGAACACAACAAAGAAAATAGTATGATTATTTGCTAATCGACTACAATTTGAGATAATGCATGTACCCTGACAGGATGACCCATGAAACCTGATAATTAGCTTAATATACAGACGAACCATTCATAGTTATGTGAGACAAATTGATCAGTTTTCTGCAGCATGGCTTGAAGTACTATATAAAATATATTACTACTGTTTTGAAAATATAACCTTTAACTGACTTTTCGAACATATCACTTTCTGCCCATATCATAGTCCATATGAATACTGTATGAGAGATCAATGTTCCTAAACTTGAAATTGTTATAAATAGAACAGAAATTATGTTGATTTTAATAGACAGTGTTTATCAAATGAAATTTCATATATCAAATGTTGAGGAAACATTTTTCAAAACCCCTCGGCCCACCCCCCAAAAAGATGAATTTAACAAAATTAATCTCGTAGTAAAAGATTTCACCCCATTGGATATGAATTAGATTTTCACACTTTTTTCCAATAGATGCCAGTCCGATGTACCATGGGCTTCAACCACATGTTATGAAGGACATTTTATACAATAAATCTTTAATAGAAGAGATGTACTTTGGACAAGAATCTTTACGATCCACTTACTGCTATGGCTTGCTCCATATCAATGTCTTGTGCATCGGGAACCTGGAAGGTTGGACTGCCGTAGAGCGTCATGTCTGTGTCCGTTCTTCTCTGTTTAGGCTGGCCCTATTCATATGCAAAATATGGAAAATCATATTCAAAGGATTATACAAAACATACTCTTGTGACAATTGCTCAAATTGCATCACATTTCAAACTTCAATCCTGGACCCAACACTATATAATCATGTAAAACCCTTGCCTGGTCATTTTTTCACATGCGATAAAATATGTTTTTTTGTCTATTTTCTCTATTAGCTATGGTATTCCCCAGAAAACTAGACTATTTCTTTTCTTTTTTCTTATGGTAAAAAATTGAAAATAGACCCCAAAAACATATCTGTATGCTAGGGATTTGGAACAAAAGATAGATAGAGAGTATATTTCAGAGTTGAAAATAGTCAAAAAACATATTTGTTGTGCTTTCTTTTAATACTATTTTCAACTATTTTCAGACCATTTTATTTTGACTAGGGCGAACTTCTATCCTTAAAGATATAACCACAATTGAAACTCATAGCAACTTTCTATTTTCAAGATCTGTACGACTCTTATGAAGAGGGCAACAAGACTTTACTTTAGTTGTTAAGCTCATCTCTGTATAGGATATGTTTCAAAGCCTTCCTGATTGATTAATCAAATCAGATCTTTAATCAGATCTTTGAAAAACAATGACGAAGACATTTAATGTAGAGATGATAAACATACCGAAAGAATAGGCATTGGACGCTTCTGACTTGAAGTGGCAGAGTTCTCTCCTTCTTCTTCCATCACCGTCTCCTCCTCTTTCTTCTTTTCATTCTCCTCTCGGATTATCCTGAGATGTTGTTGCTGGTGGAGGGCACTCTGTAGTAGCAGTCGCTGAAGAACCTGTCATGCAAAACAACAACAAACATTTGTTGAGCCATCCAATACAATCTGAACTTGATACAGCAAAAAAATGTCATGTACTCGTGCCTTAATTATCTCAAGCTAAGTGTTCAACAGGTTAAATCAAAGTTTTATTATTTCTTTTGATGATGATACCTATCAATTCATAGGTAAAACATGAAACAATGAGACATAATATAGACAATTTGAGTATGATTTTAGAAATCCAGAAACTGGGTAAAGAAACAAGCTCATTACAGCTATTGTAAATGAACTTCAGGAGGGAAATTTTGACTTGCTTTTTATTATGGACAACTATGCAAACAGTACCTTTGGATACATACTTCAGAGAAGAGATGCATGTTACTTTTTCTGCTCCTGAAGAAATATAGTATTCCTACTTAGTCCAAATTATTGTTCCACACTTAAAGGGGCTGTATCATGGCAAATACTGGTTAACGCCATCTACGACTACGACTTCTTTTGAACAACTGCACATAAACGAATGGACCAAACACTTCGGTTTCACACATTTTGCACGCAAGTGAATACGTAGGCCTACTAGGGTCGCGTCGTCAGTAGTCGTAATATACCTGATGGACCAGAGTCAGGCCACGGGTTGCTACAGCCCCTTTAACAATTAATGGGATTTTTGCCACCCATCAAACAGAAGGAGATAAAGACATCACAAACCTGTCTCTGTTGCTCCTCATCGAGCTGCTCGTACTGGACGGCATGTGGTTTCTGCTCCATGTCGCGAACAATCATAGCGATCGAACCTGGCAAGTTGAAAGGTTTCTGAATCGACTTCTTCTTCTTCCTGCCCTTACTACCCTTCTCGGTGGCATCGACATCGGCATCATAGCCGTCATCGTCATCATAGCCCCCTGGGAATAGACGTTATATGGAGTGAGTCAACAGATAAACAGCAAATACCGGTATATAATTCTATATTTTCAAAGAATATTAGCACAGATGGCACTACTCTGTTAACCTATAGCAAGAAAAACTAGATGGAATTTTGACTGCGCGCAGTCGAAAATGATGCCTCCGCCATAGAGCAATTTAAACAAGTTTGGAGTTTAAATCTCCAGTGGTTCTTGAGATATCATGATAACAATCTCAATGTATGGAATTTCATAAGTTGACCTCTGTGACCCTTGACCTTTGACCTACGTGCTCCAAAATCTAATCAGATTGTCTTCCTATGGTGATACACACTATCATTAAGTTTGAAGTTTAAATCTCCAGTGGTTCTTGAGATATTATATGGTGATACATACTATCATTAAGTTTGAAGTGAAAATTCTCCAGTGGTTCTTGAGATATCGCGATAACGATCTCAATGTATGGAATTTCATAGGTTGACCTTTGTGACCCATGACTTTTGACCTACGTGCTCCAAAATCTAATCAGATTGTCTTCCTATGGTGATACACACTATCATTAAGTTTGAAGTTTAAATCTCCAGTGGTTCTTGAGATATTATGATAACAATCTCAATGTATGGAATTTCATAAGTTGACCTCTGTGACCCTTGACCTTTGACCTACGTGCTCCAAAATCTAATCAGATTGTTTTCCTATAGTGATACACACTATCACTAAGTTTGAAGTTTAAATCTCCAGTGGTTCTTGAGATATCATGATAACAATCTCAATGTATGGAATTTCATAAGTTGACCTCTGTGACCCTTGACCTTTGGCATACGTGCTCCAAAATCTAATCAGATCGTCTTCCTATGGTGATACATACTATCCTTAAGTTTGAAGTTTAAATCTCAAATGGTTCTTGAGATATCGCGCTAACAAACTCAATACAAGGAATTTCATAAGTTGACCTCTGTGACCTGTGACCTTTGACCTACGTACTCCAAAATCTAATCAGATCGTCTTCCTATGGTGATAAATACTATTCCCGAGTCTTAAGTTTAAATCTTAAATGGTTCTTGAGATATTGTGATAACTGTCAACGGGACGGACGTACGGACGTACGGACGTACGGACGGACAACCCGAAAACATGATGCCTCCGGCACCACCTTCGGTGGCTGAGGCATAAAAATATTTAAATAATTTCGGGGGATACTTTTCAAGCTTGCTACCATGAGAGTAACACTCTTCATTTTGTTTTGCATTCAACTCTATGCAAATTTTGTTGGGCTTTTTTTATGACTTTCCGGGCTCTTTGGGGGCTAATTCGCTGAGAGCCCCCGTGTATTTTTCCCCCTGACCTATAATTTGGTATAGATCTTCCATTTGAACACAATTTACAATTAAGGACCTGAACATGAAGATATAAATGTAGTCACGTTTAGAAAAACTATGTATCTAAAGTATTCTACAACCGCAACATACCATAAAATGAATCTTAAACTGTGTAAGCCTTCTTGTTAGGTAATTCTTGATGTTATAGAGATTTTGTTGTAGAGATCAGCAGAGATTAAAATAAACTTTGTTTTTAGTACATACTGTATCGATTGTATAATTATTGTTTGTTTGTTTGTTTCTGCTTGGTTTTTGTTTGTTAAATTGGTTATTTGTGATTTGGTTCTGTTGTTGTATTTGTTGTAATTGAAATCCCATAACTTGCATTATCTTTAAAGGGATCAAATATGCCTACTGTGCCTCGAAGCAAACAATGAACATGTACCGGTATAAGAAACTATGCATCAAGTATAGCAATGGAAAGCATTGTAGACAGTAGCATGTTTACATATAAAGAAATAATTAAAAGGCACTGAAAAAAAATCATGAAATATAATCCAATAGAATTATAAATGTGTGTAGTAGGAATACGGAATGGCAATAAGAACAATTTCATATTGTTACAAGCAAAGCAAAAAATAATATTCATATCAATATAAGCAAAATATAATGCAAAGCATTCAAATTTGTTAACTTTACTTTGGTAAGAAATTAAAGACATATTAAAAAATATAAACAAATCAGTGCAAGTAATCAAGGTTTTTTCATGCAGTGAAAATAGAGGACTAATATTTACACTTTTGCAAACATTAAAAAAAATTAAAAACATCTTTAAGTATTTACTAGGAGCTTGCATCGATACCATACTGACTCCCCCATATTCATGTACATTTTCTGTACAACTTTAGTGTTTTTTCAACAGGAAAACAAAAAAATTAGAATAATATTGTATATTTTATATAGCGCACATACGGTATCCATCATGCATGGTGCCCAAGGCGCTCCAACTATTACCCCGGCTCTGCTAGGCAGCCGATTTCGGCGCTCACAGCATTCAAGGAATTCCTTCCTGCTGGTACCCATTTAATACCTGGGTAGAGAGTGGCAAACGTAGATTAATATTTTGCCAAAGGACATTAGTGCTGTGGCGGGACTTGAACCGCAGACCCTGTGATCCACAGTCTAACGACTTATCTACTAGACCACAACACCTCTAGGTGTGATAAAAATATATAATTCAAAGTGATAGATGTACCGCAAGGGCAGTAACTTTGGTATTTATCTGCAGCAAGTAAACAACAAACAGACAGTGAAAAATATACTGTGCTTAGGAAAATCTGCATTACTGGTTCAATGCTCAAAAATATCAAATGATCAACAATGAAGCACATGCAACATTTATTCTTCTTTAGTGAAGCATATACAGTATATTCTATCAATCTACACAATACATTCCTTACATAATCTGTCATAGATCTCATCCAGTGTTAACGCATGGCCATCTTTGTTTACATTTTGTGAAGAAGAGTTATAAAAACATTCATGATCACATAAACTATATTATTATTTTTTTATTTCTTTTTAGCACTAGATTTTTATACAGGAAATAGAAACTTTCCAAAGACTTGTCATAAAATGATTTTGAATACAACTCAATAATGCATTTCCTACGGAGTTTGACACTCTCTCAATGTTACTACTCAAGTTCACTATACATAACATTTCATTTTAAATCAATTGTCCCATGTTGTCAACTTGAAAAAGACATACGCGTTAACGATATAAGTTGAGAATCATAATTGAAATAGTTGGGCTACAAATCATTCATATATATATGTAGACTGATAAGTGATAACAAAGTACCTGAACAAAAAGATCATACCAGTATTTCATGGTTTCTATCAAACTAAATAAATCACTCATTTTTAGGTCGATTAAAATATAGACATATCCTTTGGTCTTACCTGTATCTGCACCGTCAGGTCGTATCCTGTAGAATTCTAAGCTTTCAAATTCACCCGGTGACATGAGCATGTTACGCGTGACCCGGTATGGCAAGGGAACGAGGGAGAGGTCATCGTTGATACGTCTGTACAGGTTAGGAGCTAGAACGTTCTGCTGGAAGAGATTCTTGTCCCATATATGACCTGGAAATAAAAAATAACAAATGAATTAAAACCAGCCGTTCTCACCTATTTCTTGCCTCTCTTTTATTAAGCAACATACCGGTATGTATATGTTCACCTCAAAGAAGGACACTTGCACATCCCATTCATCCAGTCCACTTTGAATCTGTTGAATATGGTTTCATTTTCATACACATTTTTCATAGAACCCAGCCCAAGATATATGAGATAAAGTCTGTCAATGTGTTTAGTTTCATTCATCTCTCGAATTACTTTTAAAGTGGAGGTGACAATAGATAGATTAATGTTCAAATTTGCATGAAAGAATTTAGTGCCCTTTGATATAAAGCCATCAATCCTTTGATAATATCTTTTCCTAAAATCAGACTGAAAGTGTGGTCTTCAAACAGTATTTTTAAAGCCCAACTGCACTACTTATAGCTACTTGCGCCCTCTATACAGCCAACAATGCCAAAGCGGTACGTGTTGATCCCCGCTGATGCCCTTTTTCTTATGTTAATTGATAGCTGATTTGATGAGATAACCACCTGCCAGTGATCTTGCATGGAGGCAGAATCCCTCCATGCCAAACTAGTGCAGAGGGGCTTTAATAAGAGAGTGTCTCCAACAACAAGTCATGGAAACAAGGCTCCATAAAAATATTAGTTTGTTATGGTGCATTACCTTCACTTCGGAGGTAGTTGAGTATGGAATCATCCCAGCTCCTTGACCAGTTGGCCAGGTAGCGTTTGGCCGAGAAGCCTGGACGGACTGTCTTGTACGGCCCATGAGACCGCTTATTGTGTACAAAACCCAGGAATGGTTGATGGCTTGGGTCGACCTGCGAAGCAGCAGGCTGGAAGGTTTGCTGTAATCGAGATAACAAACATGAATTTAATAAATCAAATGACATTAATTACTATTTAAACAAATTCATGGGAAGTATTGGAAAACATTTCTTACAAGGCATGTATGTTACTTGTTACTTGTAGAGATAATCCCGATGGCAGCTATCATACAGCTAAACTGGGATGTCCGTGCAACGTGCTGGCATAGTGACAGTGCATGGAGTAATTCAAAACGGTGAATGATGTCTATTATTTACAATAAAACGGTGGACGATTATAGATTATTTGACATTATCAACTCTCCATGCAATCTATGAGAAAATGTATTTTCTTTAATAGATCTAAAATGTTACAGTACAGGCAAAAAAAAATGACTGCAACAAATCTCTACATTTAGATGTGTTCAGAGCATTGTGAGTTCATCTAATTCATAATATCATTATTCAAAGCATGCATCAATCTATTTATAATTACCAACTGTGTACCTATGTGTATGTCATGACTATACTTGTTCCACAACCTTATTTAAGAAGAAACATATTCTCAAAGTGGAAAAAGTTCAACATCGTGCAACTAAACTCTTACAACCTCTCAGAAGTCTTCAGTACAAATTATGGCTAGAGCAACTAAATTTGCCTTCATTATCATACAGACGCCATAGAAGCGACATGCTACAAGTCTATAAGATACTGCATGGAATCGACGACCTCCTGTCAACTAATTTCTTTCATCGTACCACTGTCACAGTAACAAGAGGTCACCAGTTCAAACTACAAAAGAAACACGTAAAATCTAAATTGAGGCAGAGCTCTTTTTCACAGAGAGTAGTAAACGAATGGAATGGTCTCCCATCATATGTAGCAGAAAGTCCATCACTCAATTCTTTCAAATCAAATCTTGGCAAGTACTGGTCACTGAAAAAGGACAAGTTTAATCCTGATGAACTATTCAACTGTCCATGTTCATCGTAACTGCACAACGCCAAATTCAACAGTAACCCATTAACGGACACCAAGGGGCAAATAAGTTTTGTATAACTTTATGCCTACTTCCAAGGTACATGTATGATATCCAAGGTATGATTATTTTCATGATTGATATATAAAATTATATCCTGCATACTAAAAATCTTGCAATCTGATTGGTCTAAACGAGGTCACATGATCAATGATAGATAAGTACTCCTTGCGATAGGAATTTTGTACCGTAATTTTTTGCTGCTGCCCCACTTGCCCATTGAATAAGCGTAGCAAAGTAGGTCAAGCAAAATGTCAATGTCAATGTCAAATGAGCGCGCATCGACTGTATTACATGTATTGTATGTGTGGTGTGCTTTGTCAAATCTAGCTGAAGCTAAACTGTCTGCAGAATCAGTTCTTCTAATTATGTAAAATTCACTTTAAATAGACTAATTGTGGATGTGGGATATAAAACAAATATTAACCTCCTTTACTCAGGCAATGTATAACTATCATCGCCTCGTGATCTCGGGGCTACCATCATACCTCGACTTGCGACTCGGGATGATAGTAGCCCCGAGATCACTTCGGCGATGATAGTTTGTACCATTACCCTCGTAGTCGATTAATATTTGCTTAATATAAGATGGGTCTAAAGATATAAAGAGGTATATATATATTACAGTTAGATAGACCTATATGTATAGGACTTGAAAATATGAACAGGATTTAGCTAGTAAATATACCCCTCCAGGCCAGTCAAACATCTAAGAGACCCCTATCCAAGAGTAAAATGTTGATCTTTTAACTCTCTCTGTCTCACCTGTCTCGTGCCGCTACCATACGACAAGACAGCATTGCGTAGATCACTTATTGAGTTGAAGTAGCTCGAGTCCTCGGCCTCCATCGACCTCTTCTTGCCGTCCGCCCCCTCCTGCGAGGTCAGGGCCAGGTCCTCGGCGTAGAGGAGCAGCGCCCCCTTCCTGGTGGTGTAGGTCTTGTGTACCCGCACCTCTCTGGGCGAGACCTGCTTCGACTCCTTGGCCCACGCATGCTGCTGTAAAGGGGGCAGGTAGAATCGACGGCCTTGGATGTTGTGGTAGTCCTGCAAATGAGAAAAAATGGTAGATTTTGTTATTGGACATATAGGTCAAGGGGCATCCTGTCCCTTTCCCTAGCAAATTAATACCAGCTTGAAAATTAATAATCTTGGCTGTGCTGAAGGTTCACAATCTGTTGTTCAGGTTGCATTACATTACTTTTGTACAAGTAGAGCATGTGGGAAAAATGTATCAATGAGAATGGGGTTTCTAGCACTTCATGAAAACAAAATCCTAGATTCTCCCATGTTATCAGGATAATTGGGAACTGTAAAGACTAAAGTAGTCTAGTATAATCCTATTTTGGACTGGGACGTGGGAGGTTGTTTTGGGGTGATGAAATAAAGAACAGTAAATGGGTTACTCATGCGCAAACAAAATTAAGAAGTTCATCTTGTCCATTATATTAATTTGACCCTCTAATTTCTTTGACACATATATTTCATACCCCAAAATGTTCAACAAAAGAAAAAAGAAATTATGCAACAAAGTGATCAACAAACAAGTTTGAAGTTTCTAGAATCTAGTTTAAACACTGTTTTACTAGATCTAACTAAACAAAAATGACTTTACCAATTCTAACTTAGCCTGCTTAGGGCCGTAGGTGTTAGGCTTAAGGCCCTTATTTTACAAGATAATCAACAATGACATGACCTCAATCATCATTGAATCGAACAACATTCAGGATCATGTTTCTACAAATGTACCTCCGGTTCAAGGCAAACTTCCAGCTTTGTTTGTCCATGTTGTTCTTTTTCCTCTCCTATTCCTCGACTCAGTAATGAAAGACCAGGATTGGAAGACTTTGACACTACAGTTGGTTGAAGAGTGAACATGTTTATTTTTTTACAAATTTAGGTGCCCCGAGTCGATCAAGTTGGTCACAAACTGCAGTGCGCGTGCGACTTGGTCAGCCCTAACGGCTGTTGGCCCGGCCCGCTCACTGATAATTGATTGGTGGCATACCCGTAGCCGCCGGCGCAGGGATTGCGACCTTCCCGCATCAACGTCAACGAATTGTTTACTTCCCCTTTCAAATGTTTCTAACTTTTCGCCTTTCTTCTCAGCTTTCAAAAATACCGTTTCTCATACAACCTTCACTTTTCCTCTCCTTAAGTTCTGAGGAGCGATTAATAGTTAAAAGATGACTGAAGAAGTCTCATAACCAGCTGTTTCAAAACTGTTGATAAGTTCTGCTCGGCAAAATTCAGCCCATGGGCACCGCCATATTGTTTGATCACGTGATAAGGTTGCCGTGCAGCGCCTGACGACGTCACGCATATCTGGTCGTATCGAATTTTAGCTCGTACTTCGCACCGAGTAGGTGGTCGTATTATGTTGAACCATTTATGTGGAAGATCATTACATTGCAGCGAGGTAACTGCTAATCGATAAATCGAATCGGGGATACAATAGAAGAATTTCATACGGAAATATCATTCGTCGAGAGCCAGAGAGATATTGGAAGTAGGAAAAAGAGAATATACAACAAAAACGAGGACATCGACAGTGAGCGTCGCAAGGGGTGGTTTTTCTTCTTCTAGCTATAGCTTCTTCTTTTTCTTCTTCTTCTTCTTCTTCCGAATCTTCCTAACCTTCTTATTATTATTATTCTAAGATCTTCTTCTTCTTCTATACTTCTTCTTCTTCCGTCTTATTTTTATATAGTCCTAGTTTAGTAGTCACGGTCAAGTAATATTATTCATCATCATCATCATCATCATCATCATCATCATCATTATCATCATGATTATTATTATTATCATTAATATTATTATCATTATTATTACTTTTAGTATTACCGTTATTATTATTATTATTATTATCATTATTATCATTATTATAACCAGGCGCGTACACAGGGGGGGGGGGGGGTTGAAGGGTTAACCCCCCCCCCCCCCTCCTTTAGCATTTTTAAGTGTATAAACCCCCTAACCCCCCCCCCCCCCCCCCCCACCCCCCTTTTGGTTTTTTTTTTTTTTTTTTAATAATAATAATAAAAATAATAAAAAAATTATTCCCATGGCTGACCAAGGTGACCTACCCCCCTCCCTAACGGAGCAAAAGGTCAATTTTTCAAATTTCGAGACCAAAAAAAAAAAGTGTCCTCTTACCCCCCCCCCCCCCCCCCCCCCCCCCTACCGACTGCAACATTTTTTAACCAACATAATATGCTCTGGATACATTGTATTTGAAGAATAATATTAATGTTCTTGGTAACTCACCCATTCGTTCTCGTTTTCATCTGCCCAAGGTCCAGAGACATCGTCAAGGCTCACCGACGATGCAGGCGGGCATGACGGTGACGAAAAAGAACCTTGCGATGACGGGGTGGACGACGATTCGGACGATGTCGACATGTAATGACTCCACATCGCGGAGAATTTGACATCGTTGACGGACTTTGCTTTCTTGAGCGATTCAGGCGGGGAGGTCTCCCGCGGGATGCCAAGCGGACGAATAGGTAAGGTTTCCGTGCTCCCTGATATTCCGTAAAAAAATATTTAAAAAATTAACAACAAAAAAGGAAATAGATTTTGTTCTTTTTATTTATAATCGGTCATGTTATTCTACATTCTTTGATTGTGCATGAGTGAATGTACCATGGGATATAAACTGATAAAATCCAATCCAATAAGCATATAATTATAAACTTCGGGGAGGAGGGCCGCGGGAGCCTGCACTGCACCCCACCCCCCCCCCCCCCGAGAAATGTTATATCGTCAACATTCGGGCAACTATGAGTGGCAATGATGCCTTTTATATGTTCTGTATCTTTGGTAGTATATAGGCCTATATAGAGTGTAGAAATTGCTTGCTCGCTTCATTCGCTCGCAAATATAAGATACTGCGATAATGTTCCCGTACTATAATGTGTGCAACTATTATGTTTAGGCCTAACACTTCCTGACAATATAGACAACACAAAATCAAAACGAAGGATAAGCCCTTTATAATGGGGATTGGGGAATATGAAACTGACATTGGTTGTGTTTATAAAAAAAATGTATAAATAACCAAATAATGTGAAGTAGCCCAATTAAGATAGAATTATGATAGATATGGCACATACCGTATGCTAAATTCCATTTTTGTTTGAACGTAAAGCCGCCATTTGCAGTCTTTGGTAGAGCCTGTTCAATCAGAACGATATAGAGAAATGACAAAACAGACAAGGTCAAGAGTAACTTTCCGTTCTTCTAGGCAAATAATATTCCAAAGGTATTCTCTTTACGAGTCTATATACGATTAAAGTAAAAAAACAACTGGTTAAAATTTTGGCTTAGAATGTAAAAAAAAATGCATCACTTAAAGTTTCAAGGAAAATAATCATGAATGATGTATATTTTCACTCAAACTAATGGAAATGGTGTAATTAACATCATCATTATTGGAGGAGAATTTGTAAAGCAAGAATCTATTAGGCTAATATCTAATTCATGCCATTTCAAAAGTTAGACAATGCTCTTATGTTATATGACATTCACTTTGATAGGTTGTCGCTTAAATTGATAGATTACATGTGAACCTTTTCTCAAATAGAGTTTGCATATTATACACCAGGTATAGCCTAAGCAAAGATACCACGTTGTGTTTCAATTAAAATGGCGCCTTGTAGGTTTAAATTTTAACCAATGTATTTTGAAAAGTCGGATGATGATTAAATGATGAAAAATTGAATTACTCCGTCGATGTATAGCATGAGAGTAGACATATTCATTTAATGTCATTGCTTATCAATACGTGCAGGTATAAATATGATAAAAGAAAGAAAAAATGGGGGAACCTCGCCTTTTTAGGTGTTGGCCTCACCGGCCAGGCTCCCGGTCCAGTCGTTTGTTGATATACCGGTGTATTCTCCCCACTGCTACCATCTGCCACTACTTCAATCTTTCCATGACGAACGACTCCTGTGCCTCTACATAGGTCCGATAGCATTTCTCGTTTCAAAGTGTGCTAAACGGTAAAACCTGAAAATAAGGTTTTCAATCATGAATATGAGGGAAAAAAATAAACTAAACATCATTTCAACGAATGTACTTTCTGTATTATCTGACTTAATAAGTATTTTACTTTGATCTATCTTTCTGCTTGAAATGCACCCCTGCATGATTGAACTGTGGAGCAACAAAGGATAATTATACACTGTTGGTCATAATGGTGGAATAATTATTTTTACCCCAGTTTAGGAAAGGATTTTTTAAAATTATTTATTTCTAATAGATCTAGATAATGGCATACATTCTCAGATTGTATTGAATATTAATTTGCGAGTGTTTGTTTTGCGTGACTGCTTAATCATGCTACTATGCTAATCAGCTAAGGGACCTACGTCCTTAAGTTTAATTGGCAGTAATGAGGATTAATACCTCACAAAAGGGCCCTAATATATAGCTGATCGACACGATTTTTATCCTGGGGCCTCACAGTAACGAGACTATTACTTAGCCCCTGAATCATGACTGTACGCAGTGTTTGCTAGGGTACGCGGCCCCTTCCACAAATCCCCCAAAACGAAGAAAATGCAATAAATTGTCAAAAATTCATTGCATTTTCCCCCGGCCCCCAAAAGGAGAAATACCTCTGTGTGGACATGCCTTGAACCATAATGCATGGCCACACAGAGGAGTCACGCAAACAAACACTCGCAAATTAATATTCAATAAAATCTGAGAATGTATGCCATCATCTAGATCTATTAGAAATAAATAATTTTTTTAAATCCTTCCCAAAACTGGGGTAAAAATAATTATTCCACCATTATGACCAACAGTGTAGTTAACGCCCTTACGGCTCCAAACAGACGTCCATTATGGCCATTATCATCATCATCGCCATCATCTTAATAATGCTATATAAGTATTTAACAAAATAATGATAACGTTGATGATAATAACAACAAAAAACTAATAACAATAACAACATGAACAACAATGATGATGTTGATAATAATAGTCATAATAACAATAATAGACAATAATAATAATGATAATTATAACAATAATAATAGTTTTAATACTACTACTACTACTATTAATAATAATAATAATATTGATAATAATGATAATACTATTTTAAAATAACTAAAATTAACAATTGCAATAGGAATACCAGTAAAAATTATTATTATTAAAGGACAGAATCAGAATTGACTGAAAGGTAAAAATAGTTTTAAAAGGCACACGGTATAATTATTTGTGTTAAATGCAGGATGCAAGAAAGGCTAACAGAAAGCCTATCCAATACTTCTTAAATGATGATGGCGCCACCACCTTGTTGCTAGGTAACGCTTGGAGATATAGAAATTATCGGCGAAAGCTACAATGAGATGCGGTCAGGCATACTGGCATGAAAGCCATACTAATTAAAACCTCATATAGTTCTACCAAGGTCAATGATTATGACAATAGGCTTTCTCTCTCTCTCAATGAGATTGATATATGAATATAGTCGACTGATAAAGTCCTGTACATTAGGAATGCTATCCATCTAATCCCTTTGGAGTAAAAGTAAAAGGATTTTATTTTGAACATAATCGTGTATATCTAGACCTGCTTCTAAATTATTTGGAAAAATTCAGGGGACAATTCTACCGATTGAAGATGCTTTAAGAGATATAAGTCTCTATTACACTTTCTTTTTGGAGAAATGCGTTTCTTAAACTCATTGTTTTTAATGGGAAACTTTGGATAAGTGTTTTGTACCTCCCCCCCCCCCCCCCCACCCCCTCCAAATGTGTTGAGAATTATAGAGTAAAAAGTGTTTGACCTTTGTTTTTGTTTTATTAAAAAAACTGTATAAGAAGGTCTACAAAAAGAACCGTCTTAATAAAGTTGTTTTACTTTTTAAATAAAATGATATACATGTATACAAAAATGTTCAGTCACATGTTTTAACAATCTTAAAGTCAAGAAGAACTACAGCTTCTAAACTAATGGAATTGCCAATGGTTGTGTTAGTTAAATCTCAACATACCGAAATTATTATTTATGTCCATGATGTCCACAGAACCCAACGTGGTATTTCAAGAAAATCTAAAATTCCCTCTCCAAATTGCACACTGGTAAAGTAAAATGTAGCTCCGCTATGACTGAGTACAGCAGCCTTCAAATGTTCACCTGCAATGCAGGCTCGTATTAGGAATGTGTATGATATACAGTTTTCTTTGGCTTTAAAACAATGAACAAGTGAATAATTATGTAAGCTAGGCCTAGTGCGCTGTTTACTAATTAAGCCTGTATACAAGCGGATCATTCTTTCTCACACACAAGCTTGTCAAGTTCCAATCGTTACGTAATGGGGGTTTGTGAGAGAGTGAA